ACTGTTAGTTATAACAATATGCAACAGTGAATAAAATTTCAAGCAGAGGATCTTTCATGAATATGTTTACAAATCATATTTAAACAGTTTTCATATTTACCTCTAATCCTCTGTAATCCTTAAATAGTGTGTATAGCTCTATTGAAAAAAAGCTGATCGTAATTAGCAGCTTTTGAACATTCTTTTGTGTTGTTTCGATAAAACTCAACACTGACTATTGAACCTTAAAACAGGTTTATACTTATATTTGTGACTAACATTTGAGTCAAGTATGATTTTTCCAAATTCAGCGTTTCTTAATTTCATTCAAGTTATCATTTGAGTAATATTCTATTGAATTAACTAAGTTGTTTGTTTTGAATACTGTTTGATTATTGATCATCAGTGCGAGTTAAAGATTGTTGAATATAATCCAGTGATTAGAGCTCATTTTTGCTAATTCTAATCGACTCTGTATTGATTTTTATGACAAATACTCCTCGTACAGATCGTTTAGGACGACAAGTTTATTATATGTAAAAACAGGAAACTGATGTGTTTTTTTAAACAAGTGTTACCCACTGCTGTCATTCATTAAAACTGCTTAAAACAGACAAGTTTTATATGTTTCAATGTTTGCAATTCTATCTTTTGGATTTTGCCTTCGTTACTACTGCCTGACAGAAAATCTATAAACGATTAAATTGATTTTTTTACTTGTCAGTGTTGTGTTGAGTCTTTCTGTTGACGTCAAAGATTGATTAATCAGTTTCGTTTGGTATATTTACTTCCTCGGCGGATCGCATCCATACTGTCATTTACGCGAAAGCATTATTAGGCAGAGTTAGATAGTGGCTAACGTTGGTATCCAGAAAGTGTGTTGCAAAATCTAGTGGGTATCTGTACCTAATAGTTTAACGGATAAAGGTACTGGACTCTAGACCCAGTGTAAGCATCAAAACCCTATAGCTGCATTCAACTGACAAGCCCAAAATGGAGCGAAACGCGCATTCTGAATTCAGCTGTTATTCACTATCCAACTGTGTCTAAAACATTTTACCTTAGTTCAAAATTGTAGAAATGTTATTTTCTTTCCACAAGCTTTAGTTTTGATAAGAATATTATTCCTCTATTGTAATATATTAATGGCATGTGAACACCGAAATTTTGGACAATATTACTAGAATACTCTTAAAGCATATTATCATTCGTAAAAGTGACACTTTTCTAGTGCTTCGATCCATCCATGTTTGGTTATTCCTGTTATTCATTGTATCAGAATAACTGATCTGTGACTACCAATCACTTTAACGGATAAGGAAAAAGAAACAGCTTAGCGAAGACACTTGAATCGGTCCACGTTAAGTGTTAGTATACCCTAGAGGTAAGGTGATTCGTAACTGTTTAGATGCTGAATAAGTGTTGAATCCAACACTTTTGTCATTTCTTCGTCTATTGAGTGAGTCTTATACTACATCTCAAACATCTGTAGGTATTCACAGTTTTCTGTCATGAACATGCCAGGTTTGATAAACTTATGAAGAGTATGATGAAGTAAGTTATGAGAAAAACTACTGGCATTTTTCATAAAATAACTTTGATTTGCAGCATCGTATTACTCGTCTGTATGTAAATGATTGTGAGTTTCTTTTTGAGTAGCAGTTTTACGTGACTAATCAACTTATCGTTGTTTTTCTTCTCAACCTTATTTGCTTGAAACCCGATTGCGTATTGGTTAGGAACTTGTACATACGTTCTTCTGACGTTTCATTTTTGCAGTTTCAGCATGAATTTAACATTCCCAGTATATACTCTTATCATTTAGGTAAAATGAAATGTAACTTCCAGTTTTACAAATCTTCATGAGGAGATTCTCGGAGTTCTAGTGAAAAGACGTGACCAGTGTGGTTCGAACCTGTCGGGCGTAGGCAGCAGCTACCGAAGACAAATGAGTGAGGTCGCGAAAATCTCTAGATCAATCAGAATTAGACATTAACACCTATGGATGCCGGCCCATTGGTCCAGAGGTTAGGCGTTCGGGTGCAAGACCGGAGCTCCTGGGTTGGAATCCTGCGAGTTGCAGGAGTCGTAGATACGCACTGTCGATGAATCCCATAACGGGAGGAAACGGCCATCCGGTGCTTCTAGGTTTCTAATGGTGGTCTAAAAGTGATTGATTGATGATTTTCTTGTGTTAAAACACTGATCTCCATAACTCTAATTGAAAAATCTTTAAAATAGCCAGTAATTTTAAACTTTGGTCACAAATTTTGTTTGTATTAAAAGTGGGTATCATTTTGTATGAACTCTTGTCATTACTTCTAATTCCTTATTTAACATTATTAAACTTATGATCAATAAAGTCCAGATTAAATTCTGTAATAAGCTGGGTGGGTCTAGATATCACTTGTCTGCACACACATGCCATTGCTAGACCAAACTGTAAACGCGAAATGATAAACAACATATCATATTAGAGGAATCCAACTACGCATTTATTCAAGGTATCAGCTCATATGTTCTTACAAAGGTCAAAAGGATATATATATATATATATATATATATATATATATATATATATATATATATATATATATATACTTATGATTTGCATACGGTTTTTTGGGTTCGACATTTACAGTTTAAGAAGCCTATTTATCTGTAGCTCAGACCGTAACATTATGTCAATTAGGTTGTACTGTGACTTACTGTCGGGATAACTACAAATCGAGCAATACTATGATGGCTTGACAAATGCAACATTTTGATAGAATCAGTAAGAAGACGCCACTGATCTGAAAAATGTGATGTAATTGCGCAATACATTTCGAACAGTCCAGTCACATATATATTTGTCAGGGCATTTTATAGGCAATGAATAAAAGGTCAATTAAATTGTTAAGGCATTTTATGGCCTAGGGTAATGTTTCATTTTCCTACCCCTTCTTATTCTTTCGATATTTTGTTAATTTTCTCTGGCCTTCATTAGAATTATCACATTATACCTATTTGAACCTTCATTGAATTGACCTGTTATTAATTGTCACATAAAATGCCTTGACAAATGTAAATGTGTGACCAGATTGTTCGAAATATATGGCGCAAATGCATCACATTTTTCAGATCAATTGCGTCTTTTTATTGTCCTATCAAAGTTTTACTAAAGGGACCGTTTTTAATACAACTTTAATTATTGACAAGTGATCAAGTGATATATTAGTGCAAATATCTTTCAGACAAGCAGTTAGTTTTGGCTTGAATAACTAAACTGGTCTGAACCTCAAGTAAAGTCTCAGTTTCTCCAGGACTATAGATACTATCTACTATCACGAAACCTCTGTCATGTAGGATACCTTGGGAATTATGTGCAATCACATGAGTAAAGAGTCAATCATTTACTTGTTTTCCTCATATTTATATTCTGTTGGTTATTTTTTTTCAAACCATAAATCTAAGTAGTTGAAAAATTCTCAATAATCCACTCATTGGAAATTCTCAATAACATCATATCACTAATGCATCAATGATAGCCAATCAGAATCATGATTACTTTTTGCCTATTGGAGTAATTTGAAAAGCAACAGGCCTTAAGAAACGGTTACATATATATATATATTTCTTACTTAACATTTCATTGGTCTGGAAATAACCTTCAACATATACATTTTTTTTCTCATACATATACGTGACTTTTGCTTCTATTTATTTGTTCATAATAACTTTTATAAAATTTACCGACTGAATTTTTTTTCTGAGATTCTCAATGAAATTACAATTGCTTAATGTGGAATGGGGTTCAGTAGGATAAATAGTGGATGTATTTTATGCAATAAACTTATTTGTCATTTATCATTTCCTTATGAGTTTTGTATAATCATCATATTGAAAATTGCAAATCATTATACCATTATGCCCAGATTAATGGATTTATCATGTTTTAATAATGTTGACAAAACTTGTAATTAATCGGTTGAATTTGAATTCAGAGGATTATTTATTGATTGGTCCTCCTCTCTGTTAGGGAGGATGAAAAAAGCTGTTGAACAGAAACCATCAAGAAATAATGTTAAGTCTAATGTCCTCAGTGAGTTTTGATGTTGTATTGAAAATTTTCATCGTATATTCTCTTAAAGTGAAATTTACCATTTGGTAACAGTGATCTACCAACAAGGTTAATATGTATCCTCCTTATCATATATATATTGTGTAGTTTGGCTTAATAAATCTTAATAGTATTTCATTTCAGATAGGGAGTTTTTGAAAATTGTTCTGCTTCAGTGGAATCCTTGTGATAAGCAGGACAATGCGATTGGTTGACTAGTGAATTATCATTGATATTTGAAGGATTCTCGAATGTTTCTATACTAATATGATTTTCTCTAGGGAAGTGTGAATTACTTTCTTCTCTTGGGTTATCCTTAAAAAGATGTGATGATGAGAGGCTATGTCCGATGCGGCGGCCAAACCAAAACATGGCACAAATCCATGAAATCACTGACAAGTGGGTTGAGTCATGTTGGTAGATGTACGCTACGTGGTTGGGGTCCGCGAGACGAAAGTCACCAATGGTCAAAGACCTCGAACGACATGGCTCAGAATCGTTTGCAATGGCGCAAGTGCATCCACTCTTTCTGTTCTCTCAAATCCTAATCTTCTGGATTCATCAACACCTCTACCTTTGTCTTTCTAAACTTAGCTCACTGAATTATACTTCTTGAATATTATCTTCAAATCCTAATCTTTTCCATTAGCAGTAATTCTTCTCCTATCTCTACCACTATGGGATTTGAATTGACATTTGCTTCTCTGTGCTTATGTGGTATGGCAACTAGTACATGTCGTAATTAAGAACAATCAAATCGGGCTTGAGTTTACTGAAAGTAGAGTAACAGCCTATTTCGATTGTTTTTCTATTAGTTTAGTGGGTTTTCGTTATCTATGAAAGATTATGTTTCAAACTGTAATTCCTAATAGATTTGTTTTTCATATGGGATATCAAGTTGTACTACATTAGACATGTCTGTAACAGACAAATGTTGATAACTCCAAGCTTTCATTAATTACTAAATCCTACTACCCTCACTAACTATCCAATCAATCTGAACAATCCTTCATAATAGTCATGTTAACTCTGTTCATTATCACGGGAACTCCAAAACCCGTGTATTACATTAAGAGCTAAAGTAAAATTGCCCCCATTTAGTTCTAAAGATTCTAAAATTTAGAAACATTTATGTTGAGCAATTTGTGCTTAGTGCACTAATTTTTGGCGGAAATGGAAATCTGTATTTTGAATATGCTTAGTACTTTCTTTGAATCATATGCTGCTGATAGCTAGAAAGACAATGAAACCACAATTAAACCATTTAGTCCAGAAAACACAACACCTGAAGCGTTGACTACTCTTTGAGAATACTCTTGGTGTATCAAGGCACAGTCAAGGGTGACGATACCCCAGCCATGTAATCGTCACTTAGCTGAATGTCAGTGTTCATAGGTATATCATAGACTATGCTCCAGTAGATGCAAAGTACTTTCACAAGACTGACTGGATCCTAAACCTGCACTCACTTTTGGTAGTTAACAGATAGAAGGGGTTGAAATTTTGTATTTCTGAGTAGCTTTCTAAGTGGTAGTGGTATGAGTGAAATTTAGAGAGACTTGCCGATTCGGACCACCTGTGGAGCATTTGTAATACTTGTGTGGCTGTAAAAGGTCGGATCTGCAACGCGTCGGTAAGAGCAGTTTTGCTCTGTGCTTATAAAACCTGGCTTCTCCAAGTTAACTAACTCTCTGCGTTCGATTATCGCTGTCTCAAAAGGGTTGGTGACATGCAATGGCTGCGCCATACTAGTAATCAGGAGGTTTAGAGCACATCGACTATAATTCAGCTGGTGTCACCACCTTGAATAGCCGACTTCGGTGGCTCGAACATGTACTACGGATGTTTTCACAGACGATTCCACATCGTCCATCATTTTCCGAAACTAAGACTGGTTAGGAAAGAGCAGTGACGTCGTCACTGTAGGACATGATCTCCTGATAGGAAAGGAGGCTGTACTCAACCGGCATATATTGATCCTTCACGACTCTCTAATTGTGGTCTCGGAAATAGTGCAACTTAGTGGCTTAAGATGCTACTAGACATGACTCCGAATAGAAACAAATAGCTGTCCTTTGTTCACTTCGTTTTACTTTCTTCATATAAGTGAGAGGAAATTCTTCAACTAAAAAGATCCTTTCTGGTTGTATATCTCTTAAAAGAATTGCTTCTCCCATTACGTCTCTTCACTCTGATACACTCACTGTCTTTTCTCTATCTCTTTACAATCGCATTTTTATTGTGTGGCACACATATATTTTGGTACCATTATGTGCCAGTATTGATGCTTACATAAAACAAATACTGCAATGAAAACCTTATATTCTCAATTTTAGTAGAAGAACTGGATTCCATTTTGCTGACATTCACATTATAATTGTATTCATAGTAAATATTCATTTATTTTTTAATTCAAAATATAGTTTTTTTACTGATCTAATCATAGGTTGGTCAATTACTACATATCGCTAATTTCAAAAAATTGTTTAGCCGGATATCGATTATGAATAAAGAATGAGAATAAAATGATAATTTTAAGTTTAAACAATAATTAACCATAATTGTTTATGTTTAAAGTTGAAAATCATGAAGTATAAACGAAGAACCTTATTTGATATTTCACATAGATTACTAGTGTCGTCTTACAATCGAGGCTTAACGACCAGGTCGTACCAACAACTGCTGAAGTATGATAGTAACAAAGTGTCCTATTCAGACAACCAATATCTCCAGCGATACAACTTCACAATGAAAGGAAAAAGGCTAAAATGGTGAACCCTGAAAATAACACATCTCTTGTTTCGCTAAAGATTTCTGTCGTCATTGGTAATGATGTCTCGAAAGTATCGGGCTAATAGATTTATCAGTAATTTCAAAATAGTCATTTATAACCGACCAAATAAAATTATCCTGTAGGTTTGGAGATTGTGATTTCAGTCGGACGAAGACCACTACTACAATTGTATAAGTGATGATATATTAATTTATTAGAAAGTTTAATTAATACAGTAAATATATGAAAAATTTATGTTATAACACAGTGTCTACTATCTTAACATAATGATTAGTTCCTAACTGTACAATATTTATTTGCATTCATAGATGAACAACAACGTGTACAGAAGAAAACTTTTACTAATTGGATCAATGCACATATGCAAAAGGTAAATTTGTATAGATTTTTGTTGTTTTGAAATTTCCAGCAGTTTTCTTTTTTAAAAATTAAAACTTTCTAAAGTCGTTCAATAAATTTTTACAATTTGTTATTAAATGAAACTACTGTGTAAATGTGCGATGCGTTGATGGATGTAGTGATGTATTATTAGGGTTTAATGTAATTTTTGAGCTGGATACACTGTCGAATTCATTGCGATAACATACTGAACGTCAACTGAACTCAAAATACTCCACAGTTCTCACACTACTGATGCATAATTATTAATCATCATACAGAATGCAGTTTATCACTGAAATCATCAATCGATCATTGTTAGACCACCATTAGAAACGTTAAAGCACTGGAAGACCGTTTCGTCCTGATATGAGACTGATTAACAGTGCGCATCCACAACTCCTCCTACTCTACATAATTATTTACAAATAAAAAATAATCGTTCCACAACAAATTATAATCAACTTACATTGCAGAAACGTCCCTGCTTAGCATGATTAACTCAGTGATAACAACAAGAATAACAACAGTCAACTCTGAGTTTAGATAAGCATAAAAATGACCAGTTCAAAATGGTCCTGGGTTTAACATTTAGATGTAAGATTGTAGATGTATACTACTGAGGTGACCCATACCTTGAAAAGTTTTTTCCAAAGCTTTCAGGTTTTCACTGATGATTTAGGCAAGATCATTTCGTCTCCACAAATCTCCATACATTTAACAAGAAAACATTTAAATTACAATCAGCCAATAACATTTTATAATGAAAGCTATTTTCTAGTGCTTAACATATTCATCTTAAATGGAGCAAACAAACTGAAATAAAAAATTATTAAATTAAATAATTTTATAAAAATTTCTAAAGGTTGTTCTTAATGGGGATTGATACCATTTATAAAATCAGTGAAAGCCTAGAGGATCCGATTCAGTTTCTTTTTGACTGGATTTAAAATTTTGAAACATTGGATATTGACTGGATACTTGTTTCTGTATCTGGGGTTATTAGCACTCTCTGCCAAGCGGTTCCCAGAGGAGATAAAACAATGGTGGTAGTAATTTTTAGAGTTAGTAGCACAGAAATACTATTACTCAGAATAAAGGTTCTAACGGTTCATCGTTTCATGTCAAACTTTTCCAAGTGAGAACACCACTGTAAAATCAATAGAATTCATATTATTTCCATATACATACACTGTCTTTCCACAATGTAGAAGTCTGCCATTATTCTGTCTATTAATAACTTGGAATTCAGTTTAAAGGTTTACTCAATGACCAGTGTATGTTATATGTCTTCCTATGGGACTACTACATAGTTTGGAACTACTGAAGATCGAAATTTTTGATATATATTTCGAGATTCTTTCAGACAATATCATCTTCATGCCCACAACGCACTTACTACTGTAGGTACAGATGACAAGGTAGACACAACTGAAGTTAACCAGAGGTGGTCTATCATCTAAGTTGGTATCTCTGAGTAGCCTTTTGCATTGTATATATGCTTATGATGCTAGTGGCTAGTACAATGCTACTCCCAAGCTGATGCTCATTCTGTACCTTAAGAGTACCCCTTTGAACAGAGAGATTCACTTTAGATACAGTGGCTTGCTGTAACTTGTGAACTGAAAGTTCCTAATTACAAACTTCCTGAAATAATCGTTTTCGATTAGGTTTCTTTCAATAATTTCTTGTTCGTTGTCGATCATAATCTGATTACCATCGATAAGCCGGGTGTTAAAAAATAAATATTACTATGACCAAAATGTCTTACGACAGACAGAAAATGACACTCGCCTTAATTTCCGTTATCATTACTTTGAAGAAATGCACTTAGTTCATTAATGTAAGATGGTTGGGGACGGCTGGGAGCGACACTAGACATAGGTTTTGTGCTTTTGGATATTTGCCAGCAAGGAGCACCGGTGATCTTCATGGAAGGACTTGATATACATAACACTGCTCATTACTTAGTAATCACCTGATTTTTATACATGCCGTAACAAGGTTAGCTTATAACATCTGAAAGGTTGCGCACAATCGCGAACTGATATATATATATATATATATATATATATATATATATGTACAGTTTGACAGTAAGTTCTTAGAAAAGTGACTACTTCGTTGAACTTCGTGTCCTTAGTATTTGGTTGTTCTTCTCAAAGTGGAATACATGGCGAAATGTTGGATTTATTTCCTTATAAATCCTCTTGGTTTGTTTTTCGTCAAATCAGTTTTGTCAGCATGGCTGTATATAATGTCAGTGGTGTCTTCTAGTAGAACATTAGGAAGTAGAGACTCCACATCAGAAGAAACTATTTAATTTTTATTTAAATTGCTGCCATCAGTTTTATTTACTAAAATAAAACTGTGAGATGGTGAGGAAAATTTGTAGCTACAAATCAAAACTTTCTTTCAAACTGTATGTAGGTAGTTCTTTCCCTATAGTCTCTATCAACTGACTGAGTCACTGAGCGAGTTTGTAATGTGATGAGTTCAGATGAACTACAGAGAGTTAGCGATTTTGTAAGGATCTTAGGTTTAGACCATTGCAAGGTAATTCATCCACTAATTTCTTTATCTGAAGCTGGTCTAAAATCTGATTAATCTTAGTTTACTGAATCATGTCTTCGTACTGTTTATCCATGTTGAAGCGTTTAACATCATTTTAAAACTGAAGCATTTTTGAAAGATATTCATGTTTATTCACAGTAACTACACAGAATCCATTATCCAGTTGTTAATAGGTCTATTTGATTATTTCTCTTCAGTTTACTTCTGACTTTTATATGTTCTTTCGGTAAAGTGTATATAGAAGATTACTGATATAAGAGTATATTAGTTTGCTAGGTTTGCTAGTGAACTAAATGACTTTATACATGTTACAAACATAACTACATTGTAAAATATTTTGATTATCATTACCAGTCAATCGGTATGTAAATGAGAGTACACGAACTGTAATGAATCCAATTCATCCCATGATGCCTATTGCTCTTCTTTGACATAAATTTTAATATTTTCTAAATTAGATTATTGAACAGTTATCTATTTATTCATTTGTATTGGTTGTTTGAATCTTTCCACTGATGCTTTGTACTGCAGCTGATCAATCTCTTTGACTAATGCGCTTCTTGCGGCGATTGTTTTGATGTTACCTTTTGGTTACAAGCAGAGGCGTTTCGTCCTATTTATGACTCGGAGTGAATATCAACTTTGAAATGTAGACACATTCACCTAACGAGTCTCAAACAGGACGAAATATGCATCCTTGATTCCACTACTAGCCACTATCCACCTCTACTAGTTATCTTTATATATATATATATATATATAATTTTAAAAAATTCACTCTAGCATTACAGTATATTCAAGTTAGTGAAATGTTTTAAAAACCGTATGAATTTGTAACTAAACAGCTTTAAAACAACCCTAAATTAGTGCATGCTTAATTGAGATGATTTTATCACAAGTTCATTTTGAAAGCTTAAGTAAAAATAATTTAAGCTTTCACATACTCTGTTTTGTTCAGTATTGTAAATTTATGAACTTAACAATTTTAAATTATTCAAAACCAACTCAATAATTGAAAGTTTTATCATTCACATCAATATTATAAGCTTTTAAGTTAGATCTCAAGTGTCTAAAACTAGGATGAAACAGCTACGCAAAGCTTCTTAATCTCTAGTAGTTGACTGACTAATATCAGTTCGATGTATATTGTTGGGGATGTTAGATCCCCAGAACTCGCTTGATAAATGTCTTTATTTTGGATTTCACGTTCGCGAGCATGGGCTGATCAGTTGACCTTGACATTTCATTTCCCACCAGGGAAATCTTTGGATGTGATTGGCTTCTGTGTATTTTAGTGTGCTATTTTCGTGACATTTCTATTATGTGTAAATAAACGAGAGTTGTGTGTTTGATTGTGTTGTGCTTGCTGAGCGTTTGTAGAACATACTTCTACGCTTATCAAGACTTCTGTTTTTCAGTTCCGGGATCAAGGTAGACTACCTGGTCGCTGGTAATTGTCTAGTTCGCGTTTATCGACTAAGGTAAACTCGTAAGAGCTTCAAGCGTACCTAGTGACGAACTTAACATATATATTATAAAATTCAACAATCTTCACAAACTTACCTACAATATTAATTATGTATTCATTAGTGACTAATTTTGAGATATGATTCTCAGAATTCCTATGGGAGGCTATGATTATTAAATTTCAGACATACTGGGTGCGGAGTATTAATCCACCAATGGTTGCTCATTTTCACAAAATGATTGGAGTTAAAAAATGTAAACCATCCAACGCCAACTTGTTCATTCTAAAATTAAGTGCTCACCGTTAGATAAAAAGGTGCTTTGTTCAACTCCAAATGTGATTGTTGGTGCCTGCCTCTTCGGAGTGGTATATTAGGATGAAACAGCTGTTCAGTGATTCTTAGTTTTCATTGGTTTTATAACTATAGTATGATGTAAAATTTAGCGAAAGAGGTTGACCAGTCGATATACAAAGAGGATGAACTTTTGCATGAAGTCGTGATCACATACCTCCATCATTTTTGCAGTTTTATGTTAAGAATTTATGATCGTTAGACTATTATATACTCGGTAAACAAATGATTAGTTATAAAGATCTCAAATGTATACATTTCTATTCATACAACAAAAATTAAAAATGAACTATTGAAGGTACTTAGAATAATGTCATATGAATTTCACAGTTCATTTAAATGAACTAATTGAATAAGTATATCTGACTGATAAGTGTTCTTCAAAACATTATGTGGAATGATTACATAACTGAAATTACTTTTAATCAAGGCGATGAAAAACCAAACCCGTCACCATCTTTTCATCCACACATATACAGATACTGATGATTCAAAGTGAGGTGTCTCATTGTTTACATTTGTTTATTACACAATGACTAATGATTTGGTAATGAACAAGTGTGTATGTTTCGGAAATAATCAAATTATTTTTAAAATGAATTAAATCTTATCAGAATAGATCGTGGAGGTTGTTGAATTTCGATAAAATCACAAACTAACCAAAGTTAAACAATTATTAAAAACTGGAAAGATTTGGAAAAAAACGTTTCGTTCAGGTATAGGTCTCCTCAATAATGAACATCTACAATCTCACATGTAAATGTTAAACCCAGGAACCTCACTCACACGCACCTGTAAACAACTGAGACGGCCATCATACAACGGTGTTAATGTGTAACTGAAATCAACTCACGATATTATGCTGTCATCTTTCATTCCTCTCTAATCACTTGACACACTGTTTATATGTGTGACCATTTTGAGCCGGTCACTTTTATGCTTGTCTGAACTCAGAGTTGACTGTTGTTATTCCTGTTATCATTACTGAATTAACCACTTTAAACTTAAGCATTTTTGCAAGGTAAGTCGATTGTTATTTGTTGTGGGATGATTATTTACTATTTGTAAATAATTATGTAGAGTAGGAGGAGTTGTGGATGCACACTGCTGATCAGTCCCATATCAGGACAAAATGGCTATTCAGTGCTTCTATGTTTCTAATGATGGTCTAACAATGATCGATTCATGATTTAAGTGATAAACAACAATCTGTATGATGAAAAATAATAATGAATCAACCTTGTGAGTAGTTTGGAGTTTTTTGAGTTCAGTTGACGTTCAGTATGTCACTTTAATGAATTCGACAGTGTATTGACCCCATAAATTACATTAAACCCTAATATTACATCACAACATGCATCTTATCGTTACATAACGATCATTTTCTAACTGATACTTGTTCTTTTGACATTCCGAAGATACCTGCAAACGCTGTGTAGTTTATCACTTAATTATTGAAAATAGGCGATGAAATCATGTGTCATGAAAGTACTTATTAAATCATGTTTTTTTCGAATTAACTGCTTAAGCCAATTTATCAGAATAAGAAATATCCATTATCTCTACCATCATTCATTGTATGTTAATTGGCTTGACTCTGTTAACTTATATATTCATTGAGAATAAATTATTATTATTATTATGAAAAAAATAGTCGAAATATTTTCTAGTGTATTATGTATTTGCTTAAATTTTTGCCAATTTATTTAGCTACCTGATCCAATGCATATTGATGATCTTTTCAAAGATATTGGAGATGGAATTATTCTTATTCATCTACTTGAAGTATTATCAGGAGAAAAATTGGTAAGGTTATTTGAGTAGTATTTTTTTTGTATATTCAATAGATATATCTATAATTAATTGTAAATCAGATTAGTTCAATGTTTTATGTTATCGGAATTAACAAGTTTATATATATATATATATATATATATATATATATATATATATATATATATATATATCATAACTCAATAGAGAAAGGAGTTAATATTTTTCTTGAAAACACTCAGTTTTTTTATCAGTCAATAAGTACGAAATTCAAACACACCCACTCTGCCTTATTTTCTTGGTCACTTCAAGTAGTATCATCAAATTTTGTATATGAACAAATTGTAACTAAAAGCCGACAGAATGAATTGATCTCTGAGTAGAAGGCGATACCTTTGTTTGTCTAGACACTAGTAGTGATCGAGTCCTGTTGATCAAACACTGAAATAAGGCCACTAGTTTAAGTTATTCAGTACTTCGTATAACATGTTTTGATGTTAGGCAGTTTTTGGTAATCCACAGAAAACTCTGTAGCCAACAAATCAAAACGGAAATCTTAGGGTAACTGGAACTATTTAGTCGATTTGGACGCGGACCAGTAAGTTTTACATCTTGAGACGTTATGACCGAGTCATTTAGGCCTCAACTTATCTCCGTTAAGACTGATCTAATTACAGTTCATGAGTTATCATTGTAATGAAGTAGTTTTAAAGTGTTATCGCTAATAAACTGAAGAGCTGTAGCCAATAGCCATCATTCTAAGATCCTTTTCCCCATTAATCAACTTGGATGAATAAATATTTCTTGAATATTTTCCTTGAAAATTTTATAAAGATTAGTATGATTATAGGTGGTTTTTTTTATATCACGAATAGACAACATTTAGGAGCACCATTTAAATACACTTTAAACTTGAGGGTTATGAGTTCAATGCCTAACTAGGTCAAAACTGGTGCTTCATACTAGGACTTAAAAGTTGTTCATTGTTCTATGGTTTTCAATTGCTTTCTCATTTGAACAAGTTCATTCATGATGATTGTCACCTAATTTTTCTATGTTCATGATGTTTGACTAACCTCTTTTTTTATCACAACATTATCGATCATTCTTTTGTTTACTTCTTTAGCTTTGTACTGCGAAATTTGTAATTGTACGTAACTTTGAAACTGTATTGACCTATATTGTTATTCAAGAAGTGAATACATTAAGTATGTAAATCAAGAGTTTGTAGGAAAATTAAAATTTTTATACTCTGTTGAGATAAGAATAACAACGTTGTAAATATAAGTATTTATGTCTTCCTCTTCTTGCTGATTTTGAAAGTCTCATCTTTTCTTCATTTTTAACTCACTTATTCCATATCGTGAAATATATGTACGATATAATTAAAGTAATATTTACAAACAGTTAGTTATACGGAACAGCAAAACTCGGCTAATAGTGAATTCTTAAATTGCATTAAGGACGACTTATTTCTCAGTGAATTCATCTATTTATTGATTCCTATTTGTGTTACATCTAATTCCGTTGTACAACGTATCTGGACGTAGGCACTGAAAATACGAATTAACTCAGATTCATTAGTGATTTTTTATTAGTTTGAAATTAGTTTTATTGATTATGTATCCATCTATCTAGGATGTTCTTATTTCAATAACTTTAAATCAGTCGAATTCAATGATCATTGTATCAAAAAAGAAAAAAATTTTACAAATATATACGTATAGAGTGATGACTCAGTGTTTATATATCATTTGACCTTGAATCAGTTGATCACGGGTTTGAAGCGCCACTTCGGTTTGAAGATTGGTATTTTCCTTGAATCTAGCACAAGTAATGTAGTTAATGTTTAAGTATTTGAACACCAACAACTGATAAATAACCTACATACCTACGTACATTCAGAATAGTTAAGGTGTATTCAGTTTATCTTACATTATTTATTTAGTTCTTTTCTCCGTAACTGTCACACTCGTCTCTAAATATGCTTAAACTATTACGAGTTCACCTTAGTCGAATAATGCGAACAAAACAATGAAGCAGCGTCCAGGTAGGCTACAGTGATCCGATTGTCCCAGTTGTTCCAGCAAGAAGTCTTGATATAGAGTAGAAAGTGTATTCTACAAATACCCAGCCAGCGCACAATCAATCCAAACACTCAAATCGCGTTTATTTATACTCCATAGAGACATCCTTGGGACAGTCACAAAAATAGTACATTAAAATGACACAGTAAACAATCGCAGCCAAAGATTTTCCTGGTGGGAAATGTGATCTCAAGGGCGACTGATCGGTCCATGAAATAAATCCAAAATAAAGATATTTATCAAGCGAGTTCTGGGGATCTAACATCCCAAGCAGTAACTAATATTATCTCTATTGAGTAAATACTGATGTCAATATGCTCAACAATAAGGTACATATGTTTTATGTTCTAGTGTTGAACATATCATTTCTATGCAGTTAGTTTCTTAACCAATAAACCAGTAGTCTTACTAAAATTGATCTAATACAACTCTAATATCCAATTAATTCAATTTGAAATGGTTTAAATTGTCCCGTTGTTGATATTTCAACCGAAATTCAACCATTCTCGGAGTGATGATCAAAAGTGAGAGGCGAATACATCCAGCTGACGAGTACCAGGTAGAATGAAATGCACATGCTGAATTCCACTGCTAGCCATATTCTATCTACCTTACAAAAATCAAGCAACGATTGTTTTCGTAAATTTTATTATCCAGAAAACTCATTCTTCTCTATTCATTTATAGTTATTTTATGATAATATTATTTTTTTTTCACCAATCATCTATTTAAAAACAATTTGTACATTGCAGATATGCATGTCATTACTTTTTTCATTTACTATTTATATAGCTAAATAAGTATTGACAATGTAAATATTATTATCATTTGATGACCGTGACTATTTATTCATCCAAAGAAGTGTTTATGCATTGTTAATCATATTCAAACAATTAAACATTTATAAATATATGTATATATTTTTATTTTTAAAAAATTAGGGGTACACGTATTGTTTAAATTTTGTAAACTGTATTCTTTTTTTTTTGTTGACAAAAAAATATCTTTTTACCGCAATTTAATTTTTTTTTTTCAGTTGTTAATTTATTTTGATTTGCCCGCATACATTTCATGCTCTTTTTGTTGTAATAATTTTAATTAAATTTCATTGCATATTACTACTAATAGTAATGAGTAGTATCATAAAAATTACACTTAAAGTGTATATATTGTGAATGATGATTTGAATTTAGAAAATTTTAATTGAACTACCCTGCTGACATCATCATCGCAATCATTAATCTTATATGCTTCATAATGATTAGATTGGCATTACTGTAGCCCAGTCGTTCTCTCGTTTTGTACCTCCAATCAATGTTGCGTTGTATATTTTTTTTTCTTAGGGAAAAAAAAAGTAATTACTGATCAATACTAAATGATGTTATTTGTTTAGGTTGTTTTTTTTCATAGAGATGTATACATCTCTATCTATCTATCTATGTATCTGCCTAATCCAACTAACAACTTAACATTTTTTTTCATTGTACGCGATACTCAACTATGTGTGTGTGTGTATATGTGACGGTGTGTTGTATGTAAATTGAATAGTTTTTGTTGGGTTTCAATTTATTTGGAAGAAAACTAATTCATTTGCATTAATTTATTGATTGATCAGTAATGCATTGGTTGTATTTGCTGTTGCTGCTGCTGTTACAGCTGTGGTTGGGTTAGGGTTGTTGTTGTTGTTGTTGTCACCTCTTAGGTAACGCCCTGTTCTGCATTTTTCTTCTGTCAAATGACTCATAAAAGTTATGTTTCTCACTCTCTCTATCTAGATTTTTTTTCCCAGATCAGTTTTGTGTATTTTTGATTTGTTACGGGTATATGCATATTATTACGCTACAATTATTTGATTTTTTTATTATGATGAAATGAATGTATTTATTTTTTGAAATATATGTTGAGTTAATAATTTTCAATGGGGTAAATATTAGTGAATATTTTAAAATAGAATATTCTGTTTATTTACTCATGAGATGATTTTCTTTTTCGTCATACACTATGATACATATTTACAATCTAGTTATGACGTACAAGTTTGTGTATGTAGTTGGCTTTAAACTACACTATTTATGAAATGGCCAATGGATCTAATTAACGTTTTTAAATCTCTAAGTAAAATGCATCAGCGTTCACATTTGTAGCATACTAATTGGAAGTTGTGTACTTCATTAATTCAGCCACTTCTCTATAATATTTACAAAAGAAACTGATGATTTCAGTTGATTTTTTTAATTGGTCATTTAACTTTTTTTTTATCCAAATGAATTGATATTACCTGATTTGATCTCGACGCTAAGTTCTTATTTGTTCTACGGGAAAAGCAGAATCCTAACCTCAATTTACTTAAAAGCAGTTTTTTAACTTTCTAGTGAGGACCTTCGAGACAATTTGTCCTATTAAAGCTGAAAAGTAATATGTACTAATTAACATCTGCAGTTGTTTTAGGAAAGCGAGTAATTCCTAGTCACATTAATCGCTCTTCATATAGTGTCGGATGGTTCTCACACGATGGCAAATAAGTAGAATCCGGAGTAGTGTTGTCTAGAAGTTCTTACGAGGGACAAATGTGTGGAGATCAAAATTCATGTGTAGTGATCATAGTATTTTGGAGACGAGAAGAGGAGTGAAAGAAGACATTCACTAACTTGCTTGTAGTGTCAATGAATGTTTGAAGGTTATGTGTACATATTTGGTAAATATTTATATCTTCTCCAAGTATATCTGTTCCAAATGGCATTGATTTGTTCGTACATTAAAATAGGGAAAGTTGACACTTCTAGTCACGAATTTGCTATTTATTGTCTGGAAAGCATCAAGTTTATCAGCATATTTATTAAATTATAGTTTTATTGCTTAGATACAATACCTAAATGAGCTCTTACGTAAGTGGGTGCACATAATTACTAGAATCTTGACATTAAAGCACTTAAAAGCTAAACGAAGTGATTGTGTGATCAATCGCATTACAATATACTGTCGTTTTCATGTCATTATAGTAATTAGTGTACTGTTGATGATGAGTATTTTGACAATTGTTTAATTAGTGTGCTATTTATAGTACTAATCTCATGTTACCAACTTTCCAACTAACTGATTGTTTCAGTGTTGGGTTCGAGGCAAACGGCATGAAACCCTTTGATCTAGATTTCCTGTTAGTTGGTACTCATTAGCAAGGTGTGTACACCTATAGCACGATAAAGGAACTAAGAGACTCAGACTTATATCGACCTGTTTCACAATCAAGAATGTTACCATTGAGACAATTGGGTTACAACTAACTTGCTAAAAGATTGATGAATCATTTACATTAACTTATGATTGAGTTGTAGCTAAGTTCATGTTTGTTTAGAATTGAATACTGGTCAAATTCGAATGATCAAGTATCAGTTGTAATGAGTTGTTCTACCTTATCAATGATGTCATTACTTGTTCCTTTTTTTTGAAATTTTACCACTGATTCAAACCACTAGTCTGTAGAAGACTGTTGTATGATATGTTGATGTTAACGCCTTAAAACGTTTTTATTAGTCCTTGAAAATTTCACTCTGTTAAATGGAGATAGGATAAAATTCTGTTTCTTCTTTTCCTTATCATTTACTTGATACTTTGATTTTAGTAGAATATTTTTGTAAGGTTAACAGTGGTTCTCTCCTTATTTACTTCTCTTTGTATCATGTGATTTTGATTTTTTTTTATCTTGCAGTATTGCCATTTTGTGTATCATTATGTCGTAATATTTCCGGTCTATGTAAAAAATATTATTGTTAAACATTGTTGTTGATTCTGCGTTATGTTTTCTATTTGGTCCTAAAACTGCTTACTATTACTTACTGTTGATAATGGTAAAATCAAAATAACGTCATGAATTTAGTTAGGAAATAGAAAGAGAGAGAATATTTTATGCATACTTATTGATGTTAAAAACAAAGTAATCATTTTAACTCATTGAGATTAGAGTGTGTGTGTGGTTGATATTATTCCCATGTGAGAGTGGTTGGAGGTAGGAGTCTACAGGAAACCATGCACTTAAATCTCGTGCCATTTGACATTCGTCAATAAGATTTACCTGTAATCTTGAGAAAATTGTTATTCTTTGAGGGATTCGACTCTGTGTCATCCAACTTTACAATTTGAAAAGTTACCTTTATGCTTGACATACATGGTATTAATCACTACTCAATGATCAATCGTAAATATTATTCCTCTTTTCATACTTACTTCTCATTTTGTTTATTTTGCCTTCGTTTGCTTATCTAATTTTAATATAACAACTTAGATCAATATACATAAATTCATATCACTAACTGACGAAGTTTTAGAATTTATAATGTTAAGAAAAATATGATCTAATGAGTCGTGAAAAAATGATTAACTTTATTGTGCCATAATATCAGAAATCTATAGATGGATAATCATTACGTAACTTACAGATGTAACTGAAAGATTTTCTACTTGAAACTTTCTATGATTATTCTTTGCGTAATCATATATTAGGTTCATTGATTTTCTTTGAAAATATGATTTGTTCACGTTTCTTTCTAGTGTATTATTATCTGCTATTAGATTTGATAATTATGCAAAGTTTGAATGTTCTAGCAGTTCAGTTAGACTGTTGGATAAAATGAAACTGCGTTAGAAGCGATGTTACTCAATACTAGATCAATAAACAATGTGTTGGAAATTTATAAGTAGACAGACTAACAGCAATACTCTAAATACTCCCTATTAGTTTGGGAAAAATTACTTTAAACTTACCACATAACTGTGAAATGTCATGTTGTCATTTGTAATAGTCTACTCAGTCTATTATAAGAAAAGTTAAAAGCAACTTTAAACTGTCTATCAACATAAAACCATTGATTTTCATTTAGTTATTGAATGAAAATCGATTAAAAGGTAAGACAACTGAGGATGATGAAGTCAACAGTAAAATGATAGCTGAAATAAAATGTAAAACGTTCAATAAATTAATTAAAACTTACTTTACTTAGCTAGAGAAATAAAAATATGTCAATCATTAGAATCTTGAATATTTGCAGCAAGCTTCCACTTGGATCGATTTGAATAGTGTTTATTGTATACTTGTACCTAGTACAAAAAGTACTATCCTGTTCATGATGCGATTGGACATTCACACAAATTATCAAGTTTCCATAATTTAAATCCCACATAACAGTAGACTGGATGTGTGGCCAAAAAGTACTTTCATTATTTAGACCTATAAATAAAATATAAGTCCACAACAAAACGCATCAAAAATTATAGACCACCGTAATTGCACAACTCAATTATCTTTTACATTGAACTGAGGAATACATTTAATGATAAGTAAGCTTCAGTATATAAATGGTAAGAGATATTAGAGCCATTAACTTGTCAAAATGCAGTTTACAAATGGGATTATATAGGGAATAAACACTTATAGTATACAATTTCTAACTGTAAATTGATCGATCATTTAACAGTGAGTAATGTCATTCAGCTCAAGTCTTTTTTTACTTTTGATGAAATTCTGTTGCATTTTGGCCACCAGCCTAAGCTGTTTGATAACGTATGTGAGCCTACGTTTCATGCTGTTTGTCGTTCATCAGCAAAATGTACTTGTGGGCTTGAGAGAATTTTCACTCTCTGACAGAGTCGATCTCAAATCATCCAGCTTTACAGTGTCAGACATTAGCTCTGAGTTATTCAGACAGCTGCTACTGATCTCCTGTATTACTCAGTGATATTTACAACTGACCGGTTGCTGGATAGTGATCTCATCCTTTAATTCAACAAAGGATAGCTATTGAAATTCGACTTTCTATCAAGTTGTTCATAGGTTCAAACCTTGTCAAGCCTATTTTAGTTCCGGAATACGAGTTGTATCAAAGAAACCTCCATCCAACTAGATTTTAACTACAAAGTCAAGTACATAGACCGGTACTTAGTTAAGAAGAATTTACATCATCCATATATTTTGAGAATTTCATATCTCATTCTATACCATAAATGTTTTGTTGAAATTATTTACTACAAGAATATTTGTCACATTCTATTGCGAAAAAAACATAAGCCTTTATTCAGCATATTCTATACTAACCAAATTTTTTATCACTGCTATAATGATTGTTTACTTTGAGATAATAATTCATTTCACAAGATGCTTCCATCGAACTGTGTGTACTGTCTTTTTGTCATCTTTTTTCTTGTTCTTTCATTTAGCAAATTGAAAATCCCCGTGTCATTCAAAGAGCTCATAAACTTAGCAATGTTCGTAATGCTTTAGATTATTTAGAGAAAACATGTAAAGTAAGTTTGTGAAGTTGATTGATTTCCGTTTGTTTTAATCCTCTGGCAATATATTATGCAATTTATTGTTACAGTGAGAAGACGTGACAAATTAAGTTCCGCGATGTGGGGTGTAGGCAGTAACTAACAAAGACAAATGGGTGAGGTCACGCAAAATCAATCAGAGTTAGACATTAACACTGTCAGATGCTGGCACAGTGATCCAGAATTTAGGCGTTCGTGCACATACCGAAGGTCTAGGGTTCGAGTCCTACGAGTTGCAGCAGCCATTGGTGCGCACTGCTGATGAGTCCCATACCAGGACGAAAAGGTCATCCAGTGCTTCCAGGTTTTCAATGGTAGTCTAACTATTACTGATTGATGATTTCAAATGTGTAAAAACACTGATCTCCATGACTCTAATTGAAAATATTGTTAGAATGTTAATTCAACCAATATGAACTTTTTTATTCGTCGAGGATTAATCTCAGTTAGTGAATATCATAGAGAAAATTAAAGAACTTCAGACAGATGTTTTATCTTATTGTGTCACTCTTTTTTACTGTGTTGTAACCATGATCCATTTAGAATTATGTATCAGCGTTTATAAATTAAAACATGTCTTATTTTTGAAATGCAGTTGCATGCACGAAAGTCAATAAGTAGTACTTTTTTAAAAAAAAAATTACTGCTAACGTTTCAATGTAGTTGCCTTGTTTTATGATATTATTTATTTACAAGGTGAAAGAGTGTTTATATGCTTTTTTTTCTTCAATTAAATATTTCCTTCCTAATAGATAAAACTTGTAAATATCAATCCTGCTGATGTGGTCGACGGGAAGCCAGCTATTGTTTTAGGTCTTATATGGTCGATTATATTATTTTTTCAAGTAAGTTAGATGAATTACTCTGGTCATATATATATACATATATATATATATATATATACATATATATATATATATATATATTCTGGAAATAATTAGTTTGTGCCCCCAATTTACAGTCCTAATCAGGTTGATCTGAAATGAGCGCAATATTTTACAGAAATAAGGATACCTTATGCCCAGAACAGAGTAGGTTCGAGAATACTAGTCAGTGGCCTATGCTCAATTGGGGTTAACAGGCGTAAGTAAGTAAGTAAGGATAACTTTTCTGAAAGGACATGATTCCTTAATTGTAAAATCAGAAGTGAGGACATTTTCAGGTGCAACATTGTTATGGGAGTATGTGCGCAGGATAATAGTCATTGGTCTTGTACGCACAGAGTTATCTTTGATAAAGTTTAACGAGAAAATACATTAACAACGATTTCGTCATATACGTTTCAGAGTGGTTTATTTTAATAAAAAACCTGATTATTGAAAAATTTGAATATATATATATATACTGACGTTTATGACACTAATAATTTCAAAAACTCTGTCTAGTTATACTGGATTTTATCGGTGTCAAGTTGTCACAGCAACCATCTCTACACACACTATGTGCATATTTTTATGTACTATGGTAATCGGAAATTGATTGGGTCAATTTTTGTAAAATAAATCTTGTGTCTACGTTATGCTATATTGGTCACAATCTCCTTTGTTTTTTTATCAGATCACACAGATAAACAATTATATCTGTAATGTTTAATTCTACGCTTTACAAACAAGCTATTTGTTCAATCATCAATAATTTGTATAACACTAAATAGGATAAATTTATTAATATGAGCTAAAAACAATTCAAAATACAACCAGTCGGAAATAATAATCTCACACACACGCACACACTGAAATGCTTTCAATCCTAAATGATTCAGTCTGATCACGTTTTGTTTGTTTATTGATTTATCAGTTCATGTATTAGTTCTGTAGAGAATCGATAGAGTTCAAGATTATTTCCACTATGTAAAAGCATCAAACAGTTAAAAAATTCAAAGAATAGAAAATGATTAAATGATTTTTATTTAATAATAATAATAATCTAAAAGTAGTATTCAGTAGTAGTTTTAAACAATACTGAAATTAAAAACTCTACTTCACACAGTAAATTCACTGACTGAAATATGAAAAGTGTATATCTGGAAGAAAAAAAACTTGAAATTTGGACAATATTTTTCCAGTTTCCAAGTTTTGTTCAACATTCAATATAAAAACGGCTGTATTTGATCGTTTCAAAATAAATTAGGCATTGAGTAAAAAGTTAATTAGAATAAAATAATTATAATTTTTTTATGACAGCCGAAATTTTGTATTTCTAATATTTTATGATTAAATATATGTACTATTTCAAAGTAACTGAATAAATTAATAACCGATGTAAATTAACACAAGTTTAAATATTAAATGAAGGGGAAACAAAAAAGAATATGTTTCTAGTACAATCAGAACCATGATAGATCTGAACGTAGGAAGTTGAAAGTCAAACGGTATATGGCTCATGTCTCAGTATGAACATCAATCTACTAAGATACAAGTATATCCAGTTAAGTTACTCCTAAATGTAATAAAATGTTCATTCCAGATTTCGTTTGCTATTCATGACTAATCCGTTCTAGAAAAGCAAACAATGTGCATGGTTCGACTGAAATGAGATAGAAATCAATAGGATTTGTCATACAGTTTTATATTCTAAATGATCTAAAACTTATTCTTGGAACAATTATTTCACATTGAATTTTAGTGATCATCTAACGTATTAGATTCATTTTTTACACCGATAATCGAGTCATGTTGGTAGATGTAGGCTACCTGGTTGGGGTCCGCAAGACGAAAGTCACCAATGGTTAGAGACCTTGAACGTCATGGCTCAGAATCGTTTGCAATGGCTCAGGTGTATCCTATCTGATTCTAACCTTCTGAATTCCTCATCTCCATCTTTCTCCTTCTAAATTTATCTTATTGAATTATACTTCTCGAATCATATCTTCTCCATTACTGCCAATACTTCTACTATCGCTATCACTCTTGGATTTGAACTGACAGTTGCTTCTCTGTGCTGATGTGGTATGGCAACCTGAACTGATGTACTTACGTACAAAGTTCTGCGTTGTATCTGTCTGTCTTACACCGATAATCAGAATATGATAAAATTAGATTTTATAATGAAATAAAATAGTTTTTATCATTTGAAATCATGAATTATTTTTCTAAAATCGGTTTTACAAAATTCTATAGATTCAAGGTCACCAGAAAGTTTTACGAGATGCATTGAAATCGCGTCGTAAAAGTCTTTCGAAATCAATTGATTCTGACGCCACTGGAAATGTTAGTAGTAAATCTGAGGAGACAAGTTTATCTGAACAGGTAGATAGTACAAAGAGTGTAACTGGTTCGAGAACTCGACAAGCTTTATTGACTTGGGTGGAACAGTCTTTTCGTTCGCATAAATCGTAAGTTGTTAATTATGGAAAATTATTTGACGAATTTATTCATTGAAATTATAAATCGATAAATGTTAGATCACGTTTAGAAACCTGGAAATACTGGACTGCTGTTTCATCCTAGTTTGGCAATCCTAAGTAGCCCGCATCCGCAACCCCGCAAGCTGTAATTAAGCCTAGTAAATTCACTCTCGCGCGGTAATACTTAACCTGAAGACCAGTTAGCTGGTATCTGACGGTGTTCATATTAACTTCAATCAAACTACGATCTAGCTTGAGACAGTTCCCCACCGAAGAGGATGGAATATAGTCTTACAGTGTCGTGGATTGATTTAAGCTAGACATTAAAACAAAGTTCCTGGGTTAGACTAACACTTGCGAGGTCATCAGTCAGTACTGTTGAAACGTTCCGTATTATGACGAAAAGTCTATTCAGTGCTTCCAAATTTTCAACGCTGGTTTAACATGGGCCAATTAGCGATTTTAATGAAACTCAATAATCTCGACAACCCAATACTGATAAAATAGTTACATTTTTATACGCGTTTTTCTGAGTTTTTTACTAAGAATTCTAGGTTTTGTATTCCATTTAAAAGTCCACATATTTGTAAACTGTAACGCGTTTTAGTCAGATCACTGTTCTGTAAGGTGAAGAATAATAAACTAGGATTTGGATCACATAACTTGTGCTAGGACAAATAATACTGCCTATCACTCACCCAGACTAAACTGTGGTGGGACTGGGATTTGAATGTACGACCTCGTGGTTTAAAGCCTCATTCTTCACCTAGATAAGCCACTGTGAGCTTGTGATACTGAATAATAATCATATCACGATAAGTAATAAATGGATTTGTTTGTAGGGCGCCATATATGCTTGTTTATAAGTAGCCTATTAGATTTTAAATGAGGCTAAAGCATTTTTTTACAAGAAACAATTCATGTATTACGATATTCTGATTTATGTTTAATGTGAGCCTGTTTTAATTAATAGGTGATGATGACATACAAACATTTATCGATTTCCCGCTTTCATATGGATATTCCTGTGGTTTGATGTGAATATTAGGAAATCGATTAACCTTTATATCTATCATACTGACTTGTTCTTTTTCGTCAGTTTACTATTTCTTCCTTTTATTTCCTTTTTTATGAAGAACATTGGAAATTAGAGTTACCGACTTTGCTACATCTTGGCGTGATGGTAAAGCATTTTGTGCTATGGTGCATAATATTAATCCAAGTCTTATTGACATGGAAGAAGTTATGCATCGGAAAAATCGTGAAAATTTAGAATTAGCATTCAATGTAGCTGAACAACGACTTGGTATACCGAAATTATTAGATCCTGAAGGTAAGTTATTTTCATGTTATATCAAGTTGAAGTGATATATATATATATATATTATATATACAACAATAATCATAACATCACCTTACACCCGTTACCCCTAATATAACATAAGCCGCCGGACAACATTGTCCAACCAACCCTAGTGCGAGCTTTTCCTTCCAGTTCTATCCCAATCGCTATTGATTCTTTCTATGTTTGTTCCCCAATTCTCGGCTCAGTATGTTTCTTGATCTACCTCTTTTACTCTAGCCTTGAAAATTTCAAATTATACCTCATACATATATTTAGGTCATTCCAGCAGACAACATATTCCTGACATGACAGTATGAATTTCACCAGCTTCGTAAAACATTACAGAGTCAATTTTAATGACCAGGTTATAATTCTACTGGTCCACGAGTTTAGATTTACTCAATTTATGATAAAGAGCTGTAATAGTTATAAAATGCTAACTATAATGACTGTTACATTATCAGTAAAGCAATAAAATTCCTAATAACCTATTTAGCTAAAACATAAAACGTACAAAGTAATTATCTCCGTTCAACTGGTTTAACATCATGACTCCATACTAATTTATACTTTTTTTAAATATTGAAATCAAATCAACACCAGTCCAACATAAGAATTTAACAAGCTTCAAATAAGTATAATAGTTTTTTTCAGAGCTTAATAAATGTTCATTTTTCAGTAGTTCTGAATTCTATCCTCCACCGACTAGTAAGTGACTGTACATTCACATGAGGTCCTATTCTACTGTGAAATGATCATCAAGTACTTCCTAGTTTTTATTGGTAGCCTATATACGATCAGTTTGTGATATAAGCTGCGAAAAACTTCGAAATTTTAATAAAACCTAATTAACAAACTAATTAAAAGGTTAATTAGGCAAAACAACACATATTGTATCATATAAGTATACATAACATTTGGTTATAGAATGAACAGATTACATAATTAAAGTTAAGAAAATCGAAAGTAAAAATGCTAACAAGATGGTAAAATATTGATAACGATTTACTTATGCGTTAATAAGATGTGACATTTATGAAACAAGAAAAAAGAAAACAAGAATTTCCGAGAAAAAATATTGTCAATAGATGAAGTGAATTCATTTGGATGTCAGAAAAAACGTATACTTAAACGATTGTAGTGAATCGGTTAAAGCCTGGTGGATGATTTAAAAAGGTTTGTTCACTTTCATGAAATGTCTCATATTACTTAGGGATGTGCAGATATCGAATATTCAGTTACTCAAATGATGGATTCGGCGTATTATGTATTCAGTGCAACTGGATTCACAGGAGTAGTTTTATTAGTAAATGGATATGTATGAAGTGAAACTTACACTAATCGAGAAGCATTATAGAACAGGATGTATAACTTAGCTGCAATGAACGTTTTATTTACAGGGCTTCGTTTACTTGATAGCTCACGAATATAGTCAGTCATTAAAGAACTATCATTTACTATATGATTCAACTCACCTGAAATCATAACTGTTCATTAGAACATCAAGAATTTATCAAATAAGCTCAATCTGGAATTAAAGAGTCGTATATTATTCAACACTCATAAACTTTTTAACTCCTCTCTCAATGATATCAATTTTTGCTAGAAAAAGAACACCATCTTTTGAATTGTTGTGCTACCTAATCAAGAAACGAATAAACAATCAGTAATTCTATTTACGATGATCAATTGTTTTACATTGATTGATTCATTTCGTTCTAGATGTTGATGTAGATAAACCGGATGAACGTTCAATTATAACATATGTAGCACAATTTATGCTAGTGGCTAGTTCGCATCCACCCAAAGTAGGTTAATTACCCCATATAATTCGATCGCTTTTTATTCTCTGTAAATAATTCACCGTTCGTTTGAAACGTGAATTGAATTTTATGCTATAAACTTTGTTTTAACCAGTTGACATTGTATTTTATTTGTTTTTACCACTGTTCATTAAATATTCCAGCGGTAAATCTATTTTCAAATTTGGTTACTAATTATCGCGTTCCACTTGAAAAGATCAATGATACTGTTAGCCTTTTGAAATTCAATTCTGTAATGCAATAACAGATATCTGTAGTCATGATCGACTAAATCTTGTAAATAATACTCAAATTATAAAATAATTTTTAACTTAAATTCACTGAACTTGGCGTACATATTGCAGAGTTGAAATTACGATCAATCTACAATATCCTTTATGATCGGATTTCATGAACGACTGAAACATTGAACTTCTGAACGGAAATTGAAATATTATATAAATATTCGATTAGATAGGAATGATTTAACCGTATAATTAGGCAGTTATGATTGATTTTACTTTCATTTTATCATGTAGATACTACACATAATTTTAGCTCAGAGGGCCGAGAAGCATGTAGAACTTTGAACTGATCTTTTCAGATAATTTTGAAGTTGATCATTGGTAGTTTTACTTTAGAAACAATAAGATAGCTTTTTAGAATTATCTACGCTACCTATTTTCGCACTAGAAAACTATGTTCGACAATATTTGATGATTAGACGTTACAACATCCTGAAGATAAAGATGTTGACGGAAATCCGTTTTACACTGTTGTTAACTTATCTTTCGCTATTGACAACTTGTTAATTATACCTTCATTTCAAACATGATTTCACATTCGAACTCTCTTCGTATTGTATTGGTATTTATTCAATAATCAGAAGACAGGAACTAAACGTTTTCTGAACAGTAGGCATCACGCATTTTGTCATATAAGTTTAATAATAAAGTCAGTCAACTTAAGAATAGTTGGTTGGTCATAAATAACTTAGAATCAAACACATATATGTACATCGGTTTAAGTAACCATATCATATTATTGAAACAAGATTAAATTATCAGGATAAATGCCAAAGTAGTCAAAACTAATCACAGTATCAGTGATGTTGTAAAAGATTATGATTCAAGAAGAAAAGACAAATAACTGGTTTCATAAAGTGTGAATACACTTGTATCACCCCTGTGATTGATTCTCAGCCATATTACACAATCTTCCCAATCATTTGGTTACAACTAAATTTCTCAATGAAAGTGTATTTTTCTAAAAAAAAGGTGAATTATTCTTAATAAATTAATTATTATTCAAAAATCTAGTGTTCATATATAATCACAAATGTAAAGCATTTTGATTTCAGTTTCTGTTCTATGATTGTTTATTTCAGTAATTTCATTCACTTCAGCTCAGCTAAGATTAACTTTGCATTGATTATTTGCCTAATCCTTAAAACTTAATAAAACCATCCTTTTAGTTGAAAATTGTGAATATTTTTGTATAGTCTTTAGGGGATCGGATTGCTAACCTCATTTTACAACCGACCTCCTTTATCCCGGGTTCAAAACCAGTGGTAACTCCAGAGGGGCTTCATGGGGAGTTATAATTCTTATAGGTAGAATCATTTTTCGATTAAAAACATTTGAATCGGCATGGCTAATAGAATTTTAAAAATACATGTATATATGACATTAGATGATAATCCTTATGTCTGGAGAAAGAAGTTCGATAAAAGTCTACGATAGCTTCTAACTAGGGAGCTACTGAGTTTATTTTAATACGGATTCAATAGATCGGTAGCTTGAACACAACAACTCTCAACATCAATAATCCTCACGTTTATATGAGACAGAACTTTCAAGACGGCCTTATATTCCGAAGAGATGTTTCAATAGAACAACTTTATTAGTAACAGTCAGTGATGTTGGGATGCTTAAGAAAATTAGCCAACAATAACGGCTAAGAAGATAGTAGTTAAGGTCACTCTAAATGTATGAAGTAGGAAGCATCGTCAAGGTTATCTGTCAATGAAGTAATTAACAAACAATAATTAATATTAATATGTATGTTGTGGTTGATGTTACTTACAAGGTGGCACATAAGTACTTTTCAGCAGATCATCGCAAAGAAGTTGCCACCAGGGACACATGTCTGAAAATCAAAATGCATTAAGTGATCAGAGTATTATATAGACCAAAAGAGGAGTGAGGGACAATCTTTATTAACCTGCTTGTATTGTAAATGGATTATTATCAAAATCTTACAATTCAAATCAAATGTTTTCAACGTTTTGTTCATAGCAGTCATACAAGCATCTTTTTTATGTATAGTGCTTGACATTGCAGAAAAAAAGGAAGAGTCATTCCTGAATAGATCTTAACATAAATAAGTCATTAATAAAACTGTGTAAGTGATGTAAAATGAAATTGTGAAATTTAGGATTTCAAATTGACTAAAACTTGAAATAATAAAATTGCACACAAGGTCATCTTGAATTTCTAATGAGTGTTAGTTTAGATGACATAAAATAGCTTAATTTCCTCCAACATGACAAAAAAAAGCAAAATTTACATGTTGTAACAATTTTCAAAGAATTGTTTTTATTAATTAAACTTAACTGCCGTCTTAAAGTATGACATTCACTAAGAAACCTGCATTTCCAACGTTTTATAATGTGTATGAGTATATTTGAGGGTTGTTGTTTAGTCTTCATCTAGAACTAAGCAGTTATCCAGTTTTCTCTGATCTTCCACAACTACTTTTAAATTGATATGATCTCTAGAAACGAACAGAATATCGTTTATTGATTATTGAAATACACATGATGTAATCGCCTCTTACAACTCTTTCTTTATCAATTAATTTGTTGATTTGTAATTTACTGTCTGTCCACATAAAACAGAATACATATAATGGTCTACATTATAAATTCTTACTGATAGTTTTATCCTATAATGCAAACATAATAATCATTATTGTAAATACTAGTTTAAGGTAAATCATCATGGATTGTTTTGCCGTATTCGTTTTTTTTCAATTTTTAATTTAAATTATCAAGATTAAATCAAGATCTGGTTCACGTCGATCAAGTACAAGTAATTCAGAAAAACTACAATCTGAACAAAAATTGAAAACAACAAACGACGACGTAAAAACTGAATCTAAACCAGAAAATGAAATTCATACACCACTTAGATTAGCTTCATTCGAACCTGACCCAGAAATTGATCCTGCATTAATTTTGAATGCTTCAACTACAGCCAACTTCCTGGAACGTCGTCGTGCTAGACGAGCAAGTTTAAGTGGTCCACAAACTATGGATGATGAAGCATTGCATAATCTGATTTTAGCTACAAGTCCTATGAGTTCTGGGACTGGTGGTGCTTCCACACCGACAGACGATGCAGCTACCGCGCTGTCGTCATCCACACCAGGTTATATGCGTACTATGTCAGGTTCACCATCTCCTCCTAGTTATGGTACATCTCCGCATCGATCTGGGCGTGCACGTTCATATGCTGGATTGCGTTTATGTCGTGTAGCCAAAAATGTATCGAAATGTCGAGCAATTGCAAATATTCGTGTAACAGCTGAACCGCCTAGAGCTACTCGTAATATTGTTCCTGTTCTACATTTAGGTGGAGAGGTGCATTATTTATGTCTAGTAGTATTATTGTTCGTTGTCATTGATTAATTAATGCATGCTAATGCACTAGAAATCTCATCGATTTGCACATAATTTTTTTTAGAATAAAATAATTGTTTTCGTTAGTTTTATTTTTAAACTATACTAGTACTAAATTAAACTGGAAGTAAATAAGCTGTTGATAGAAACTATCGATATTGTAATTCTAGTCTCAAGTTTTACTAGATTAAATGTTTTTTTTAAAAAGTAACTTGATTAGTCTTCTGTGACTATTATAGTTTATTTTAGTTACATGTATATATCTTCAGGTAAGGTTATTGATTAGGCGGCTTATCAAAGCAAACTGCTATTCATGAACGCTTATGAATGCTTCACCCTTCTTTTATTTGTCGCCAAATCAAGTATCAACTTAAAAACCAATTCTTATGTAATATCTAAATGATATCTGTGAGTTCACTTCATAATATGAACTTATGTATAACTAAATTTTCATTCATCAGAAATCTTGACTTGTTTTAGTCTATTTAGTGCTTGTTTTATGAACTCACTCAATTCGAACTGGTAATCTACCTATCTACATCTGATATTTTTTAAGTTTTTAACTCAGAAGAAGGCGAAAGATGGTGTAATTTTCTTCCTTTATGTTCTATATTTATCATCGTTTGAAACTTTAAACTTGTACAAAGTGTTTAATTTATTCATCTAATGATCACTGATTTTATATGGTACATGTTTTCATTGCTCGTAATGTCACTAATCTTTTTAAACACCGGTTGTCTATATTGTCAATTCGATGTTGTGCTTGTTTTTGTGCACATTAAAAACAAAGTGTACATTTTAATTGTCTTTACTTGTTATGTATCATTGAACATAGAATGTGTGTGCGTGTTTGTTTGAAATCTCTATTCACTAAATGAATTAATGAAATTTTTTTTAAAAAAGGGTAATGAGAAAACAGAAGCAGAAAAAGAACGTATTCTACTCATTAATATTAAAGAATTAATTGCTCGAGTTCGACATAATCCAATTGAATCACAAGATTTTATAACTGAATTTGAAGTAAGTTTTATGCCATTATAATATGAATGATTTTACCTGTTTGTGATGTTAAATATTCTTCGGAATCTATCAAATCAAATCATTTAAATTCTATGAAAATATTGTGTTTATGAATTGCTGTTTGACCACATATTATACATTTAACCATAATTACTGGCACAAAGGGATACCAAAAAATCAGTGAATTCGTATGTAGACTGGGTTACTACTCGAGTTATGAAACCGAAGCAGGTGGTTTCGTCAAACGGCCGATTCTCGAGCCTTCTACTCAAAAGTCTAATCTACAGTGAAATGGAGCAACGTTATGAGGTGTAGTCTCGTAGTAGCATGTTCATACACTGTTTCTTCTCTCGGAATGTATCTTCCGTACTTACCAATTGTGTTTGAGCTTATGTCCAACATTCGCTTTTCGTGGCAAAAAAGTAGTGAATAGAACTTCCTTGACTATGGTTGTATAATCGTGGATATATGAAAAGATTTGGGGAGGGTGGGTGAACTCTACCCTCGGCCATACCCGGGCATTCGTGGTGTGACAATGTTCGTTAGTGTACTGTTTGATATTAGGCGATGAAAGTTTTGAAAATTATCATCAATATGAATCAAAACTAGCAATATATATATATATATATATATATATATATATATATATATATATATAACAGAAAAACTACTGAAAGTTAAGTGATGTAGGACTGCTGTTTCACTTTAATTCACTAACTCTTCTTCAACAATCTAAATCTAAGAACTACACACATAAAACAAACGCGTTAAATTCTTGTCTTCGTAGGGAAACATTAACGCTTTGATGACAGTGAATAAGTATTGAACTATATTAAAAAATAGACCATAGTCGGAAAGTTTAACCATTGAATTCGATTTGAAAGTATGTTGATATTGTAATCTCTTGGTGATTCTTATATTCTGAATTGTAAATAATTTATAATGATTGATGTGCATTGTGAAGTAATCCGAAACCTGAACGAAACATATGTCATATAACTATATTATGTTATATAATTGATAACTGATAGTCCAACAATTCCGACAGCACATTGACAAAAAAATTCATGTGCTTACTGGTGACTAGCTTCATGAGGAGTTCTAGTGAGAAGCCGTAATCAGTGGAGTTCAACTCTGTTAAGTTTGAAGCACTTAACCACCGAAGACAATGGATGAGGTCGCGCACTATCGTGGATTTATTAAACTTAGACCTAAACACCGTTGAATGCCGGCTCAGTGGTCTAGAGTTTAGGTGAGAATGGAATTCTCGGGTCCGATTTCGGCTTACGAAGTGCGCACTGTTGATTGGTCCCATTCTAGGACGAAACGGCCATCTAGTGCTTGCAGGTTTCTAATAATGGTCTAACGTTGGTCGGTTCATGATTCCAATGAAACTCAACATTTCGCACAACTCTATACTGTGAATCTTTTTGTTTGGAAATTTGACATAGCAACACAATAAGAATTTCAGATCGTTTAAAAATATATATATTCACCTAGTAGTAATAAACAACTAGACTAGTTAATTATAACACACTAACACAGTATAAGTAAACTGATATCGCTTTACAATCAAATTATAATCGAATCAAAGTAATGAATCCTTATCGTTATGTAGGACATGAACACTTTCTTCTTTGAACAACCTGATCACACATTCGAATTAAGCTCTAGTTACTCAGGGTTTATTCAACCAAGTTAAATCACTAACTGCCTCTCTCTCTCTCTAACTTAAAATGTAATTTGAAACCATGTTCAGAAATTTCTATGTTGATATTCAAATATGTTTGTGTCACTCAGTAAGCAAGATAAAATTTATTTGAATAATGTCATTGAATTGAAATTGTAAATGGACTGTGTTTGTATAGTATTTTGTAGGATTCATATCAACTCTATTAAGGTTACCTCATTCAGATGTTTATTATTATTATTATTATTATTATTATTATTATTATTATTTTGACTATGATTACTTAGAGTTTTCTTCAAGCTCAACTTGAACATGAAAATATGGCTGCTTATATTCGTGAACTTGATGACAGAAAACGTCAAGGTTTATTACTTGGCTTAAGACCAGAAGAATTAGAACGTGCTGAAGCTGAATGGAGTCGAGTAAAACCTGAACTTGATGAATGGCGTTGGCGTTTAGATAATGTTCTACCAGGTGAATGGCGTCAAGTTGGTCAATGGTTGTCAAAATTAGAAAAATGTCTTATAACTGATGCACTGATAGCTTCACAACTTGGTTTAGAATTAGCTCCAGAAGCGAAAAATTTAACATTGGAAGAACGTGTAACACGATTACGAAATTGTTTAAATGAACATGATGTATGTCACTAGATTTACATTAATGTTTTATATGTTAACTGGTTATGATATATCTTTCTATCAGAATGACCATTTTAGTCTCCTCTTGCTTTCTGAAAAATATTCTCTTTTCATAAGACTTTTATATTATCACATTCATCAACATATTCCCTAGGAGATTTCAGTAAATTTATGTATGTACTGTAAAAGCGTTCTTGTGATCTGATCAATCACACATCGAGAGTGATTTCGACAGAAGATGTTTCTCTCCAGCCACAAATAATTCTCCTTATTTCACTAGAAACAAACAAAGTGATTGCATTAAATATCTTTTAGTTTTTTTACAAACGTAAACAATTACGAGTCATCATTAATGAAATTGATTTCACTTAAAATCAAATTACGATAATATTTAATTTACTTCCAAGGTCAACGAAATTGATTGACGTCATCGATAACATTTTTTGTGTTCGATGCGTGTCTTATGGCACATTTTTACGTTTATTTTGTAGATAATTAGTGCCACATATTGGAATATAATTTTATTTAAAGATCTCTTTATTGAATATACTTATAATAGACAATTAAGTACGACCCAAGCCATTTGAAATGTGATATTTTGAGGAAATCACATTGATAAACCACATTCATCTACTAAATAAATAGAAATATGATCACAAGTACGAAGTTCAACATTTATTGAACATTGAAAATGTTGCAGATAATCTCAGATTTTAAAATTATTGCTAAAGATTTTGTCGAATCGGGATACTATAAACATCGTTTTGAAAATACAAGTCATTTCTTTTTGATAAGGAATTAATTTGTGTTTACTGGCTAGACGACAATTAAAAATTTTATACAAAATATTACTGAACATTTATTGAAATGTCACTAAATAAGTGTCTTCATGAAAACGATATAAATATTGTATAACTTTCAAGAAATTAATACCATTTCATACTTTATTCGCAACAAAATTATTCATCGTTGGTTTTTTTATTTTCTAACTATTTCAGGATATTTTCAATAATATTGAAGAGTTAAATCCTTTAATTCATAGATTAGATGAAGAAAATCAAAAATTTAATGAAATTGCTCAAAATAATCCCACATCAGATGTATTAACTACATTGCCAACTCGTTTACCACAAATGATTGTTGATTCACTGAAATCACGTTTTATCACGGCATATTTAAATGGTCAATTAACTAAGCGACGTTTAGAACGTTTAGTACTACGTTGGGATTTAGCATATAAACTAACTATGTTACGCGAACATTTATCAGATTGGCAAGCAATTAAATGCAAAGAAAAATCTGAAGTGAATTTACGCATTAATGAAATAAAAGTAAGTTGTAGCAAAAAAGATACATGAATTTCATTTGAATATATATAGTTCAAACCATGGATCGATTTATGCTAGATAACTATGGAAAACATTTAGTATATTTACTTGTTTAAGCAGATAATTATTAGTGAAACTTACTTACTTGCCTACCTAATTATTTGCTTACTTACGCCTGTTACCCCCAATAGAGCATAGGCCGGCAACCAGAATTCTTCGAACAAACTCTGTCCTGAGCCTTCCTTTCCAGTTCTATCCAATTGCTATTCATTCTTTTCATGTTTGTCTCCAATTCTCGACACAATGTGTTCCGTGGTCTATCACTATTCCTTTGGCATTGACGATTCCAAGTCACGACTTGCCTTCTGACAAGTTGGGTGATTTCCCTAATATTAGTTCCATCCATCTCAAGCTCATTCTCTTAACTTCTCCTTCGGCTCGAATTTGGTTTGTTCGCTTCCACAGTAAGTTGTCGCTGAGGGTTCCTGGTCAACGGATTCTCAGTATCATGTGTAGATAACTGTTAATAAAATCCTGTATCTTGTGAATGATGGCTTTTTTGGTTTTCCAGGTTTTCACTGCATTCTGTAGAACAGTTTGGACGTTAGTATTGAGAAGTGTGACTTTGGTGTTGGCTGATAGTCACTTTAGGTTTTAGGTGTTCTTTGATTATATGAATGCTGTCCTTGCTTTGCTAATCTATGTCTTTACATGTTCATCAGATCCACCTTGTTTTGTCAATGATTCTATCCAGAAATATAAAGATTTCCACATCTTCGAAGCATCTCTGTCAAATCAGATTTGGTTGGTGCATTATTGGTACAAAAGTACACTTAAATTAGTGAATTTGTGTGTGGCGTGTGTTATTCCACCAGTAATTGAGCTGTTGGTTTCCTTAGGAAGCTTACATGTTTAATCCACAAGCATCGTGAGAAAATACAGTCCCATAGCTTCGTACGCCATTTGTTCTCTTAGGATCTGGGAGCCCATGTGCACTATTGATTTGGAATGAGGGTTCCAAACTTCTTTAGGTTGATCTTTCGTACTCACCGACTCAGTCCATTTTTCTTCCTCTTAATTCCGTAAACATAACTCATGGGGCGAGATGGCAAAAAGATTTTCCTGACAGTGGCTACACAGGCGTAGCCATGTGAGAAGATTTGGAGAAAGATTGGAAGAACTCTGCCCACTCTCGGCAGTCTCGAGGCTCAGAGTCCGGTTATCTAATTGAAATTAATCCCTAATGTTTGTGTAATTTCGGCAGTTTACAAAAGCTTGATGGAGGCCTTGTAGTTCGAAAGTTAAATGCTCGTCGAGAGACCTGAAGTTCGTTGGTTTGAGATATCTCATACTAGAAAGAAAACCACTGTCGAATGCTTCTTGGTCCCGATGGTTATCGTATTTAGGTCAGTACATAATCCAAACGATAACATTCGGCAATCTCCACAAATCTTTTAGTAACAATTAAGTTTTTATTATCTATCAAACATTAACAGCATTATTACAAGTTGCATTTTCTTATTGATATTATTTTATTGAAAAGGATTATTTATCATCTATAAATTTGCCTGAAGATATGGACAAAGGTTTGGATAAACTTAAAGAACTTGCATCAGAACGTGATGATACAGCATGTCAAATTGCTGAACAACGTGAGAAATTAGAAGCTGAAGCAAAATTATCAGGTCCTATGACAAATCAACAAGCTTCTGTTACTGCTGGTGGTGGAGCATACATTTTAACTGATTATGCTGAAACTGAACGAAAAGAAACGAATTTCTTTTTAACTTCACTTAATACACGTTGGAAGGATACATGGTCAGATTTGTTGAATATACAAACACATTTAGATGAACTTTCTGTTAAATGGACTCTATATGAAACGGTTTGTTTGCTTGTTTTTCTATTAAAAATGCATTATTTTATTTGTTGTACATACTATGAATTTACCTTCTACTGTCTAATAGAAAATATACTAATGCTAAATAGGATCATGAATTGTTGATTCTTCAGATGATGATTCCTTTTTACGTCAAATAATTGTAATGACCTTCGCCTTATTGACTGTACTTACTCTGATTTGTCTATGCAAATTGTTTCTATCCCCCAAACTGCCTAATTGGAACAGATAAAAAGCCAGCCCATTTACTTCTATTATTATTTGGTTTCGGACTTATAGAACTCATATTATGATATTGATCAATTATGAATTGATAATGTATCATGAGTAGGGAAATCCTAATTTGTACATAACTAGTCCACTTTTGCTAATAGGTGTATTTTGAGTTGTAAAACATAGATCAACTATTAATGAGTTAGAAGAAGAACTTTTTACGACTTAGACTAATGAATGAATACGCTGTATATTACACCAAGGTTAACCCCGTTTTAGCAACGTCGGTGATAAAAACCTAAATATGGATTAAGTCAGATGAATTCTCCTTGATGAACTCATTTATTTAGACAAACATTAGGCTGCGAAGCAGAGAAGGTAAGTGTATCAACTTTATTTGATAAAACCTAACTCACTACTTATTAACGAGACAAAAATAAGCTAGACATAGGATAATTAGACTAAGTGATACATACTTATACGCTCAAATAAAAGCAGTCAAAGTTATCAGCGAGTAATTGTTAAGATCAAGGTACGTGTGGATGATTTCGATAGAGAATAAATTAAATTCATTTGTCCAAAAGTCAGAATAATCCATCTAGGCGTCACATAGTACTAGACATTATAAGCTTGTAACTACCCAGTTATAAAAATATTGTAGTGTAAATGTTTAGTGAATTGACAAGAAATATATATATGTGCAGTAATCTGTTACAGAATGGTTTATCTTTTCCAATGATTCGCTCATATTTTACCATTTAAAATAAAATTAAACAGATTAGAAGATATATTATAGATTCTTCAGTTTCTCATTATTATTATTTTGTAAGGCTTTTGAGTTTGTAAATCTCTTTATGAATTCATTTTTGGTTTGTTACAGTCAAACTACCCACCTACAATTTCATTGATTAACTTAGGTAAAACAAGAGCCCACATAAATTCACTATTTCGAGAAAATTCTTATCATCTGCTACGTATAATATACAATATTTTAGAATTGAAATTTAAAGTAGTGTTTAATGTACTCATAGTGACAAAGTTATTTGAAATTTAGACTATAGATTCAAATCAATATCAGATGGACAGGACTGGATGGTGATTTTGTTCCACCATGAAGTTCTACAGAAGTACACACCAATAGTTAATCAATATATTCGACTACATCCTAAGAGATTTGGTGGATCACTATCAAGTTAACTGTTGTAGTTAATTCAAAATGAGTTCTTAAAGTCTTGATCGGAAACCGTGACCTGTGGAGTTTAGATATGACTAGAGCGTTAGAAATATCACCGATGGTATTGAATGATCTTCCAAATGTTAATTGATTAAAGTTGAACTCCTACCGCTAGACTCTTGTCCATTAGTTCTAGTGTTTAGGTGTTTCTTAAGAGACCTGGATTTCAAATTCGTTCCCTTGAAGAGACTACGTATGTACGTTTCTGAGCTGCCTTGTTATTCATATTTAAAACTACTCTTAAGCTGATTAGAGGTTTGGTATAGTGGAAGTTTATTTGACAGATTGAGTGTTTGAAAATACAATTACTAATCGTATGAGACTGTTATCACGCTTGTCGATTGTTCGTAGTACCTTCTCTCTGTTTCATCAAAGACTATCTGAAGTTGGATCAACTCAGTAATTATTGTGTTCAATTCAAAGAATACTGATCAGTTACTATTTAATAGACACAATGTTTTAATTAGTTATTTTCCTTCAAAGATTGATTCCAATCTCCTTTTTGATTTGCATTGTTTTTACACTTTATTCACAATAAAAGGAAAAACTACATTTAGATGAATGGTTGACTGAAGTCAGAAAATTACTTGCTGATGAGAGTACAAGTCCTGAAGAACGTGAAAAATTATATCAAGATTTAAAAGAATGGCGTACACGTGTTTCAAATTTAAATGATCTTGGACATGAATTAATGCATACATGTGATATGACAGCATCATCACTTTTAGATAATGAATTAAAGGATATCAATAAGCATTGGACCGAAGTTACTACTGAAGTAAGTAAATGTTATCATGTTATCATCTGATACTGTAGGCATGTACGTATGTATTTGTAACGGTTTATGGGTATGTGTATGTTGATCGATGGATAGATTGATGTAAAGTACATGATTAATTAACCGTTAAAAATAACTACTGGGAATCCAAGAGCATTTTAACAGATCGAAGTGATGAAAATCTAACAAGACTCCACTATGCCGATGACCTTGTATAAGTTAATAGAAATGAAGATAGCCGATGGTAAATAATAAAGCGAATTTCCAACCTTATTGCTGATAGCTTCTTGCTAAAGTTCAAACTAGATGTATCAGAGCTAGGAGTTCAAGTTTAAACAGGTTACGGTTCTATGATTTCCAGCCGAATTTATCGACTGCTAGTGCTATTAAGTTTATTAATCATGTAAAAGCTTTTCATCGTGTGTGTTCTGAGTCTCGAATGGTTGACCTCAAGTTCACCTAAGGGCTCAGTGGAACAGCATAGTTTTTTATTCCAGTTGATAGCATGAAGCATACAAGTCAAGTGAAACAAATTTAGCCAAATGATTCATACTCAAGAATTGTACTAACAACTTGACCATAATTCAGTAACACTAATACTCTTTTATTATGATGATCCATAAAACTGAGTATAACTCTACAGATTCAAGTTAGAAATGACCATTACTAAGAATAACACAGAGGTAAATGCTAACTTGGGAATTATTAAAGATTCCTATTGTGAAAATTAGAGCAACACATATAAACAAATAATATTGTTTTTAATTAGGTCAACATCAGGCTTTGTTCTGACTTATATGAATATTGATATGAAAATATTAAACTAATCAGGGCAATTTACAAGTCAGTGATCACAATTAAATAGATCACGTAACTGCCCATATCAAAAATTATAGTCAATAGTTCAGCATTGAAAGTAACAGGCCGAACTTGAAGAGACTTTAAAATAATCATCACAAAACATAATCAACCTATAGCCTTTCATAGATGTGCGTTATTGTTGTCATATCAAACACAAGCTGGACGAGTTGAAATTAATAAAATGAATGGTAAGGTAGTCGAAATAGTGTGGTATCAGTAATTATAGGAATGACTGAATATAGAGAATAAGAAGCTGTATATGAAGCAATGCCCTAACTCAAGATCAATGCAAGATTAAGAACCTCAAGACCAACAGAGTCAAACCCCATATTAAGGTCAAGGAATATAGCTATTTTCAGATACTGGAAAATATTTTTTTAGTCTAAAACCTTTTGAAGTATGAATACTTGATCCCTCTACGTCCACGTTCGAGTGTGTAACCAGCCTGGTTTTCTCGGGTCTGCTCATCACGACTTCTAGTTGAAGTATTATTGAAACTAATATTTGAGACGCTTTTAGTTAACTGATTCCTTTATGAATGCTATAAGAGGACTTTTGTCCTTACTTATAGACCTGGGCGATCAGTGATTGAAAGCAGTCAGACAAGATGATGTACAGTTCCCAGATTCTAACTAAGATCTCAGCCACTCTAACTGCTGAAACCCAGCCACCATCCTTAAAAATCTCAGAGGTCAGCCTATCAGACCCAGCTGCTCTCATTCACTTTTGATTGATTATAGCTCTCCCAATCCTTCCAAAATTTGGCCCAGTGGTCCAGAGGTTAGGCGTCCGCGCTCAGGTTGGGTTGGAATCCTGTGGATAGCATGGGTGGTCGATGATAAGTCTCATTCCAGGTTTCTAATGGTGGTATAACAATGATTGATTCATGATTTAAAGTAATAAACAACAATCTCCATATCTCTGCAGTGAATAATCGAACATATATTCATTTGTTATTCAGGTTCCTTGTAGATAGTGGATAACTGAAGTATTGCTGAAACATAGTTGAACTGTTTGCCAAAGTCTTCCACCTACCTATCCGATATCTTGTATTGGGAATCAACAGTAGTTACATCATTCTAGAAAGAAGTGCCCTTAATAGCATAACTCTTAACTCTAGTTACCTGGATTAATTTGAGCGGCTGTCCGTTGTTACCTATTGCCACTGCATTTTACATTTTTGTAGCTTTCGCTGCTTAAAATCACTCATCGTGTTCACAGCCGAACGAGATACGTTTTTCAGCATTACTGTGGTGAAATACGCTCTTGGCTTTTTTTTTTATCTTCGAGTAGGACTCTAAGAGGCTTTCTTGACACGCCTTTTTTACTTCCCGCGGGCCGCAGACATTCGTGCTGGTGCTAGAGCATAATTTAAGACTGTACAGATGTTCCAAAATGAACAAGTCTTTTGCTGAACCTTTCGAACGATGACTAATAGCAACGTGATTTATTCGGGTCCATCGCTTAGTCAATTATGGCGGTCATTATTTCAGTCGATATTTTTCCCTATGCTTAAAGTAGGCGTTTGCCAAAAACAGAAGGTTATCTGAAAATAGCTAAAGCAGAGGTTCCCATTGTCTGTTCACTGAGCAACGATTCTATAAGATTCACCCAGGTGTCTTTCGGTTTCGCTTAGTCTACCTACTCGGGCATTAGCATCACTCGCTACTTTTACGACACCAGAGCGCTTAACTTTTTGAAGAACGTTGGGAAGCTTCCTACAGAACTCGTCTTTTACTTCATCCGAGCTTCAGTCAGCCGGAGCGTAGGTTAAGAAATCGAGCAGGAAACGATATGGATCTCTTTTTTTTCCGAGTTCTTACTGTTCCGTTTAGTCTGACAGTACAAAATCAACTGTCTATTAAAATCGAGTTTATGAAAGCCGATATGGTTCTTAAACTTAATGTTATAACTACACCTGCGAGGTCATGGGTAGTAGCAGTGAAGACTCTATATATACAATGCATATATTGCAATGGTTCTTTATATTGACAAAGTGGGCTAAGTGAATGGCTGCACTTAGATCCTGTATATGTTTTTCTGTGACTCAGAATACATTGATAACACCAGATTCTGCAGTTCTACCTATGGAAGCCCGTAGCCTTATTCGGCACAAGATTTGAACATTAAAAGCTCCAACATGTAGTTTAGAGTTCGATTTCAACACACCAAAATAACATTTCGTGAACTCGTATCATTGGCATTAAAGGAGTAAGACGATAAAGATATACTAGAATAGTCAGCCGTAGAAATAGAAGTACTAAGTAGCGTGGGGCTAGTTCTGATTGTGAACAAGTTGATCTCGTTTGCTATTAGAGGTATGAAGGCGGTTAAAACTTTCCAGCTGCCCAAACTGAAAGAATCCAAGAAAGAAACTGAATTATTGCTAATTTCACTGATCTGGGAGCGTGAGCACAGAGGCCAAGGGACAACCACTTGAGACCTGTCACCCATGACCTTCGCACTTCAAAAGGCCTTACGGCCGGAGATGGAAGTCTGTGGGGTTAGGTGAAGCGTGATAATTTTAAGGTCGACCTTTTCAAACTGCTTCCTTTTATTGTGAGAAGTCAGCATTGTGCAGATGCTGGTTGTCCGAAGAGAACACCTCACTTTCAGTTGACAGTGCGACTTCGCCCTTGGACCTTAAATTTGCTCCTTTTTGTCTTATCCTCTTCTATCAGACCCACTTAGCATGCTAGAACCCAAAGGGATATATATCCCAGCTAATTTAGCTTGGTTGGAAGTGCGGTCATTACCCGATGACTTCAATCATTGTTTAAAAGACATTTGTACGAAATGTTTTACAGTAGATGGGGACTGTTGGGGAATGTAAAATATCGATTTCAGTCATTTGTATGTTACTACAGTATTGCAATATATTTTGTATATCTTACATGAAATAATTTATTTTGGACAAAAAAACGAGAAACAATTATACACTATTGTCGCTATTAATTAGAATACATTATCATCTCCATATTTTTGAAGAGGGTTGGAGGATAACAGAAATAAGTTGACATACAGACATTTTAAACAAGCTACTTAATCAGTTATTGTTATTTAACTAGTTACAGGATTTCCTGTCTACTTTAAGTCTATGGATTAGTTTTTGTTAGGGAAATATTTTTCATTATGCTCTTTCTTGTTTTTTTTGTTATGTTAGAATTTCCAGTTTCCCACAGATGTAGAAACATATCTTTTAATAAAAATTTTAATATAAAGAATTAGATGAGAATGAATGTAAAATAGTACTGTCCTCTTTTGTTGATGAATTCAGAGTAGGAGTCAAGCACCACCTATCTGTTGATTCAGCCTTTAAACAGCTATATCTGATAGTACCCGGTTGTTTAAATCGAAGTAGATGCAGCTGAGACTCGAATCGACAATCTAATGGTTAAAATTTGAATATCCTAATCATCGACTTACCGTTCTTGATGAAGATTTAACTTATATTGACCAGTATTTACATGTACTAATGAACTAGTGAATGTGAAAATAGTGATTTCATTATTTCTGCTGGTGCAAATGCTAGAATCCAAAGAAATCTGGATGGTTTTGTTGTACTTTTAAAAAATGAAGTAGTCTTTATGTACACCTTTTTTTCTCACATACGAATGAATTACAAATATAACTAATTACAAAACTATAGGCTGTCAAATATTTATCATTTTCTTCACTTTCAAACACACTAGACTTCAGCTTCCAACCTTGTATCACTATGATTTAAGTAACTACTTAATATCACTACATGTCTCACTTAAAATGTAGTTGGAAATCAAGTACATAAAATCTGTACTTATTTAGTGATTCTTTAGTTTCTTTTTTACACTGTGGAATGTTTGACAAGATTTTTGTGTCATCCGCAGTTTATCCAACCAATGGAAACGTTATTCATCACAAATTGATCAATCGGGTACAATACACAATAATATCATATTCGATTGTGACGTGTATTGTAAACATGATCAACATATCTGAGTGTACTTTTCTTAATGTTTTTAAATTCTGGGGTTACCCACTCACATCACATGCTCTTGACTAGACATCCAATCAGTGATCGTAAACCATATATAACCAGAGAAGGAGAATTTTATGACCAAATACAAACAGTATAAGAAAAAAATATATGTACATATACCATAATATAGATAGATTCTGAGTCATGGATGCTCATTCTCGAGGAGTTTCATAATAGAGAAAAAATCATCTGTCCTGCACTTCTTGGTTCTTACTAATTGTTTAAGGTCAGTGCTTGTAATCAACACATCTTTTTGTTCACATTCATTAATTAGTCAGGACTTTCTTATATTCAATGAGAAACTAGCTATTCAAACTAATATATTGTGTTGATTCCTTATACTTAATTTAGATTTTTGTTCAAATATACATACGTTCATAGCTTTTCATGATAACTTTTTAAGTTTAGAATATATATATATATATATATATATATATATATATATATATATATTATTAAGAATCAACATAAATACATATTCATATATCGACCTATTTGAGAGTTGTTTGCTGGGTCCACCTAACTCCATATACTGATGTTCAAACTAGGGTAGAAACCTAGTGTTAATCACTTCTACCACTAACGTGTCATTCTAAACTGGATGAAACTCTGGTCCGGGATTTCGTTGATAGTCATAATTCAAATATAATAGAAATTTATAACTAGAGAACATAACCAAGGTAATCTACACAGGATGCATATTCTCGAAATGAAACCGATCAATTCCTTCTGTTGGTATGAATTATTAAAGAGTACGCAAACCTTGACGATAATTATGTACAAACATTTTGCTACCAAAACCAATTAGGTACTTGCCTTGGTGTTTTTCACCCAAATCAATGATATCAAACTTTATTTCGTGAAATAATCTTGTTCAATGTACAATATTTGTATGTATGAGTTTGTTTTAATGTAGTATGTTGTATTATTATTTTTTTCCTATTTAACAGGTTATCAAATTCGTTGATTTAGATCATGCTGAAGAATTAAAAAATCGTAATGCTGAAGCTATGCTTCGATTGAATGCATTAATGAAAACAACTGAACGTTTATTAGTCTCTGATTTTATTCTACCAGAGACTACTGATTTAGATCAAGCTCATGCAGCTACAGCTGAATATCGTCATCAGTTGGAAGAAGCACGTAAACAATTACTTGAAAAAGCTCAAACTGATTATTTGGTTAGTGTGAATTTGTTATACTAAATTGAATCTGCAGTAAAGGATTAAGATTCTTATAATAAAAAAAGGTGACTAATGAAAACTTCACAGTACAAAGATGGACAAGCGTAATTAAATTATTGTTTTCCGGTTGGCGTTACTTAGCAAAGTTATTTTCTACGGCATGAGGTTGTTAATTTCATGCTCAGTTCTCCTTCTTTATTGGGGCTTGGGAATGGAACTAACCCTAGAAGGGCTTCAGGCGGAGTTAACGAGTATAATATTTCGACTATAATTTCCACTGATGGAAAAAAACTAGGAAGAAGACTGGGACGCTGACAATGTTTGGTATTCAACGAAGTCAAAATAGAAATAGAACAGCTGTGTTAACATAGTAGCTTACAATGATCTCACTACACAATGAAATCGATAAACTAAATGTGGTAACAACCAATCTGATAACAGCAAAGTCGTTGCAGTAATGTCAATCAGAAAATTGTCACCAAAGTTATCCGTACAAGAGAGGAATGAACAAATCTTTTCAGACAAAAGCTTAATAACTTACCATTTCCTCAATTGAATTACAGTGAGATTGTAGTGTGGAGATTTAAACAGAATCATTTCGTAAAAGACTATTTAATTTAAGCTAATGTTTTTTTAATAAGTGTATAATAATTCGATTCTACAGATTCCCATCCAATTGTCATCAAGTAATACTCTAAATCGTCTGATATTAAAAGAACAATCGATTTTTTCCTTAACCTCATTGATAAACTCTGAAATTATAACCATAAAGGTTGAGGAAATAGTTTCTTATTTATGTATTATTAAAATATATCCTCAGCATTGAATTGGTGCATACTTTTTTTCGTTGAAATATTCATAAAGATATAACATATTGAGGAACAAATTATCTCTAAGGCTATAAACAAATTTAAACATGAATCTGGATCAGTGATGGTATGATTACCAGAGCTTATTTTTATTGAAAAGGTATTTTTCTGAAATCATGAAACCTTGAAGAACTGGACGGCCGTTTCGACCTGGTATTCGAGGCATCAGTAGTGCGCATCTACTAAGCAAATCACTGGTTTTTATTATACATCTTAGAACAAAAACAACCGACTACATCATTTTTAAAATCATTTAATATTATGTTGAACAACAAGTTTAAGGAGTATAAAGTAGGAAGGTATAAAAAAATTAATTGTTCACTAATACAAAAGTGTATATAGATAATAAGTTTAAACCATAGTTATTTTAATATTGTTATCCAATCGATTGTAATTTGTCATTACTAAATCTGTTGTATATCAGTTGTACTCTTTTTCGCTTTCCTAACAGGAAGCTTTAAAAGCTGCTGAAGAATTAATGGCAGCTGCTAAAGCTGGTCAAGCCGATATGGAACAAGCGGAAGCAGTGATGGCAGCTGTACGTGAAGCTGGCAAACAATTAGATCGATTAGCTAATGAAGCTGTTCAAGCGAGATTAGATGAAGTTGAAGCAGCAACTAAAAAAGCTGTGGAATTGGCTCTTCAACTAGCTCCAATCAATGATTGGGTACAAGAGAGTGAAGTTTCAACGGAAATATTAAATTCTGGATCAATTGAAAATAATCTTGATTTAACTAATTTAACCACAGAAGAAGCTATGTCAAAGTTGAAAGTAATTAATGATGAATTTATGTTTGTATTTAATTATAACTGCTGAATGTTTCTCTTTGAATTATATGCTTTTAATGATATTTACTTTACTGGACAAGTCATATTTAATGTGAAGTATAGTTTTAATCTTTGAACTTCTTCACCTGAAACTAGAGAATTATAATTAATTAATTTTCACTTTAATTTATTAAAATAAAATCGATGTTATTCTCTTGTATTATTGATAAAAAAGTGGTTTTCTTACGGGGTCACTCCCTGAGCTTATGATCCAGAAGTTTAATCCTCAAGGCAGTGGATCAACGTTGGGATATGCAGTGTAACAATAGACAGTGGCCAACAATATGTTCATTTGCTATTTTTTCTGTCAGCGTCGGGGGCCCGTGTACACCACTATATAATACGTGTAATTAGCAATCACTAAAGGGCGGGTAAGATCTGAAACCACAACACACAATGTTAACCAAGAACCTCACACCAAGAGAGGACCCTGAGTGGAAAACACAGGTCTTGGAAATTAAAATTCGTGTGTTCTGTAAAGAAGGAATGGCTCATTCACAAAATAGTCTTATGAGTAATCTTTCAAGTTCGCTGCATGCTTGGCTTTCTCTTCTTCTTCTAAAACCTTTATCCTTGATTGGCCTGCAATAGAAAGAGAACAGAATCTATTAATAACGTCATACATAGTGATTTCAACACTGAAACAACTGATTAGGAATAAGGGTTTTTCAGCTCTCCAATACGGATTCGCCGTACAAACCAACTCAGGTTAGGCCTCATTTGGAAATTTGCTTTTCATCCTCTCAATTCGATAAACAATACCCATGTGACGAGAAGGCAGTGAGTAGAGTCTCTAGTAGAGACTATATACATATAGCTATATTGGAGCTTTTAGACAGAAAGCGTGGGAGAGAAAAAACATAGCGGACTGTCGCCACTCTTGGCCATACCAGAGCATTTGGGAGCAAAGATAAAATAAGAAACATTAAGGTATTTATTTCAATCACTGAAAAATGTCAACTAGACTTGTTCTGAACTACGTACTAAATATTCATGATTATTTTGAATGATTCAAGAGGAACGTTTAAATGATACTTCAATCACAACTAGGAAAAGTAATACCAATGTTTTTTGCTCAATTTTCTACTGCAATAATTTTTCTTTCCTCATTGTGCAGGGTCATTTCACAGCTTTAGAAGAGCATGAAAAAGCTTTAATTGAAGCTGAAAAACGATTGAATGACTTAAAAGAATCCGGTCTACAACATGTCGATATTAGTCAGTTGGAATTAGCTACGGCAGAAGCTCGTCGTAAAGTTGAAGTGAGTTTGTACGATTGTTTGTTTTTGTGAGATTTTTCGCTAGAATCATCCTTTTTGTTGTAGTTGTTATTATTGTTTGTTATATTTATCATAATTGTGATGGAGGTTTGTTCTCTGAACTGAATGTTTTGGTTGTCAAGCTTTCATCTGAAGCTTTCTTCTGAACAACATCGCCAGCACAAACTTCAGATAGAAGGGAAGTATTGGAATTTCTCCTGTAGCTTATTCTGTTAACCTCCATCTTGACTGGTTGCTGTTGACCAACAGTACCACCAGTACCATAGTGATGGTTGTTCCAATGTTAAATGATGATATAAAAATAATTGAGAAGTTCCATCTTTGAGCTGAAAAAGCGAAACTACACACATTTCAATACTATCGTCTCAAAATTAATAACACTGACAATTCAGTCAATCCTTTATCTTCAACTGTCCTCGTGATTTCGATACTTTATAAGCTATTGAATTGGTTGGTATATAAGGCTTTTATACTTGTTTTCTGTGTGTAGTGTATGATTTTCATATAACCATGGCATTAGGTGATAGGCTTGTTACATAATCGTGGTTGTACTTTGTCACTAACTTCATGACTAACTATAAGGACTGTCTTAAAGACTACAAACTGTAAATTCGAAATGATAGAGAATAAAGGATTATAATATAGTGAGATGTTTCATATTTATCAGAACAAGAAATAGAGTAGCGCTGAATTAATCTTATACAACTATTTTAGACTTTGAATTTCAGATTCCTGATCTTCCATTGATTCGAATGACAAGACTTTTGCATTTAACTCAAACTTAATGATTAATAATTTTGAATAAGTAAATAGTTTTGTCTTTTTTATCAAAGTTTAGTTCACCATTAGTATAAGTTCCGATGAGTAAATAAGTTTTATGCTCTTTATATCAAATTAATTGATGCTCCGGAATGTCTTGGTACAGGTGAGAGTGGAAAAAACCCGCTCTTTCTCACTCTCTCCATAAATAAGTGGTTATGCGTATTTGGTCACTAGCAGGAAATTTCCACTCGCTGCATTCTCGTCACATGGATGTTGTTTACCGAATTGAGGGGACGAAAAGCGAATGTTTGATCAAATTGATGGGTATGGGGAATCCGCACAGAGGCGTTGGAAAACCTTCATTTCAAATCGCTGGTGTATAGAGGCTTCACGATCCTGACAGAACAAATGGTAAATGATGATATTGTCGGCCAGTTGTTATCGTTGGATTTCATCTCCTAAAGTTGGTCCACTACCTTGAAGATTAGTCTTTTGGATCGTTGGTGTAAGGATCGACCTCCTAAGAAAACGGGCTTCGGTATGAACCATGTGGTAGTATATCAGCTCACACACAAATTCTTTGACTTGTGTGGTACATAAACACTTAAATGTCCCTTTGTACCAAATTCCATGAGTTTAAGTGGATAAAAAATTTAACCACCAAATTCAAAATGGTCAAACGGCCAAGGTTCAAGCTTACCACTGAACCGTTTCATGTCATGTGCTTCACCCACCGAGCGGTTAGTTCACAATGGATGGACACTAATCCGCCAAGCATGCCAATAGTAGGAATCCGGGACTCGCCACCTTTTGCTTATACACTAATTTTTCTAAGATTCTGAATATAAAATATCATTACTTTTTGTTAATCTACTTTATATACTTTAAAATTAATACAAGAAGTGCTCTTGTCATAATTAAATTTTAATTTTATCATTATTAAATTTCTTTTTATCACTTAATAATTTACATTTATTATTTAGAATTTATTCAGTTAAATAAAAAAAATATATAAGTAGTATTATAGTTATTGCATCAAATAAAAAACTTATTCAGCCCATGAAATACTATTATCACCAACTATACTACTACCTACTTAACTAACTATCTATATATTACTTACCCTAACTTCCTCCCAAAATTTATTGAATTGGAAAAAATTTTCTATTAATATGCTCCCATTTAATTTTCTATGCTTTTTCTATATCATTTATGATATTTTAAAACGACCTAATTAATTTTCTTTACATTTATAATTTCATATTTCCGATGTATAATTATGAGAACCGATAAATATACACAGATATATATAAATAATAAATACACACGCACACACACACAAACGTACACAATGTGTCTCTGTTTGTCCCCCTCTATGTTTTTCTATTTAAATTTAGTCAGTAAATAAATGGTTGATTAAGTTTGGTGATACTGACGATCATTAATCGATTGGTATTTATTGACAGATTCAATGGAAATGCTAATTGAATAAATAAATCTTGATCATGATTAGAATTCAAATTAGAGAAAAAAATGAGAGAGAAAACTATCTTATTTTTACACATTTGAAATCATCAATCAATCATTGTTAGACCACCATTAGAAAACTGGGAACACTGGACGGCCGTCTCGTCCTGGTATGGGACTCATCAGCAGTGCGCATCCACGACTCTTGCACCCCGCAGGATTCGAACCCGGGACCTTCGGGATTGTGCGCGAACGCCTTACCATCGGACCACTGGGCCGGCATCCAACGGTGTTAATGTTTAACTCTGATTGATCTAGAGATTTTGCGCGACCTCACCCATTTGTCTTTGGTAGTTACTGCCTACACCCGACAGGGTTGAACTCCACTGGTCACGTCTTCTCAACTAGAACTCCGAGTATTGCCTCACGAAGCTAGTCACTAGTGAGTACTGTTACCTCCAAAACGCTGCCCCAAAACATCTTATTTCTTTTTTCTTAGTAGAAAGTTGACTATTATTATTAAGTGTTTCTGATTATTCTTTGATAAATATTTACAAATTTAGAGAAAATATATAAATGAACTCAGAGACTTTATATAGAATAAGATAGATCGTTGCTAGCAGTAGAAATTAGGACATACGTTTTTTGCTTTATTTTGTAACTCATTAGTAAGTTGTACCTGATTCTTGGTTTAGTTGTCAACGTTTGGACTTGATCTTTACTAAAAGGTTTATCAAACTGATAGTTATCGACCCTTATCAGTAAAAAAAAACAGTGTGAGAAATATACTTATTAACGCAAGCTACTGGTGTTATATCAGTAGCTCAGTGAATGCACACAACAGTGTTTGAGGCCATTGATATTGGATTTGAGTCTAAAATGTTAACATCAACACTGGGATGTAAATATATCCCAAATAAGTTGAAATGTGCATGTTAGATTTCACTTCTATCTGAAATCCATTGATTCCAAATGGATGTAACGCTCTATTGGTACATGCTGTACATATACCAACTAAAATTAGTCAATATTCAATCCTTAATACACACGACAGGTAGTTCAAAACAATATTTTCAAAAATAACTTTAATTTGATCATAGGAATATTATCAAATTAAGAGGTCCTTGACTATTAGGTACAAACAACTGACTTATTTACTACATAGCATAAATACATCTCCAAGTGACCCCAATTTATGACAAAAAGCATCTGTAAATAAGATATTAAATTGTTTAAAATTGAAGAAATGTTAATCAGTCAGTACTTACGTATGTATGCGAGACTATTTTTATATCATAACTGATTAATCAAACAAAACTGATGTGACTGAATGAAGTAGATGAAACTGATCATTTTCTTATCGGGACGAGTTTCTGTGTCCCTAAATGACCAAATGACTTTGCGAATTAATTGAAGATATTTAATAGTTGACATCAAACTACTGACTTTAGTTAAACAACTTTTAAAAGCAGGAACCACTGGGTATTTTTGTGCATTCATAACTCCATCATTAGTGGTCGAAGCCAGGTCTTCATAATCAATAATCACGTGCTTTCTATTGTAAGGGACAATTAAATTGGAAAGTAAAGAACTTTAGAAGCTATTTTTCCTAAGGCCTTATCGGTACATAATGATTTTATATTTATCAAATAACTAGACTATCAGATGTATATTCCTTTTATCATGACTTTTCTATTGACCTATAAATTAATATTATGCTATTGACTGTTCCTATTTTGTTGACAGTTTATTATTTAAAGTCATCCTTTACTCGCAGCCACTTTTTTGCTCATTCATGCATAGTCTGTAAATTTTCATTTATTGGTGCAGTTTGGTTTGGTCTGGAATGTTTGAAATATAGTAACGAATCTTGTACTTGATGGTAACTGGTCTTTGTTCTTCTTCTTCGGTTGGGAAAATTAGTCATGGGTCGTTCCTTGAACACAGAACAGCAAGTTTCTCGTCCTTGTTGCCTATTGGTTAATCGTAGGTCCTTTACATACTAATCAGTGTAAGGACATGACACTTCAGTGACTAATCTAGGGAGGCTGAGAAAATGTGACCAGCGGATTTGAACTGTATTTGGTTGCAAGCCAGTACGATTAGAAAATAGCCGTGAATAGATTGAAGTTAAAATGCAAACGATTGTATAGTGATTCATAAGTGTGAACGTTAAACTCTCACCGTGAGACCTAAGGGTGATGGGTTTGGTCGCCAATGTGGTCGTGAATGTGCACTACTAAAACTTTTCACGCTAGAATACAACGACCGTTTAATGCTATTAGGTTTTCACAGGTAGTCTGACTAACGATCAGTCCTTGATGCAAACTATTAAATTCAGTAATATCCATAAATAATAATGATAATAATAATAGTAATAATAATAATAATAGTAATAACAGATCATAATTCAAATGTAGCAATCACTTAACGATCTGCATTTCCGTTATTGATTGAATCATAAAACGTAAATAGATGCTCAGGTAATTTTTTTACTAAAGACTCGTTTCTCTACATAAAATCGTTACTAAAATGTAGGAGCACGATGAGAATTCTGTAACTCAGTGATCGATTATGTTATATCTATGTTGCCAAATGTTATATCCGGGATATTATCGCTGTCATATCTGGATGGACTCGGTTGAATCGTTGTCTAGCTGCTTTACAATTCTTTGATTCTATTACTGATACTGATAAATAGCGACCACTACAATTCCTACTACCCAAAGTGAGAACATAAAGGACTGATGCAATTAACATTTATTGATTTCTCAAAAAACACATCGCTAAACAAGTTTCAAAATCACATCTTTCTTAGATCACAATACAATCTTTCATACACAAAAATAAATGCATTCACTAACTCATTCATCAAGCACCTGAGAATGAATTACACTACAAAAAAATATTAGACTATTACCCAAACTGAAGTAAATGGATTTGTGTTTATTTCTGAGATTTAATGATTGAATCTTGAACGCCGTGAACTCATTAAACAATTTCCATAACATTATTGAATATTCTTGCTGTTTTTTTTCTCTATGTTTTGTTTTAAGGCTATGCGTACTGTAGCGAAATGTTATGAACATGAACTAGATCGACGTAAATCAGCGGAACAATCATTTTCCTATGCGATCATAAATATTTCCGATTGGTTAGATGAAACTGAACGTCTATTTCATTTCGATACATTCTTTGATGATGAAGAACAATTGCCTAATACAGAAATTATTCAAGATAAATTAGTTGCACATGAAGAATTTTTGAAAAAAACTCAAACAACTGGTCAAGCTTGTTTAATTGAATTAAATCGTAGTTATGATAGACTAGTAGAATTGTTCTCAGGTAATAGTGAAGATTTAATTGAAAATTCTGCCAATACAATTATTCAACCAGATGAAGTTAGTATGAATATACTATTAGAAGCATCAAATCAAGTAACAAAATTTCGTGATCGATTTGATGTGAGTGTATATATATTGCAGTTTTCTTGGTCTCTTTTTTGTCTGATAGTTACCTGTTTTTAATGTTGCATGAGTTAAAAAAGTTTTTTGGGGTTAAGTACTATTTAAGGCTTGTCAAGTGTATATAGACACTAATTACTTTTGAGAATTTGTAGATTAAATAGACAGTTGATTGACAGACACTAAGAGATAATAATAAGGAAGGAGTAAGATCCTTTCATTTCAAATCATTTTTGATATAATATTGGTTAATTTTGTTAAATAGTTTTCAAATTCTGACCACATACGAATGTTCAGTAGCAACTACTTCTATCATACTTTAGTAATTACACGGATAAGTTTAAAATAGTTTGATCAGTTCAATCAATGTTCATTAACATTGATACCATTCAATATAAGTTGTACTTTAAGTGTTAATTCTCACAATAGTTAGATTCTAACTAATTGTTTGTATACATCCACCATTCGAAACTTGGAAGTACTGGGCGGCCGTTCCGTCGTGAGAATGGACTCATCAACAGTGCGCATCCACGACTCCTAAAACTCGCAGGATTTGAACCCAGGACCTTCAGTTCTGCGCGCGAACGCCTAACCCTTGGACCAATGGGCCGGCATCCAACGATGTTACTGTCTAACTCGGATCAATATAGGAATTTCGAGCTATCTCACCCATTTGTCTTCGGTAGTTACTGCTACACTCCAATGATCACATTTTTTCCCTAGAACTCCAAGAATTTCCCCACGAGGCTAATCACTAGTGAACACAATGTACGATTTTTCAGTTAGAGTTTGTATCGAACAGATATAGTATGGTTAGTTATAGATTCCAGGGCGCGTGTTCGTCTGAATGGATATGTATCTCAGTATTTAAGTTTATATTGAATCTCAAATACAGTAACGTTAATTTTGAATACGACCATTCATTTCTGCAACAGCTGTCAGCTTTAATTTGTATCTGTTTAGATTATCTCGTTAATTTTTTTTCTGATATCTTAGAGTGAACATCAACTCTGGGATTCAAGTATATCCAGACAACGAATCCCACAAATAGAGTAAAAAGCGGTTCCCGCATCCCATTCTATTCATTCTATGTAAACATGTTAGATAATGGTTTATATCAAGGCAATCCGTACAGGATGCACAAATACCAATCAAAACTGATCAAATTTGAGATCATGAATGACATGGCTCAAAACCGTTTGAAATGGCCCAGATGCATCCATTCTTTCGCTTCTCTCAAATCGTAATCCATTGCATTCTTCATCACCTTTATCTTTCCATTTTCAAGTTTATTTCACTAGATTATACTTGAATAATATCTTCGAACCTTAATCTCTCCGACTGCTAATAATACTTCTACTACATCTACTATTATTGGATTTGAATTGACAATTGTTTCTCCAAGCTAATAAGGTATGGCAATCTGAACTGATGTACGTACTTACGAGGTTCGGGGTTTTAATTGACTGAATGGCTGATCTCCATATATTTGAATCACGTTGTTGATGTTCTCTCTGAAATTCGACCTCAATACTTTACGGTTGCAATCCTGGTATGTTATCTAATGAGCTACTAAGTCCAGATAATCATTAGCGCGAACAAACTAATCCTAAACTATCGTTTCAAAACAATGCCGAACACATAATATGCATTGGCTTTTATATATCGGCTTTCCTGCCCACATCTTCTTGTCATCTTTATTCCTGTAATCTGTAAGTTTTGAACTGATTTAGGAAGAGGAGATCAATATTAATCTCAGTATATTTTTTTTGCTTTCTTATTATAATTTCTTATTATAGGAACTCATTTCTAGAGCTACACGACGTCAATATGAACTTAAATATGCTTTATTAGAAGCTCGTCTACGTGAGCATTTAGATAATACTACTAAAATATTAAACGATGAAGAATTACGAATGACATCTGGTGAACATTTGGCTAGTATATTGGCTGATCATGAAGTAATTTAATATCTTAGTAAATTCATTCCATGTTTTCTAAAAATTTCATTCATTACTGAACTAATCTTTGAGTTTTTTGTACCAATATTCTTATTAAAGGTAATTTATAAATAAAAGTACATGTTTAGTGGAGTTAATTGAAATCTCAACAAACCATTTTATATAGCTGATAAGTAGGCTTAATATTTTTTTAATTAATTAATAGACTACTCATAGTAGTTAAAATAGTTACAAGAAAATTTACGTCGGATGCTGACAATTTTCCCATGGATGAACTGTCTTTACGCCTAATCATAAAGTCTCCAAAACTTAGAAGCCGTAAGATAAAACCTACTAAGAAGTTTCATTACTTTCGTTTTGAGGCATAGAATCCATCCAATTCAAAAAGTGTAATTTATTATTCCGTGTTTAAGATAAGATTTGCCGAAAATATGTGGTTTACAAGTTAGCAAAACCACTACCAAAGAACTAAATGATACAAAAATAAAATCCGAAAATTATCTATAAAACAAACTGTTCTGATTTGGCAAAGACACTACATTGGATGAAGCAGACATCCCTTTGAGCTTCTCCTACCTGAACGTCAATTAACAGTCAAACACCATGATATACCACCTCCCATTATATCAACATTTGTGAATAACTACGGACACAGTAGATAATTTTTAGAAACTCAGGTCAATCAGCATTATGCAAACTCAATGAAATTAACCCAATTTTTCAGCTAGTCAGAAAAATCATTCACAAAAATAGAATTAAGAACCAGATCAAAAGGGGATACAATCAAGATAAATAAGCAGACAATGACAGGTTAAAGGTTAATGACAATAAATCAAAATCGAGGTCAGTGGGATGAATTACGTAAAGAAATTCAAGCACTCCACTTCTACCTGAAGTTTGTGCTGATGGTGTTGTTCAGAAGAACAATGAAAGATTCACAACCAAATTATCCAGCTCAATAAATAAAACCCCACCATGTAAATAGGTCCGAAATATTACATTTCGTAATACTATTCAAATCAACAGTAGTTAATTATCTCAATCGTTCAATATTTAAAATCCCAACGAAAGAGAATTTTACTGATCAACAAGTCTTAAAATTGAGGTATAAATTTTATTTCGTATACTTTTTTGTTATTTTTGTTAACAGGCTTCATTTAAAAATACACAATTTTATAATATTTGTGAAGAGATATTACGTGAAATGCGTGAATTAGATGAACAAATGTCTTATTTATATCAAAACGATGCAAATCAGTATAGCAAACGTACAACACAATTACAACAAGAATATAATTTACTAAGTGAACGTGTGGGAAAAATGGCGGTCAGATTACGTAATTTACCGGAACAATGGGCTGATTTTGATGATAAGTTAGTGCATTAATTTTACATTTATTATTCATACTATTGATATATAATAAAGTAGTAATATAATCAATACTAAAAATGTAAGTGAAATAATTTAATAGAAAATCATTTCAGACTAGAAATCAATATGTTAGACTGTTGTTAATCAACTGAATAGATTTAAACTCAGATTCACTAACCGGTATGATTACTTCCTAATGATATTGCTGAAACAGTCAAGATAAATCATTAAACTGTTTGGTCTATGTACATTTTTAATTTGACCAAAATCCTATTTACAGAGTTATGTTTTTGTATAAAGTTACTATTATGGGTTGTTTTTTTAAGGCGAACAAACACTCGTGCAAACTGCAGAGCATAAGACAAGTATTTCATTATAGTATGGGATTTCTCAGTAGTTTATACTAAAATTCCAACCAACGATGGAACACAAGAAATTCAGACTTTCCTGATGATAATTTAAATCTGTATCTTTGAGCTGACATCAAATAATCAACATTCAGTTTATATTTATTATCGAGCAACTTTTAATCGTCATCATTTATGACGTAGTTATACTCCATTAAGATTTCTCATTACAACTGCAGATATTCTTTCTAAAATAAAATCGACAATTCACCAAGAATTAAATAATTCTCAGAATGTAAGGTAATTTACATCATGGGCTGAATTCAACTAGACAACAATGGACTAGTCATTTACTTCACCTGCATAAAGGTACTAACACTGAACGTGTCAAATCCAAATCTGCCCAAATAGGATCTCAGATCCACCTTACGTCAGACATTTCATTCAATTCCTATTTTTCAGGTAAAGGATATTCAACAATCCTATTGATAAAATAGGACTTAATTTTCAAGAAATCTGACATATGGATCCATTGAAAAATTTAAAACCATGTGAAAAAAAGTATAAAGCATATGGGATATAAAATTCAATACGGAGTAAGGAAGGGTTGTTGAAAGAATGTCAAGGTTGAGCAAACCAAGACACGATATCAGTCGATAAAATCACTGATTTTAGACTGATCTGTATAGATAGGCGCCCACAACCTCTTTGGTAGTGTGATTACCTTAAACAAAGGTCGTTCACAATGTCGCAGATGTTTTCACACTCTTTGTGTTCCGTTGGATTAAATGGTTTTAAATTCCTCATAAATTTCTTTAGTCTCACTAATTTAGGTTTTCTGTTTGAATAATATCTTTGATATCTGAACTTTTTTCTACTACTATGAATACTGTTACTTTCTTCTGTATGTAAATAAAAAGATATTACCACTGTGTAAGAAACTTGGAATAAAAGAAATTTCCTAAAAGACTGTAGTGTGTCGATTTACTGCGTGTTCATAAGCTCGGTAATTAGCTCGTCCAGACAATCGTTACTAAGTAACGTCTGACGGTCTATAAACCAGAAGGTAAACTCGAAGTGTTGAATACGTTTATTTTGGCACACCACAAAATGGGATAGCAGGCCACAAGCAGACCGGGCAGGCACACTAGCGAGTGAATGGGCGAATAGGTGAATGAATTAATAAGATTAAAATGTTCGTATATATATACATAGGAAGATATCTGAGTTATCGTGATATTTAAGAGATTAATATTCAAGCGAATAGGATGAATATGCGTGTAGGCGGTAAGCAGTGCTCAGTCATACCAGTTCATACCAACCAGACAATAATAAAAGCCATTGGTACATATAAGTTATTGTTATACAAATGGCTTGGTTAAATAAATTAATCGAAAAGGCTTGACCAAATTAAATGTAAGCGAATTCAAATCTATGTGTGGAGGCACTAGAAGACAACATTTCTGTCTTATATATCTCCTCTGACATAAAAACATATCAATCCAATTTTCATTGGTTGTCAATCAACAACCAATTGATCATGTGATTTGATTATTCAGTACATAGATATTTTTAAAATTTCATTCATAGTTTTTTTTTCTTTCATCATTTTTTTCCCTTGCCTACTTACTACTGTATTATTATCTATTTAGATTAAATCATTTATTAGATTGGACAAATGAAGTGGAAAAATTATTTAATCATTTACAAAATGATCCATCGAATACAACGGCTGGCGTGAATAATGATGAAAAATCAGCCATTGAATTAGCATCACGTTATCGTGCCATGTTGTCTAGATTTGAACAAATGACTGGTATGGTGAATGAACAAAATGCACTGGCGGATAAATTAAATTTAATGTTAGTCGATTTATCATTAGATGGTGGTGTATCGTCAGGGGAATTAGCAGCTAAACGTATTGCATTAACTACTGCTTTAGGAGCATTAAAAGATTTAAGCAATGAAATGAATTCTATACTAACTCGAGGTAAGTAGAGATGCATTTGTTTTCTTTATTGATTGATAGAATTATAAAGATTGTTTGTTTTTAATATTGAAATTGTGAATCAACTATCGAGCGACAATGGGTGAGGTTTGGATGCAAGCACAGTGGTCTTGAGGTTAAGCGTTCGCGCGTGAGACTGAAATTTCTCGGTTCGATTTTTGCGAATAGCGGGGGTCGTGGATGCGAACTGTTGAAGAGTCCCATACTAGGAAGAAACCGCTACCCAGTGCCTCCAGGTTTTTAATGGTGGTCTAATAATGATTGGTTTACGACTTCAATGTAATTATATATACGGATTTGTTTGGCAATATGTATATCTAGTCATTGTTTAATGAATGCTGAAAAATTTAACTGCTCTTTTAGAAATATACTACATTGACGTTCTTGAGTAAACCAATCAACATTAAAATTAGTGCCTCGAAACTGTCAAAGTACAATGAGGAACAACTTGTATTTTACTATGAATTAAGTGGTAAAAATACCTATTATTAAACGACATGACATGATGCAATAACCTAAATCACAGAAAAAATATCTGTTCTCGATACAGATTATACATTATAGGATAATACTCCATACACATTTGTAACTCCAACTGAGGCCCTTCTGGGGTCACTCCCGGACCCATTCCCATATAAAGGAGAAGGGTTGGGCATGCAGTTAGAGACGTCATTCCATAGAAAACCAACTTTAAAAAAAGCGCTGACCAGAATAAATAATTCAAATCATACACATTCGATTTTAGTCAGATAATATTATTTTGGCCTAACTTTTATGACTCTAAATTTCATTTTTAAGTTTATATACACCAGAGTGGTGAAGTTTCATTGCATTATAGCTCTGATGTTACTTAATGAGGAAAATCTTATAGTGGAAATACCTAACTCAATATGTAAACTTAATCTTTTTTTCTTTCACCGAAATAAGGTAATTCAGTATGTGAGGAATAAATCAACCATATTAAAGCTATGATTCCATAGTAATTTTATCGATTTTTATTACTGATTGTCTCATAACGAGACAGAGTTTCTTGACTGGGTAGTATCTCACTTAAACTCGTCATTAGAGTATACTTTTACCTCAACTTGTTTTACTCGTTCTGTTCATTCCACTTAACAGTAGCATAATTCCTAAACACTACTTCTCCATTTAGAGCTACACAAAGTAAATATATTAACAGTAATATAAGTAGCTTTATTGGCGAATAAGTAGAATAATGACGTATACAATTTCTATGTACATAAGTCGCCGAATTCAGACAGACTAAGGTTCCTGGATAGTAGGGACGTTACTAAGTAGGTGAGTAGTTCATTCACATTTATATTTCTCACCTACAGCATGACATTAGAAAGCATGTGATTTGTTCGATCTGAAAAATATCATGTGGTCTGTTTAGACTTCCCTAGTGATGTGATGCCGACTAATCGATAAACTGAATTGCAGTAATACAACAAAGTTACTTTTAAACGTATTAAAAAAAATTCGACTCTATATACTTTGAATTTTCTGTAATCTCTCTCAGGATGATAATTCTGAGTTCGTCAAAAAAATGAACCCAATCATTATTCACTTATCACGTGATAATCAAGGTTATTGGTTAGATGAGATTTCAAGTTATATGACTGAAAATTCATGAAATCACTGCAGCTGCATTTACATTTTTTAGATCTTTAAATCTTGAGTTTCAACACTATTTGACATGTTTTCATTCAACAATATTATCTGCTGAGCTTTTTGGAAAAATGTGTACTACTAGCTAATACTTATTTCACAAAATCGATAAATGAAGACTCTAGTGACAAATATAGAAGAATGTGTTATGAATTAATGATACCTTCACAAATGAATTGTTCAGTTGATCAAAATGATAATGTTACTATTGTTTACAATAGTCTTGAATACTGACATTAATTTATAATGGTTTTGTTTGATTCAATCAAATAATATGTCATATATTTGTTTATATCATTGAGCTATAGTTATATTCATTACTCTGCATTGATTATTGAATGTGTATTCAATAACAATGACATTCCCCTTTTGTTTTTATATATCAATAATCTTCGTTATTGATCAATTGTTTGTTTATTTATTTATTATTTGAATTTAGCTCCATTAATTGCTGAAACATTAGAATATCGTGCTAATGCAGTGACAGAACGTAAAAAAGCCATTGTTGTACGTGAAGCATTTGAACAAGCTGTACAAGAAGATGCTGAAATGTTACCAAATGATTTAGAATCAATTAAACGTTTATTAGCTGAACGTGAAGCAATGGTAGCTAGATTAGCTGAAGAACGTGATGCCAGTTTACTGGCTATGATACAACGTGGATTAAGTGTTAAAGCAGGTGAAATGTTAGATTGGATTGAACCATCCCAGTCTGAATTAAAAGCTACATGGGCTGAAGTAGATAAAGTAGCTGAGACTGGTTTAAAATGTTTACGTCAAACTGCTGAAGCATTTGAAGCATTTGAAGAGCATAAACAACGTTTAACCAATTTACTAACTGGTACTAAACATTTAATTCATGGTCATGCTAGTGCAGCAACAGCAGCTGCTTTTGCTATGGCACTGACTAGTAAAGATGGTGGTACAATTGATATTGACAATGTAACTAATACAATGCATATTGATGATGAAACAAAATTATGGGCTAATTCTTCATTAGCCTCAGGAATTGCTGGTGTTGTTGTTGCAAGTGTTGAAGAAGCCACTAAAGCTGGTCAAGAAGCTGTACGTGTTCAAACAGATGCAATTGTAGCTCAATTAGAAGCATTAGCTAATGCAGAATCGGATTTAAAAGGTTTAATCGCTGCTGCACAAACTATGAAAATGCGTTCTACACCAGAACGTGCTGCGGAGTTAGATGCAACAATACAACGTTTAGAAGCTCAATTGAATACAGCTAAACAAGAATTGAATACCAAATTAGCTAATCTACGTGCAGCCAATGGAAAATGGGAAGTATTTTATACAAGCACTAAAGAAGTAGACAAATTACTTAATAATGCTGAATTAAATTTATCAAATATCACCAGTGTTCAACCATTAGCTAAAGGTCATTTAAATAGTAATGAATTAGGTTCAGCGGAATCGTCAGCTAAAGCAGCTGCTACAGAATTAGCTTTATGGTATGCATCAGTAAATAATTATTTAAAAGATTTACAATTATCTGAACAACGTTTATTGTCATTAAATAATATTTTCAAAGAATTAACACTTTTCTCACCGATTGATTCAATGGAATTGAATAACACCACGACCAATGCATTAGGATCAATAACCAATTCAGAAATATCCAAAGCACAAAATAAAATACTTAGCTTATATCGAAGACAAAAAGCTCTACAATCTGCATTCAATAAACATTCACAATCATTGAATACGTTGAAAAATTATTTATCACAATATTTGGAATTAGTCCCAACCATTGATAAGCATTTAATTGAAATTGAAAATTATGCTGAACAATTATTACATAATCCAATGATTGATTCATTGGAAGATTTAATTAATTTACGTGATACACATCAAACACGTCAAACTGTACATAATTCCGATTTAACTGGAAATCGTAATCAATTATTATGGTTAGCTACGAATTTAACTAGTTGGTCACATTTAAAAGTATGTTTCATGTTTATTTGTGATTCATTGTTCAATGATTTGTTGTTTACTATCAATTGTCAATAAGTTATTGAGCGTAAATAGGAATTAATGAATTTTTTCTTGTTTATTTCAACACATAAACATTGACAAGAAAAGACATCGAAGTATTTGTGCGTAGGCTGGGTAAGATAATTTTGTGAAGGGGTCAATTCTCAAGCATTTAATCTACAGAACTAATCCACAAGGTAGTGAAGCAATGTTAGGCGAAACAATGCCATTATAGCCGGTGGTCAACAATAGATTCGTACGTCATTTGTTCTCTTAGGTTTGTGGAGCACATGTGCATCAGTGGTTTGGAATAAGGGTTTTGAAACTCCTTTAAGTAGATCTCCCATCTCCACCAACACAGTTTAAGCTCCAGACACTCGCTTTTCGTTCTCTCGATTTGATAAGAAACACTTATGTGACGAGAAGACAGTGAACAGGACTTCTTTGATGGTGGCTATATGAGCATGACCATGTGAAAGGATTCGGAAAGAGAGAGAGTAGACTCTCCACACTATCGGGAGTATGAATGAGTACAAATTGTTGTTTTAACTGTAGTTTACCATTCATTCATTCAGAGCTTTTATTGTTCTTCAGTAAGCATTGAATTTTAAATCATCGAGTTCTCTATGGGTAAAGTTTTCTTCATCAGTTTCATTTCAGTCTAACCAACTTTCAAATAGTCCCACTGATTACTTCATGGCATTTAGTTTAGTGTCTGTAGTTCAGTACGATATGTAATGACAAAAGTATCATCTCAATGATGGTGTCGTATAAGAATTAAACTTCTTACAGGACCTAATTTCATGTTTCGACCTTTTATAAGGTTGTGGGTACTCACTACGAATGAATCTCTGATAAGGATGGATTAATATAGTTTCCTTGTGTTTCTGGTTGTCGAGCTGTAGTTAGATACTGAACGATTACTAATGCAAAATACATTTGAAACTATACTGATCAAACTGACTCCTTCGAATATCAAACGGTTCTTTTTTATTTCGTATAACCTGGGATTATTATCGATTGAAATCAGTTAGATGAAATCATACTGAGCAGCTAAAACGTACATAATGCTTTAATTCATCTTACTGATAATATTGAGCAGTTATATTTGAAGAAATATCCAATTAATCTGTAAGATTCTTATTCACTTTCTTGAAGTCCAAGTTAATTAAAGTCAGAGGAGTGGAATCCAGGACGCGCGTTTCATCCTATTCGGCACTTGTCATCTGGCTGTACCTGCAGACCAGAGTTGATACTGTGACCTAATAATTATTAAATCCGCCTTGTCTTAATGACGTTGAGAAAGCGTTAGGAAATCTGAAGCGAGGACGAGCTGCAGGTCCTGATAGACTGACCCCTGAGATATTTAAGGATGGTGGTCCAGTTTTAGCAACTAGGTTGACTGAGATCTTAGGTAGAATCTGGGAACTGGACGCAATCCCATCCGAGTGGTCTCAATCACTGATTGTCCCAATCTATAAGAAAGGACAAAAGTCTTCTTGTGACAATCACAGGGGAATAAGTCTAACTAATATAGTATCTAAAATATTGGCCTCAATAATACTTCGGCGCCTAACGAAAGCTCGTGAAGAGCAAACTCGAGAAAACCAGTCTGGTTTTTGACCTGGACGTGGCTGTATAGACCACGTCTTCACATTACGACAGGTCCTGGAACACAGACACACATTTAGGCGTCCTACAATAGTCGTTTTCCTGGACCTTAAGGCGGCATTTGACTCTGTGGATCGTGAGGTTCTGTGGCAGTGTCTGTCATTGAAAGGTGTGCCAAAGAAGTACATTAACCTTATACAAGCTCTCTACTCGAACACCACTGGCCGAGTGAGAGCTTATGGCGAACTGTCACCGGAATTCTCTACATCAAGTGGTGTCCGTCAGGGATGTCCACTTTCTCCATTCTTGTTTAGTTTTATCATAGACATGCTCCTAGAAATAACCTTATCCTCGTCTGAATTTTCAGGAGTAGACCTTCTACCAGGTGGCTCGCTTATTGACTTAGAAGATGCCGACGACATTGTCCCACTTGGTGAAGACGCTGACAAAATGCAGAGTCTTCTGACCACCCTAAGCAAATGTTCGGTATGCGGTTTTCCCCCTCGAAATGCAATAATTTATAATGGAATAACGTTTGATTAAATGATCATAAAATAAGTTGTAGAGAAGCCCAAAATGATCAATCACTTAATTGTTATTTATCGTAAAACGAGGCAATAGTGCGTATCGATCCAAGTTGTTACAATTCACATCATCACAATTATAGATCAAATTGATTTGGCTATAAATAAAGTATTGAAAATAATACCATCTGCATTAACAATTTCAAGAAAGAAATGAGATCACTAAACAATACTTAAATCAAGATTTTGAAGAAGATTGAAAACTAGTGCAACTGACATACTGTGATGGATTTACGGCCGTGATACTGAACTACTCAAACTATTGATTACAAGTAGTTGTTTAAACCTCAACCGTGATGTTTACACCTTCCGACATGACTTAGATCAATAGTCTATGACTTCATTAACTGATATCATATTATGATTTTCCAACACTCCTAACCCGGATTCGGTATTGTCCGCTTATTGAGTAATTCACTTCATATCGCCTTTAGGACCAATGACTGTCTACCATATCAATAAACAGCTACCGAGACCTTAACCTTTATTGCTCTTTCAAAATCATTGTCTTGTAAGGGGAGGTGAGCAAGCAGATATCTTCTCTATTATACAGTTATCTAATTTATTATGACTTGGACTCATTCAATCATGTACAGTAATTTCCTGACAGACATAAATAAGAAATTGTATTGTGTTCTTAACTGCGTGGTGAGCGAAAGCAAAACCAAATGATAGGTCCGTTATCGATAAGTACATGTACATTTTGTGCAATAAAGTAGTCTACAGGTTAAGCGTTCGCATGTGAGACCGAAGGTCCTGAGTTCGATTCTCTCATTCAAAAGTCATGGGTGAGTACTACTGATGAGTCCTGTACTAGGACGAAATGGCTGCCTAGTGTTTCCAGGTTTCTAATGGTGGTCAAACACGACTTCAATAAACTCAGCAATCTCCATAACCTATAACGAAAAATGTTTATCTTTGAATATTATCTGTATTTTTCTTCTTTCTTCTCAACTCATGATTTTCATCCATCAAGGAAGCTAATGAAGCATTACAATCACGTTGGGAAGGTGTTAATTATTGGTTGATTGAAGAATCACAATATTTAAATGATTTATACAAAATGTGGACAGAATGGAATAAAGAAGTTGATCAATTCACATCACAAATAACTAATATAGAAAAAGATGTTGAACAAGAATTAAACAATCTCATGATGGATATAACCAATCAAAAAGTAAAAGAATCAACTTTGGATTCAACGAATACTTCGAATGATTTAGATTCAAAAGTGAATAAAGCAAGTACCTATCAAAATCGTTTATTCGATGCTGACTCCTATTTGAAAGCGTTCAGTTTTAAAACAGAAAAACTATTAAAACAAATTCTAGCACAAAATGATATACACTGTAAGACTTTATTATCAATGGATAAAATCAAATCATCACCATCGTTATCAACAAAAACCACATTGAACAATGATCAATCACAATTGATCAGTATTAATAATAGTTCACATAGTGTAGCAATAAAATATCGTGAATTAGAAGAATATTTAAAGCGTGTTCAATTAAAATGTGAAAAATTGAACAATGAACTGGAGAATCAATTAGATACACGTGATCGTTTATTTCGTGATACTGATAAATTATTACAATGGATCATATCAGCAGAGAAACGTATGACAAAACTTACAAGAATTTGGGTAGCAGCAAAACCACCAATTCTAACGAATAAATCTTACAATTTATTTCATAAACCATCATCAATAATGAAACAACGAAATGGTATGTGTAATCATAATAGAAAAGAAAGACTGATAAGCTGATTATTAATAATGTTTGCTTTTTATTACGTTCATATATACTTTCTCTGAATAGTTTATTCGACTTCTGTCTAAAAATAATGATAATCAATGTAGGGTTGGGGTGGTTATTGATTTTTGTTGAAATCATGGATTGATCAGTTAAAACCTTAAATTGCTAGATGGCCGTTTTATCCTAGTATGGGACTAATCAGCAACGCCAATCCATAACCCCGCAAACGGGAGTTGAACCCGTGCGTACGCCTTAACCTGAAGACCAATGAGTCGGCATCCAGTAGTGTTATTGTCGAACTACAGTCAATTCATGATAAACTGACTATAGCTAGAGAGTGAAACCAGGCTACCCAATAACGAACGTTCGACCGTTCAGGTCATGACAATTTACAGCATAAACTTTATTCAGTTGGTAATATTTGTCAAATCATCATCTATTGCTAACTGTATCATGATTCCTGAAGTTCTTGGGTTTTGTCTATATCTGTATTGTAGATGCGAATTTATGAGGGGTCTTATATTGAGACAAAACAATCCTCCTCAGCTTTTAATGTTTTTCTGCAATTGAAACTACTAATATATGCGTAATCACAGATCTTCACCACAAAATACTGTGGTGAGACGAGTCGAGGTTTACAATGTACATCACTACAAACCAATTACGTTCCCGCCTCTAACCGTTATCCTGTCGTGAACCAAAGATAGGGAGGAAGATCTAATCCAGAAGAAGGTATATTTTTACTGGCGATTTCGTGGTACCGAAATAATATCAAAATCGTGCCAGAGAATATGGGCGAAGATACAATGACCAGTGAACACAAGATAGCAAACAAGCAAGGCAGAAGGTGCGCGTATAGAAGTACGAATAAACAAGATGTTCAGTAAAATAACCACTTGTACGGCTGGTTATAATAATGAATGCTTCTAATAAGCCAGTCGCGTTTTCTTCGTAAAAGTGAAGTCACTGCAATACCACTTAATTGTTGGACGAAATACATTCGGTACACTCATTCATAGTTTTACCATGATTTTCAATCTTAGCTCGATTGTATCAAATAAATAAATTGAACACAAATAACAAGAAATACGTGATAATTATGTTGTAGATATCAAGCCAAGTTGTCATATTTACAGTTTGTTATAACAAGAGAAAAATAGAAGTACTACTGATATTAATAAAGTAGTAATAAGAAAACTGACTGACTAAAAGGCTCATTTTCTCATTCTCATATATCTCGTTGTGTTTGATAAACGAAGTGAAATTTGCATAAAATAATTTTTGCATGTTAGGCTGTTAAAACCGTACAGATAGAACGTCAAAGACCTGAATTTCGTGGTAATTGACGCTAGTCTGCTTACTAGCTAGTAATAGTAAGATCTTTATTCTGATTTTTCACAAATCAATGATATTGTTCCGGATTATGGCACACTGAATGACAGTTTACAATATCGTGAGAAACAGTAGCCCCTTAAATATTAGTTAAGACGCAGATGATGCCAATTACTGCTAACTAGCTTCAGAGTTAAAACCAAGAGATTCTTGGTTTGTTGCACACAATGTCATGGTATTTAGGCCAGTCAACGAAACTAAAAATTCATTAACACCACCGTAGTGAGAATTTAAATGTTACTTACTTACTTACTTACCGACGCCTGTTACTCCCAATAGACAATAGGCCGCCAACTAACATTCTCCAACCTACTCTTTCTTGGGCCTTCCTTTCCACTTCTACCAGGTTGCTATTCATTCTTTTCATATCTGTCTCCAATTCTCGGCATAGTCTGTTCCATGGTCTACCTCTGTTCTTTTGGCTTTGAGGGTTCCAAGTTAGGGCTTATCTTGTGATGCAGTTGGCTAATTTCCGCAATGTATCCTATCCACCTTCAGCGTCTTTTCCTGGTTTCTTCCTCAGCTGGAATATTTCATTTTCTCTCCCAGTAGGTTGCTACTGATGGTGTCTGGCAAACTGATCCGAAGCATCTTGTGTACACATTTGTGGATCAACACCTGTACTTTGTGGATGATGGCTTTTATGCTTCTGTAAGTTTCCGCCCCTTTCATCGGGATAGTTTGAACGTTCCTACTGAAAATTGTGACTTTGTTGTTAGTTGATAGTTTCTGTGAGTTCCAGCTGTTCTTCATTTGTAGAAATCCTACCCTTGCCTTATTAATCCACGCCTTCGTAAAAAGTTGAATATTATAAAACTTCAAAAACGATAATATTTCTAATAATTAATGTTGAATGTTATAGTTAACTTCTGTTTTGTTTTTCAATCGTTCAGATCAAACTGATTCTGATCAACAATTATTGATTGGTGTCGATTTATTAGAAGCATACGAACAATTGAAAATTCTATACAATGAGGCTAACGGTCCAAGAATGAATACTTTAAAAGAATTAGCCAATCAAATTGAAGGTGAAAATATTGATTTAACTGATTTATCTCAAAAAATCGATAGTCGTCCAAATAGCAATCGATCAGGAAATAGTAGTATTAATAATAATAACAATCAATCAATCAATGAAAGGTCACGTAATCGACGTTCTGTATCATTTGATTTATTAGGCAAAGAAAATAGTATTGACTCGATGAATAATGATGAGATTAATCGTCAGCTGCATGAACGTTTAATTCGTCTATTGAGTAAATTAAATCGACTAATTGATCATTTGAATCAACGTATTACACTGTGTCATTTAACTATTGAATATGAATATTGTCGTCAAGGTTGGATTCAAGAAATTAACGCGCTAAATTCACGTTTAAAAACATTTGAAAATAATTCCATCATTGTGGAATTGAATATTGACAAAAAAAAGAAAAAATCATCATTGAATAAATCGATTGAAGAAGAGAATCAACAATTATTGATTGAAGAAAATGAAACTGCTGATGCACAACCGGAACAACACGAAAGACAGTCTGATGAAGTCACACAATCTACCATGAGTATTGATCGTGCTGCTGATGATGACGACACCGGAACAATTATGAATGATGACAAAAAATCCCCTAGATCAGTTGACCTGTTTCAGTCTACCATCAATGATGCAGAACAAATTTTATTTCGAAAACAAACTATACAATCCGGTGTAATCTACCAATCAGAATACAAAAATTTAAGAAATGATATTATCAAATTGAAAGACATAATTAATCATTGGCAAATCACATTAGATTTTACACAATCGAATCAAATTGAAAATGAATATGAAGAAGAAACATTGAATACTACTAATAATTTAAATTTAATTGGACCAAAAGAAGTCGACGTAGCAGTTGTATCCGCTGGTTTAATGTTTGTAACTAATATCGATTCAAATTGGTCATTTAGTACTGGAGTTAATAATGCAACAATAACGAATGCCACAACTACTACAGCTACTTCGTCATTGTCTACAAGCAGTACTGCTGCCAACACTAATACTACCTCTACTACTACTACTACTACTACTACCGTAGACCAGCTGACGACATTACAACAAATAGAACCATTTAGTTTTTTTGTAGATATAGCTAGATTATCATCAGAATGTGATAAATTACATGGGAAATTAAAAGCTAATTTATTACATGTCATTGGGATCTGTGAAAATTGGCAACAATTAATTGATGCACGTGATCGACTGGTAGAACAAGTAACCGATTTACAGCGGAATTCATTTGAAGCATGTTTGACAGTGAGTCAATCAGGTGATCCATTGAAAACCAATAAACCTATTGGTATACGTTTAACACGTTTAGGTCAGCAATTATTGAATTGGCAAAATGAATTGAATTCAGTAAATACTACTACTAATAATACTACTGCTACTACTACTGTTACAGATGATAGTAACGCATTACAAACTAATAATGATAATATTAGTAATACAGATCAAGCAAATTTACCAAGTGAAGCAATCACTATTATTCAACGATTAACTGATCTTCGACGAGCTGGTGAACGAATTGTTAGTCTTAATCCAGCACGTGGTCCAAATGTTGACAGTTTATACAATACCACTGTCCAGTCAATACGTTTATGTGCTATTTATCTAGGTGAAATTGGTCGACATAGTATCCTGCTATATGATACATTATTAAAACGTTCAGAATGTTTAAATCAACTGACAGAATTTCTTAATGACATTGAAAAACAAAGTGGCCTTACACCAGCTAGTGAATATCAATCGGTTTTCGGTGATTCAAATTCATTGGAACAACAGCAAAATCAAATGAATAATAATGATAATAATAATTCGAACACAATGATAAAACGACCAATCCCAGATGAAATTGCATCACAACTCACACTATTCGAATGTATGGATCTATGCCGATTATTGAGTGTGGATAGTGTGAAAGAAGTAGAACAACAATTGAAACCATGTCAATTGGCATTGGATGCTTTGATGGATAAACAAAATACTTATTTAATACAATTAAATCAATGCTCATCATTGGCATTACAAACATTTAATGAATTTCAAACGGAACTATGTAAATATACTACTACTAATAATAATAGTAATAATAATAATAATAACAAAAATGTAGATCTAAATCAAGAAGACCGATTATCTGAAACACAAATCAAATCAGATCCATTTCGTGGTGAAATTGTGAATCGTTGGCAAAGATTACATTTTCTTCTGGAAACAATTATACAACAATTCTATATACGTCATGCTGCATTCAAATATTTAGAAGATGGTTTTAAACAATTAGAATATTGGCTTGAAATTACAGAGTTAACTGTGGAAACATGCAGTTCACAATTAACAGCTAATTCAGCTGCTTCTGCTATTCTCTTACCATTTCATCAACAACATTCCATATTATCAACAATAAATGACGAATCGGAGTATATTGAAAATCCTCAATTAATTCTTGATAAATATTCAACAGATATTGTGTATTATTCAAATTTATTAAATAGTCTACATAATCGTATTGAAGCTGATTTAGCTGATCGTGAAACAATGAAAAAAACATTTAATACTTTAGAATGGCGTTTAAAAAAGCTGCAAAAATCATCAGATAATTTATTAAAACAATGGAATGAAGAATATGAAAGATGTGAACAATTGAAAATTGATCTGCACAAATTTGATACATTATTAGAATCAATTAATAAAGAATTAATATGTTGTTTTGATTTTACTCATTGTAACAGCATAGACGATTCAAATAATTCAACAGTATCACTATATACTACAACTGATATACAAAGTATCAATAATATACAAGCAAATAATTATTTGTTACAATTATGTAAAGCACAATGTATTCGTCATCGTCTAGCCAGATTACATGATCATTCATTATGGTTACATGATAGAGCTCATTTGTTAGCTATTGGACCTAGTCGTTATCATCATTATCGTTCAATGCAACCTTTAAAAGGTATTACGCAACAGCAAGAATCCGATGTATCTACTGATGATGAGAAGAAATCTACCGAGTTATTTACTGCATCTATTTTACTTGAAAGTGAATCAGTCTCGTTGAATCATCGTTTGTCCGGTTTAATTGCGCGATCTACAAAATCTGTACATATTTTACATATGAAAATTAATCAAATCTTTTATGATGCTATACAAAATTTTCGTATTTGGTATGATGATTTACAATTCAGAATGAGTGAACTGTTGCATTCAACTACATTTTCAATGGATAAGATAACAATGACAAATGATTCCAAGCAAATATCAGCTGATACAAATCAATCAATGCAAATTTTATCTGTAGATGTATTGTCATCCAATTTGAATAGCATTCATGCAACGATCAAGGTAGGAATTTAATTTTTGTTTTGTCTATTTACTACTTGGTGATTTGTTAGTAGTTAGATAAATTTGGAAATATTATTAAATGTTTTTAGTTGTTGGGACAGCAGTATTACATTAATATATCACTGTGTTATAATCAATGTTATGTTGTTTATTCCATATTACTGGTCAAATTTGGTTTATCAGTTCGTTATCTGGTAGTTAGCTTGGAATAACTGATATTGCGCATCAAGGATTTTCCGAGTGGGAAACGTAAGATCAAGGTCAACTAAGCGTCTTTGGTGCGATAACAAAGAAATTCAAGATTTCAAAATATAGTTACGAAATTAAGACCTTTTCCAAGTGAGTTCTGGAGATTTAACGTCCCCAACAACCTGGATCTTCCCAATCACTCAACGGATAATTACCCTATTGATCTCAATTCTTCTCAATCATCCTCAATCGTATGAAGACTGATATTTTGCTATCTTTGCATTTTGTTTTTCCAAAGAAATCTACAAGAAAATTTTAATTAAGAAGATTGCCATCGCTTTATCCACTGACGCTCTGATCCCAACATTACTTTACACGTAAAATAACTCTTACTGTATATGAGATGAGATCTGTAACCATTAGAAAACTGAGGAGGTATGCGTTAGATTATTGATAATCGTGTAGATTTATCTAGTATGTGACCATGAGAAGCATGAGTAATGGAATGCAGCCACATATTATCTTTGTCTTATCTTTTCCAAGTTACACAGGAAGGTATTCTTACATTTTTTGGTTAACTTGGTCTTACGTTGGTAATAGCTTTCTCTGCAGGAGTAGGTGAATTGGCAGATGCACATAGAAGAGGCATAGTCAGGTAACTTGTTCTCTGTCTGAGTAAACATCACTGGTTGACCAGAAAATAAGCAATTAAGATTACCTGTTTATAACGTCCTCAATAATCTACCACGTAGGATATCGCTAGCTACATTCTCATTGAATTATACTTTCAAGTAATGAGGTTTCTTAGAAGCAGTCAAAATCTATAGCCTTTTATCCCCTGCATACGTATACTTCTATAAAATAATTTATTACTAGTATAATTTTTATGAATCATTCATTTACACTATGTATAAACCCTAAAGAAACAATTATTGTCTATTGTCTTTTCTATTGATACATAGGATTTAATTAGAAAAATTCAACATGAATCAAAACTTGACATTTTAAAAGAACTAGCTAAAATTACACTACGTTCACACTACATAGACATTGAACCAGATCAGAAAAAAGATGAAGAGAAAGCAGATGCTGATTCTGATATTCAAACGAAAAATGAGAAACAAGTATATTCACCAAATTCTACATCAGTTGACGATATCCAAGCATCATTGCTAACAACAGCGGAATCTCTTTTACAATCTGTAGAAGATAAAGTTGAACAAATCACGAATCTAGTAGAAACAACTGACAGCAATCAACTTTCATCATCACTGTCATTATTATTGACAAAATTCAATTCCTCTGATGTGTCTTCATTGTTTATGGAGTCTGATAATTCAGTCAGTCAATTGATTCGATTATGGGATAGTCAATTATCCAATATGTACAGTGAATTGAAAGAGATTGAATTGAAACTTGATGCAGCACAAAATGTTGCAGTACAATCGAAAGAATATGAAACGTCACTTTCAAAAAATATAATCAATTATGAGAAACAATTTAAACAAATTATTTTATGGCAACAATCAATTACTATGGAATCGTGTAAAATTCGTTTGAATCAATTACAAGTAAGAAATATTTGAAAGTAATTGAGTTTTAGGTGTACATCACTCAACGAATTTCTTTTTGTTTGTAAAATTTTTAAAAAAAAGCAAATAACTGACTAAAAGCTTCTGATGAGTAAATTATATTTCTGTTGATAGAATAACGATAGAAGTTAGGACAAGTGTTTAATCCTATTCAGGAGTCATCAGCTGCATAAACTTACATATATGCGTCTTTGTTTACATTGAGTTTTGAACCTCATACTCAGTATTTATAAGTAATTTAGTATATACCGAACTATGATTGTATACGAGGTATCCATTTACAGTATTTTACAGTTGTGAATCATGGCATTTAAGAGTGTAGGACATCTATCTGTAGGTCAGTGGTCTTTGTCATAAATGTTTTCACAGCACTGTTTCCCTATAGCGAAATCACGTAATATGAAATATTAGGTATATGATGCCAAGTAAAGATGTTGAATCAGTTAATGAAGCTGTAAATATTCATCTGATGGAGTGATTTGAACATACATTACACACATACCCCACTATTACTTACTACCTTGACGTACACTGTTGACTGGCTTACAGGTGGTTGAAAGAAATTTACAATATGGCTAACTAAGAGATTGCATCAACCCATTAACTGTTGAACTAAACTATACTAAGAGATGTAGACAATGTTTGTCTACTAATTAACTAACTCACTTTTGTGACAAAAAGCGCTGATAATGTTGATCATGATAATAAGGAAAGCTTCGACATTCGACAACTACTCTGATAATCTTCACTAATATGATATCATGCATGTTTCGGGGCAGAGTGTTGGAGGTTTGTGTTTTTACACATTTGAAATCATCAATCAACCATTGTTAGACCACCATTAGAAACTTGGGAGCACTGGACAGCCGTTTCGACCTGTTATGGGACTCGTCAGCAGTGTGCATCCACGACTCCTGCTCCTCGCAGGATTCGAACCCGGGACCTTCGGCATTGTGCGCGAACGCCTAACCATCGGACCACTGGGCCGGCATCCAACGGTCTTAATGTCTAACTCTGATTGATCTACGGCTTTTGCGCGACTTCACCCATTTGTCTTTGGTAGTTACTGCCTACACCTGACAGGGTTGAACTCCACTGGTCACGTCTTCTCAACTAGAACTCCGAGAATTTCCTCACGAAGCTAGTCACTAGTGAGCACTGTTACGATATTTTGGGGCAGAGTTTTGGAGGTTTGTGTTTTTACACATTTGAAACCATCAATCAATCATGCATGTACTTTGGTTATGAATAATTATTTCTATTTCCTCTAAGTTGTAAGCACCTGACAAGAAACTACAAAATAAATTAATTCACCTTACTCTGTTTTGTTCCTAAAAGACTTCTTAATCACCCCGAAATTCCGGTTCCATTTTAAATCGAAATGATAGTTGGTAGTTATGTAACAATTTCAGGATTTCTTAGTTAGATATTGCAATTTTCATTACTTTAATGTTTTACCCAAGTACTCCTTATATTAAAGCAGTTTATCAGTTGATATCTTCAAACTAGCCGCAAAAGTGATTCCTTCCTTTACAGTTCTACCCAACTAAAATCGTTATAACTACAAATAAAGCATACAACCTGTTTTAACCATATATTGAAAAAAAGTAGCACGGTGTAACTAACTGGAATGTATTATAATTATGTACATTCACGGATACATTGAATGCTTTCGTAGTTCGACTATTTTTATTAAAAATACAAAACCCATACATTTAGTTGTAATCAGAATATTTTTATTGTCCTTATGTTAAATATCAGTTTTCAGTGTATCTTTTCTGTTCAATATGAAACTATTATTGTAGCCTAAGTTAATTTACGATTAGTTATTTTCCAGCTAACCTTATTAGTTAATAAGACATGAAGTAAACAATCATCCTAGCCAGCATACTTCATTTAAAGTCGTAACAAACAATAAGTAAATGACATTCTTATAGCAAACGCATCACTCAGTGACCGGATTAAATGTTTATTCCAGTACTCGAACACAGTACCGTTCAGTTTAAAACGTCATCGCGTTATCCACTTAGCTAGCAAGTCCAAATAGCCACACGCTTGTGCAATAAGGCGGACTGAACTATATTCGGTCTAAGTCTCCGAGTGAACATTAACTCTGAGATGCAGTGGAGTCCCGAATAGAACGAAACGCTCGTCATGGATTCTACTGTTAGCTATTATCCAACTTTTCTAATAGTGCTCGTGACGCAATGACTATATACCATGACTGACTGATAACAGTTTATAGTTCTTTGTTGTTTATGAGTTGCAAATGATAAATCTCTTAGGGCATATGATCATCCTGAGTAGATCACCTTGAGATCATTACTTAGATATACTTTTGTTTATGCTAATGTTGGATATAAGGTAACAATCATTGTGGTGGTGTTTCGTTCTCTGAGCTCGGAGAACGAAACACCACCACAATCATCCACCTGAGCTACAAGTTTTCTCCACCATCTCAAGGTAACAATCAAATACAGATAATACATTTGATTCTATTTATGACTCATCAACTAATTGTACTTAGATCACTGAATCCGAGCAACATTGTCAACATTAACACTAAAGTAGATACATTCAACTTTCGATTCCAAAGCAGAATAAAAAAAGCACATCTTGAATCTCACTTTTGGCCAATATACAATTTTACATGATAATTACATCATTGATTAATACTTACTTTAAAATACAATACAATATTGTTTTATTTACTTTAATTAATATAAATATCTTTAAATTTACTTATATATTTATTAATTATTTTAGCAATTACTCATTCAATTAAATGAAAACACTACTGAATTAAAACAAGCTCATGAAATATTTAATCAACTGATCAAATTAAGTCATTTATCATTATTTCATGAATTCAACAATGATCAATCCATTGAGCCTGGCCAACAAAATGATGCGTCTGACAAATCAGTTGAAAAACAAATTTACAAGTCAATTGTACTTATGAAAATTGAATCTAGATTCAATAATTTACAGTTATGCTTGGAAAAATCTATTGATCATACGAATGAGTTGATTTCTGCACTGGAAACTCAACAACATGCATACACTGATGCAAATGATTGGATTGAAAATTTTACAAGTCAACTTCATCAGATTATTACAGAAAAACAAAGAACTACACCTAGTCATGATATTGTACAAAAGTATCTTGATTTAATTCATGTAAGTTGAGAGATGGATCTGTAAATAGTGTGTTCAATTATTATTGTTCTTGTCATCACACTATCTTTTTGTTTTTCCACATTGGACACATAAATTTTGTATCTTCAGAAAATCGACACATGTGTGTATGTGTGTGTAAAAGTGAGTCTGTCTAATTAGTTGTCTGTTCCTGTATCATGAGTGAAACCAATTATTATAATTTGACTGTAAATAGGACGGATAAGAAGAATGCTGGTCGATTTTTAATACAAAATAATAATGTGAGTAATAACTACTCATGTTATGAAAAGAATGAACAGCTATTGGGTGGAACTGAAAAGGAAAGCCCAAGACAGAGTGGGTTGAAAAATGCCGATCAGAGACCTATGATGCTTCATCAGTGGTAACAGGCTGTTAGGGATATTAGATCCCTAGAACTTTTTTGGATTTTATTCATAGGCCGATCAGTTGAACTTGAGATCACATCCCCACCAGGAAAAACCTTGGCTGTGATTGGTTACTGTGTTATTTCAGTGTGCTATTTTTAGGACTCTCCCAAGGACGTCTCTATGGTGTATAAACAAACGCGATTTGTGTGCTTGAATTCATTGTGTTTGTTGGGTGTTTGTAGAATGCACTTTCTAGGCCATATCAAGACTTCTAGTTAGTTTCTTTGGGTCAACGGATCAGAGTAGCCTACCAGGACACTGGTTCATTGTCTCGTTCTCGTTTATCGACTAAGGTGAACCCGTAATAGTTTCAAGCATAGCAAGTGACGACCCTAACACAGGCGTAAGTAATTAGTAACTATTCAATAAAAATGAACTCATTGATACATACAGATATTTGAAGATAGGATGCAAATGCATATTAGTGAAGATCAAATCACTGAGTTGGTATCCATTGCTTTAAAAATTTGTAATTCCTGTCATTTCATCATGGATCGTCGTCATCATATGTTATCATGAGTGTGGCATTTATTTCATGTTCTATATAAATGGGACAAACAGTTTAATGTTTCCTTATTTTCAGTAAATCCTTAACTAAGATAATTCCATAATTTAAAACTTACAAATTTACATAAAAAAGAATATATCGGAATAGAGTTTACTTGATTAGATGATCAGCACGATTTATAACAAATGAAATAAAATCAAAAAATTCATTTCTATCCAGTAGTGTAAATAAACGTGTAAATTTAACTTTTTGTCAATGTTCACTGCAAAATGAATAATTTGCATTAATCCTTTCAATTTCAATGTCACTCTGTGACAGAAACTAACTTTAAGTATGAAGTAATGATTTGTTTTTTAATTAATTTGTGGATGAAACTTAGATATTTTTCCTTCTGAATTCATTTAAGTGCAAGAATGAAAATTTTCAAATGATTCATAAAACTTAAGAATATATCGTATTAATCGACAAATCATTGAGATGACCATAGATATCTGATGGATTTAACAAACTATGGAACCGAAAATGATTCACTACAAATGGACTTAAATATGAGTGATTAAGATGAAAGTAATTACTGAATGAGCTCCCAAGCGCCCTGGTACGGCTGAGAGTGGGCAGATTCTGCTTTTTTCCGCGAAACGCTCTCTTATGACCACTTCCTATTACTCTCTCATCGCCACACTGACGTTGTGTACCGAAATGAGAAAATGGAAAGTGAATGTCTGGTAGAGGATTAAACCGGTTGGTGGGAATGGAGAATCCATTTAAAGGAGTTACAAAACCCTCATTCCAAACCAATGGTATACACGGGCTCCACAATCCTAAGAGAACAAATGGAGTATGAACCTATTGCTTGTCACTGGCTAAAACAGGATTGCATCTCTTGATGTCGCTCCACTATCTTGTGGGATAAGCCTGTAGATTAAAAGTTGAGGGAGTGGTTCCCTATGAAAACCACTCATTTCATTTTTGGCGCCTGTGTAATGGTACATTCAACTTTCAAGTTCAATGACTTGTGTAACCCCTTTTAATGCCCCCATTTTATCAATATTTTTGTGTTTAAATAAAATCTGAAAAATATAATACTAATTGTAGAAACAAACTAAATGACATCATTTGACCAGGATAAAGAGATCATTGATACAGACAAACACATCAACCATTTATTCACTGTTCCAAAGTTAAATAAGATTAACAATGAAATAATTCGTTGTTTTTCTTGTTAGATGGTTTGAATTTAGTTGACCATCAATCCTAGTCGACCTAGGTTTATTGTTAGTTGACACTTATGAACAAAAAACACGTACTGAAATTGTTGAAGAACCTGATGTTCCCTATGAGATTCGAACGCCCGAAACCCAGTTTTACAGTCCAAAAGGATGACACTGAGCTATTCAGTCGTAACTCAACTCTTGTAGAACTGAGACATTTACAATTCTTTATTCATCGAATAGTAACCAATCTTAGGTTTGCTTTATCTTTTACCACTGATCAGTTTCTTTGCATTGGTTGTGATTCACAAAAACATTTGTCTATCGCCATAGATTGAATGTATTTCAATCGATAGATATATGTTGTATGGCAATGCTTTCCTTTCCTATCAAAGAGTTTATCCATTTGGTTTTTCGCTTCCTATGTTTCATTAAATTTGTCTTGTTTGTTTGTTTGTTTTTTATATCTCTCTAACAAGAATCTAAATGAGCAATCGGATAATGGACGTTCCAAATTACAATCAGCTCAAACTTCTATTGAATGTGTATGTAATTTAATTTTAATATCAGAAACATTTTTGCATAAAATTAACACGAATGATATTTTATCATCTATCATGAAACAATCCATGAATGATCAAGTGAAATTGGACGAATCATCCTCTGCATCGTTTCATTCTGCATTTATAACACAATTCAATAATCAATTAATAAATGATTCTTCAATGTTAACCAATCGTTTTAATGTTTATTTCAATGAAATTGAAACCAACTTAAATGAAATCCAACTTGATTTAAATCAATGGACAACATACATGGATTCGAAATTACGTTTAGAAAAATGGTTAACTATGGTAGAATTAGATTGGAAATTGAATGAATTAACTGATTCCGATGAAGTTGGTGATAATTTAACTCAGAAAATGTATTTTATTACTTTATACAAGGTATGTTAGTGTTGTTGTTGTTGTTGCTGCTATTTTCATTGTTATTGTTACGTAATGTTTGGCATTTTGATTATACTGTCAATAAATTCTTTCGACTAGTGTGAAATAAGTAGATTTTGTCTGGCTTTGTGCTATACTTATTCGTGAAAGCCGTTACAGTTTGGTTATACTGTGATAAATGAAAATGGTTAGACCAGATGGAACAAGCGATTTATTTGAAGAAGACACAATGTACTAGCGAATGATATTTACAAATTATCTTTAAAGGTCCATTTCCAAAACAAGCGTATTATGGGCTGTCCTCTTTCACATGTATTCTAGTTGTCAGAATACTCTAATCATCCCGTACATTCGGATCCGATCCTCTTCACTCCGTAAGTAATTTCAGAGCGACACTATGCTACATATCCACTGGATACTACTCATAAGCCTCGTTGTCAGCAGTATGCACCACATTAAAACTATACGTCTGCATAAAAAGGCTTATCATCAATGTAATGACAGGTGTGTTTGTTTATAATACTTCTCGTATGCAATGCTAATTTTATGTACAAGATACTAAAACATTACAGTCCCAATATACAGATGCATAGTTTTACGGGTTTCCATGAATGTATTATTTATTTAGAATGTTGTCGAAAATCCTGACACTTTAGGTTGGGTTTAATAGCATCCACTCATCAATTAATCGATAATAGATTAGAATTCTTTAAACGTTTATACTCATAACTCAAGGTGTGAATACTTAACACGTCATACTTTCAGATCCTTCTAACACATCCACATGTTCAAGTTTTCGTGATTATTATTAGTATTATTATCATTACAAATATTACCATTCCTAACACGTTAATTAGAATTATGGTTCTATCTTCTCAACCTTGTTTCTGTTTAGCAACGATTACAAGATGTTGATTTACATGAAAGCCTTTTAAACACTGTAGTTGGTTGTGGAAATCAATTTATTCGAAGAAATTCTGACAGTATGATTAATATCAATAATAATGATAACAATGATAACAATGGCCAAGTAATTCTTCCTACTGAAGAAATTCGAAATTTTCGTAAACGTTTTGAAACACTTTATAATGTTATTAATAAACGTTTAAAATTACATCAAGATCGTTTAGAACGATATAAAAAATTTATAGAATCTGATCAAAAATTTGAAGAATGGCTTTCTAATACAGAGACAAAACTTAATTATTTGATAGAAGATATTGTTGGAAGAATTGAATATTTAATACCTGACAATGAAACCTTTAATGTAACGCTGGAAAATCAATCCAATTCAAACTCTACAATCAAGACTCAATTCGTTACTAATAGTAATAATAATAATAATGACAATTTACCAATGTACATTGATAAAATTGATAAATTATGGTTATCTATTGTCAATAATGCAGAAAATCAATTAGACGCCTTAACCTCAGTATTTTCATCAATCCAAAACGATGTAGAAAATCCAGAGAATTTTCAAGTAAAGATTACTAATCATAAGAATTGTATATTTATTACTTTAAAAGAAAAAACTGATAATTTTATTAACAATTTAAAAGAATATCAACATCTTAGTGATGAATTTTTAAATCAACTTTCAAAATCACAAACGTATATGAATAATCAAGAAAAAAGAATCAATCAATTTTCAACAAGACAAATGTGTAATTCTCTATCAGATTCAACAATGTTCATTGGTGGTGGTATGATGGATTTACCCGATAGTCAAGATGATAAATTATTCATTGTTCAGTCTTTGAATCAAATTCTAACGGATTTAAACAATTCCGAATGTTCCAATTTAATTCAAACTCTACATGATACACATGAAAAATTAATATCACTACAGAATAGAATTAAACAAACTAATTTATCACATCAAAATATTGTAATCATAAATAATCATTGTTTAGATAAACATTTAAATTATATAAATAATTATTTAATAAAATTAAAAAATTATTGTAAAGAATTATTACAATCATGGCAATTAGCAATGGATAATCATGTGAAATTTCAAACAACTTTCGATTTGTGTTGTATGGAATTTGAAACTATCAAGACTAATTTCATGGAAGGTTTCAATCCATTTAACGAGGGAAGTGAATCGACTAAATCAATAATGATAAACAATAGTGACATATTACAATGGAATAAAGTCAATCAAATTTACACGGATTTATTAGTATGGTTATCAAATTTAACTAATAAACTTGATCGATTCAATGTGATCAATTATCAATCTTGTATGGAATTATTTCAAACTCTATCATTAACCACTAGTTTAAAAGGTCGTGATTTAATTAATCAACAACTAGTAGAATTGAAAAAATCAATGAATCAATTATCCAATGATGTAATTGAATATTATCACCAAATTGAATTAACAATGATTGAACATTTAAAAATTGATGAAGAAAAACATGAACTTCAAATGTGGTTCAATGAACAAGAAGAGAAATTAGTTGAATTCAATAAACCATTAGAAATAGACTTGCCATTTGATGATGTCATAACGCCACCATCGTCCGCATCATTTAAATCATCTTTAATTTCATTAAATACTATTTTATCATCATGGTCTATGTTAATCAATGAAAGACAAACGAATCTACAAAATTTTCGAGTAAACAGTTGTTTTGTTTTTTCTCTAAAAAATAATAATCCTTCTACTGTTTACTTTAAATCATGTTATTTGGTTTTATTTGGTGTTAAACATATAGTTGATATTAAGTAAAAGAGTCCGACGAAAGTTAAGAATTATGATTTTAGATAAAAATGGATATCTGTGAAAGCTAACGTCTAATATAAGAAGCTGCGTTTTGAGGATTTCTCAGTCGTTCTCCTCTGTCTTTTTTCTTTTTGGATGAAGAGAAAGTCATTTTGGTTATAATTATTGGTTTCTGTAATCTGGTGATCCAACTAAGTGGATATAAAAGACAAAAGCTCATGACATGGTTTTTACCAAACAGATGTTTAAGAATCTTCAGAGGTATTCACTCACAAATCTATACGAGGTCTAGTTCAACGATTCAAAAAACTTTGACACCATTAAATCGGAAAGTCTATTCAGTAGTGTGCATTTTTCACAGCAATCGATTTTTTGAGATAACACGATTTTTACTCAAGATCATGGATTTTCTTATAGCTTCCTCACAGATTAGCTGTACATGTTTTATTAGACAACTCTGAATAGTTATTGTATTATTAGTAATAAGTTTATTTTTAAAGCTTTGTCCTACCTCCTGTGTCGGCATAGTTAATCTATGTCATTATACTGTTTATTACTTCTATAATTACTACTAGAGATACCTGTCACTTTGTTATTAGTTTATACTTTGCACTTATTGTGATTTGTCATGTAGTCATTGATACAAAAATTATCTTGATTTGTTGAGTATTTTTCATATAGGCACATAAATATTCCCGTTTATTAGAATATTTTAGCGCCTAAAGTTTACATGAATGGCACAGATGTTAATGTCCTGTTTGACGTTGTCTATATTTTGTCCATAAATCTCGTTAATCATGACATAAATATAAAAATTCAAGTGCAAAATTAGTCAAGGAACATAATGAAGATGGACGATTGGAGAATTTGTCAGTAATGCATTGTAGATATCGTTGGATTTCATTGGAATCATGATATGATCTCTAGTAAACTACCAGTGAGAACTTGGGAGCATTGGATGACCGTTTCGTCCTAGTATGGAACCTCTCAACAGGCTGTATCGACGCCTTCAAACATAGGAATCGGTCCCAGGGCGTTAGATGTGGAGCGTGTGTGATTAATCTTGAAACCATTGAGTCAGTATCTGACGGTTTCAGACAATTCACAACACTTTGCAACCATCTTTAATTGTCTTCAGTCGGTAACTGCCTTGCAGTAGTGTAAAAATTTATTAAAATTATACAGGTCTAAATGATTAGATTGATTTTCTTCAACTAAATTCAAAACCAACAAGCTACACAGAGTCAGTCTTTCTTATGAAATAAGTTTCAGCCTGAATCCATTGAAATGACGATGATTACGAGTGAAGTTGATGTGGCAGGAGGAAGTTTGAATCAATAATCCATTGACTGATTACCAAGTTACGCTTTAAATCTTTGATTAACGGTTGCTATTCACTTAACTGACTGATGGACAACAGTTTCTTACTACCATAAATTAATTTTCACCGTTTCAATCCTTTCCTTTTATTTTCCTTTGTAGCGAGTTCTCCAAAATCTATCTTCACGTAGTCAACAGCTACGTTCATTTGAAGAACGTCAATCTGTAGTTATTTTAAATTATAAAACTTATGTGATTGATCGTTTAAATAAATCAATCCATGTTGATCACATTGAACAAATTACTCTCAAAGTGCCAACTGACAACTTGAACACAAATTATACCAATTTAATAAATCACAACAAAGAATTAATCAATAAAACTGAAAAACTCATTGACCAAGATACTAAATTTAATGATCTAGCTAATTCATTATCAACCGAGATACATACACTCTCAGATAATCTTCGTATTTTCGAAGAAGATTTAGTAGATATGAAATCTATGAATTTTGCAGTAGATACTAACAAATCAATGGTCCATGCAGAAGAATTTTCATGGACACGTGATCTAGTGCAACATAATATCAATGAATTAAATCAACAAACACGCGGTGTTTTCTTACAGAATATTCATGAAAAATTGAACGTACTCGAAGAGATGTTCAATAGTTCAATTAGTTTAAATGATCCAGAAAAAAATTTATCGAATGAATTCATTAATTTAGTGAAAAATCAATTGAATAAGCTGACCGAAAGAATTGATCAACAGATACAATTGTTTTCATTAATATTGAATCAAATGGAAGAAATGTCTAAAAGAATTGATCAACAAAAGGAATGGTTTTCACATTTACTGATCAAGATTGAATCAGTTGAATCCGGATTACCTGTTGATTTAGAGTCGAAAAAGGCATTATTAGTACAATATCAAGTAAGAAATGTGTTTTATTAGAAAATAATGCTGAGATTATGCGCCACTACTAATTTGTAGTTTGCAAGTTCCTATTTCTAATACTTTTTAAAAAATAACGAATTCATCGAGTTTAAAAAATGTTAATTTCCTTTGATGCGTTCAGTTTCAGCCTTCATTTGTTGTCATTCTGTTATAGACTGAGTAATTCAGTGGATAACGCTTTAGAGTTTGAAGCGAAAGATGCCAAGTTTGTGTCTCACTGTGGATGGCAGTACTGGGATTCAGACGTATCTAACTGACAAGTCGTAAATAGAACGAAATATGCATCTTAAATTCCCTGTGTGGATCAATAACCACTTTTGATATATACTGTGGGTTAAATTGCTCTGATTATTTAATCAGCAAGAATAACAAAATAACAAAAGTTCTAGTCAATAGTTCAACACTGGAGAGAGTAGGTCAAACTTGGATAAATAGACTTTCGAATAATGATCACAAAACATTATTAATGTTACGTAGTAAGAGGTATGTAATTAACTGGATAGTGAAACAAATTATTGTAGAGGCGCAAAATGATAAGCACATACAAGATATGAAAATAATAATAATGATAATTTATTACCAGGTGACCTGACTCCAGTTCGGACGACCGACTGAGTATGCTATGAGATAAATCTTCCCTTCAATTTTCATATATCATACTTTGGCAAACCTCGCTTGTTTGACGCAGGTAATAAGAAGCCAAATACGATTTTGTGGATGAATTTATTTCGTGCACTCGTTTGCGCAGACTGACATGAGAATAAAAAGCGTGGAAACAAAACGAAGCAAAGGCGAGCAAGACAACTCATTGCTATAAGACATGACTGAGTATTTACAGTCAAGAAAAATAGGCTGGACATGTAATAAGAGAATTAGGCATGCACATATGCACTCATGTAAGAACAACCAATATTATAAAAGAATGATTGAGAAGGTTGAAAGACGTGGGAATAACTCGAGAATGGATTAATTAATTTGTCTAAAGTCTGGGACAAGCTATGTGGGCTCAAATATTTGTACGCTCACTACCATGATAATAATAATAATAATAATAATAATAATAATAATAATAATAAAACCATCTACTCAGTTGAATCCAGCCAAGGAAGAAACAGGGGTTTCTCAAATTTTTCCTAATCACTTAGAATGGGTTAATAGGCTTGGATTAATATAACTTCTGCTATATGTAGAGGATAGGATCGAACCACATTTGAAAACGATGGAGCTATGCAATAGATCCTTCAAAATAATTCGGTTTTATCTACAATATAACCACTATCAATCAGGTGTGCCAATATACAGCTATGCATTGTCTTTGTTTGGCCCTTTCCAAACCATCTTGTAATCTGTAGAATTCGACTTTTGAAGTCAGATCGACTGATGAGGCTACATATGTGGAGTTATCGGCATCCATATAGCATGCGTAGGATCTACTGAAACCCACTTGTGAATTCGATCAATATCTTGGAAGAATGGTTTTTATTGTCCTTCAGAAAATCATAGATCAGACTGCAAACCTGTGTTGGTCGATAAATGAAACAAATAGTTGTTAAATTGTAGTTACTTTATTGATGCATGAATAAGACACCTAAAATATTATTTGATTTTTCATGTTCTTTTTTTCAAACTTATTCATCTATTCTCATTCTTTTCATCACCAGGATATTTTAACCGAATCTACGGAACATATTTCAGAGATGAATACCATTTTGAAAGATTACTGCTATAATACTGTAACATCAATTCCTACACAAAAACCAGAATCAATAGATGTCAATTTGAATTCATCATCAAATTTAATGAAAATGTATCCTGTTGATGTTCAATTACTCAAAAGTTTAAAATCACTTAATTATGATATGAATCAAACATTGGAAAGAGTCAATTTAAATATAACTCGATGGAAACGTGCTATAACTCGTCATGAGAATTTAATTGAATCTATACATAATCTTGAAACAATTCTAACCAAATGTGTTGATAATACTTTCTATTGTGCTAAGCATATATTGAATTTAGAAACTGAAATAAATGATGAAACTATATTACTGAAATTTCCTTTAAGTAGTATACTTTCCAAGTGTGTAAATATCATACGGACATATATCAACAGTGAATTAGCTGAAATCAATCGATTGTTGGACGAGATTAATTTAACTTATGATAGTGTCTTACAGGACACATGCCCAGAGAATATGAATATTATTAAACAACAAATTAGAAAAAATCAAAATCAATTTACAAGTCTGGATCATAAAATACATACATTACAAGCCTATTTAATCAATCTCAGTGATCGTATTGAATTGTTCACCTCGATCAATAATAATATGAATAAACGAATCGACAGTCTTTCCACTCGTCTTAAATCTGAAAGTATAAATTTATGTTCAACTACAGTTCAAGAAATTAAACGATATAATAATATTTGGCATGGAATGAATGAAAAAGTTAAACAATTACATCAAGATTATTTAGATGAAATGACGCCTTTAATTGAAGAATTTAAACAATTGAAAATTGAACATTCACAATTTTTGGAATTGTTTGAAAAGAATTTCACATTTGAATCTAAATCAGATTTAAATGAGGAGAATGATTTATTGGAACATTTTCCTATCATTGAATCAATCGAGATTCAATCTGTTATTAAAGAACGAAATGAGAAACTGCAAGAAATTGTTGAATTTATCAATGTAAGTTCTCAATACAAATCGATAGTTACAATCGTGCTCATCATTTTACGTGCTCGTCAACCTCCTTCATATATTCTATATAAAAAGCAAAATTAATTTAACCATATACTATGACTCAATGGCCGTCCAGTGCTTTGAGGTTTTCAGTGATACGTCTAACTTAAATCGGTTTATGATTGATACCAATGAAATTCAACAAGCTCTACAATCTCTTAATGATAGGCAATCAATTGTATTCGGTGGCTGTGAGTGATCTGTGAGGGTCTTTTAATGAATAGTCTTGCTGTAGTGAAACAAAATGTATATTTGCAATCCTTTAACAACTGCCGCTCCAAGTTAGAATCAACCCCAATTATTACATAATGCTATAGTCAGATTTATTATAAGTTATTTTGTCTTATAGCTGACCTAATATAGAAATGTCATGTATTTGATCGTGTATTTAATCACGGTTTATATAAACACATGAACATTGATACAAACGGGCACCAAAATGTTTATGAGCCATACTAAATTTGTGAGTGTACCGGGTGTTACGCATGCACGTAAACACATCATTTTGATATGATTGAACTATTACGAGTTTATCTTAGTCGGAATACGAGAGCGAGGATCGAGGATCAGGCTACACATCATTTTACTCTAATCCGATTATCCCAACCTCCATTGAATAAAAGAAGAAGACTTGATATGAAGTAGGACCTGTATTCAACAATCATCCAGAAGGTACGAGGTCCGAGTCCAGAAGAGAATCAGGATCCCGCACTAGGGATCCATGTCCTGGTCATAAAACGTTACAGATAATGCGTATTTATACATTTAGGTCGATTAGGAAACAGCGTCGAAGTCTGCGACATTGACACTTAGGACTACTAATAGGAAACAACAGTGGAGCACATGACACTGATATCTAGGACGACGAAAAAATTGACCAGTAGGAACTAACCAATAGGAATTGACCAATAATTCTCTTAGGATATTGGCTGAATATCCTAACACCGGGATACTACTCGGACACCCAAAACTAAGCAAGTGATTGTCATAGGAGGCCACACCCTACAGGTCTAATCCATGATGAAATGGGGCAACTTTAAGAGATACAATCTCATACTCGTACTCCATATATTCCATCAGAATCCTCGTACCCATGATCAACAATTCGTTTGAATTGAGGGTCTTGCAACTCTCTTAGATAGACCCTTCGTACCCACCAGTCCGGTTTAAGCTTCCATCGGACGTTCAGTTTTCATCCCCTCAATTTTGTAAAATATCTAATCATGGATTAGTCATTGATAGGATTGTTTTGAAGTGAAATAGATTTTATGAAGATTGTGAAAGATCACTAATTTTGCTTTCAGTAAAAAATAACATATTATAATTCATCTTACATTATCATAAAGATTTTCCGATAATATACTTTCATGTTCGATTGTAAAACAACTGACTGATATGAATATAAAATCAAGTTTTATTGGCAGTTATGAGAACAGTCCGATTACTAGTTAAACTGAAAGAAAAAGCAGGAAGGATCAGTTATTGTTCCCTCTACCCAAATACTACAAGCATATTATGGTGACCTGTGTCAACTAGCTTGAAACCTTAACCGATACTACTTAATCATTGACTGCTTCCAGCCATTAGATATGAAAACACATTGCATACTTCGTTGAAGTATTTACAGTAATGATCATATCACCGCTTCATTGAAAAAGATCAATCGATATATTCAAAAATAACAGGACAAACATGATATTGATCAACTGTCAATAATCATTTAATGCTCAAAAATCAAATGTTTAAACTATTTCATAATTTTTTTGTAATAATCTTCATCTTATGAATAATTGTTGATAGCTGAATGTTGGTGATACTTTCTTCTATTTAGATGGTCATTAAATCAATCGACACAGTCAGTTCTATCTGGTCTCAATCAGAACAAAAATTTGTTCATTGTCGCTCTTGGATTAATGACTCATCAAAAAAATTTATAGAAATTTCTCAAACTAACTTGAAAACTACAACAACTCCGACGAAGACTATTCCTGACACTTCAGACGTGATAGATAGTGAAGAAAAAACATTGTCTTCTGATCATATTTTAAATCAATTTGATCAATACACAGCTCAAAATCGTTTATCGCTTTTGAAAGTAAGTGTAGTTTATATTCTTATTTTTGTATTCTTAAGAGTATCTTTAGATTTTTCAAAATCACCATTGTGGTATTTATTGTAAAGTCTAACCATTTGTGGCGGGTTCGCTTCTTGTCTGAAGGTACTTTGCGTACTGAAATTGGTAATGCGAAGAGCGACGCATCTGAAATAGAAATATAAAACAAAAATGAAGTGAAAGTATACTATACTGACGTCCTTGAGTGAACCAATCAGAACCAAGATTAGTGCCTCGTAGATTTGTGTTCGAAATCATGAATACACAAAACATTTATAGTTCATTTGTCATCATGCATGAAGTGAAAATCGAAAAATATTTATTTCCTAATATAATTCTACAAATAATAACGCGAAAAAGGGAACATTTAAAATATGCTAATTTAAACAGAATAGCTGAAATTCATATCTTTTTGATTACTTTACAATTTGTAAGTATCAAAATTAAAAATAAAGTTTAATGCATATTTTTTTCTGTAGAAATAAATTCAATTTATAACCTCTTATGATCGATTATTGATCGGTAAAGTGTGGCAATCATTAATTATAATTATTAATATTATCATGAGAATTCAAAGAGTTAAAAGGTTTATATGCACTATAGGAAGGTTTCTGAATGATAATCTAGACAGTAGTAATCAAAGATGTAAAAATGAGGCGTAAAATGAGTAGTTACATTCCTTTTTAATTGGTTGTTTGTATCTTTCCATTGACGTTTAGACTTGAAATCGATCAGTTTCTTTGACACATGTGCATCCTGTGTGGGTTGCTTCGATACTACCATCAGGTTACAGGCATCACATGCAGAAATGGATGGTGGTTAACAGTAGAATGCTCATTGCACAAGTCAGTAGCTTTCTGAACTCCGTAGCTAAGTGGATAACGTAATGGTGTGTGTGAAGCGAACGGCATTAGGTCCGAATACCAGACTGGATACCACCTCTTAGATGCCGGTACATCCAGCTGACAAGACGCGTGTCCTGGATTCTACTACTATACACTATCCATTTCTGCTAATAATTAACAGTCACACTATTTGATATTTACAAAATATGAATACTCTACTCTCTCTCTCTCTCTCTCTCTTCCATTTGCGATAAGTAAACAGGTAATTTGATTTTCAAACTAAATTTCGATTGAAATAGAATGTTTCTGGCAATTATTATAAACTAGTTTCATTAAAAACCACAGATGACTGAATCATATAGATATAGGATTCAACCTGTAACTACGTCAATGATCCCTACTACTTAACAGTTATTATAAACTAGGAAGAAACTTTTCAACAATACTACATGACTTTTGTTATGAATTATTATCTTCAATAGATACCATGAGAAAAATTTTACAAATGAAACATATAATCTTTGTTTAATGATATCATTGTAATATTTTCATATTTTGCAGGAATTTCAAATAGAATTGAATAAAAATAATTCATATTTTAATGACTATAGCAATGCATTATGTAATGTTCAGTCATTAGAGTCAACAATTGACAGTTTATATACTACATTCAAACAATTCGATGTGGATATTATTGATAATTTAAAATTGAATTATTCCAATTTAATTGACAAATTAAATGAAGAATTTAAACAATTTCAAATCAATTGGGAACAATTACAAACTGAAGTGAACAGTACACATCAAACAATGTATCAATATTTAGAACAAATAGAATTATTAGAAAGTAAACAATTAACTCTTCGTAAAATACTTACAGAAATTGAACAGAAAGCTTGTTTAGGACCTTATTCTTCTACAAATTTTAATGAGTTGGAGAAAGAAACAATGAATTGTTTAAATGAAATTAATGTTGATGATTGTCAAGGAACAGAAAGTTATGTAGTCATTTTTGACAAACTTATCAATGCTCAACAAAATATTGTAGATTGGTGGAAGGTAGGTTGTTGTATTATGAGTTAGATGAAATATCCATTATAAGTGATAATAAGTTGTTTCCTATTTGTAGAAAAGAACGTTGTATATTTACTGGTGTTTTTAAAATCTGTATGATTCATTTGGTAAATGATTAATCTTGTTATTATTTACAATCACTTTCGATGCGATTGCTCAGTCAGCGATGTAAGGAAGGCTAAGAAACCACCAGGAAGTTTTCATTGCCAAACTGAATAAATAGATATACAATCTATTGACATGTATACACTTGTTCTGATAATTCAGACAAGGAAATATAAGTTTATACCTGGACTTACAGTAAAATCAGATTCTCTCAATAATATGTCTTATTGTTTATCTTAAAATAGAATGTGAGAACAGGTATATGTCATATTTAGGCTCGCTCATTCCATGTTAGCTAGAAGAGAAGTGGATTGAAAGACAAGGAGGATGGCCAAACTATGACGTGACATCAGTTTATGAAATTATCGACTGTTAAACTAAGCTGTGTTAGTATTTGTAAATTATCCGGTCGGGGTTCAGGTGCTAGCCTCTATAAGTGGTCGGAAAAGTTGGCTGATGCCATAGAGAGTTAATATTGATTAAGCAAATGTATTCCCTCATCGTCTTTCCTAGATTTTAAAATTCATTATTTCTTCATACATACGCATACATTTATTCTTCGCGGATTACGTTCGTAATGCTTAGTTTTTCCGAGTGTCATTACAATCGTGTGTCATGATTTCCTAGCAATTCATTCTGATAATCTCACATTTTTGTCTCTCTATGGCATGGACACATGAAAAGCTCTATGTTGATCATTACTATCCGTTAGATCACTAGTTTTATGTTTTCAGGGAACAGGACGATACCGTTTACATCAAAAAAAAGAGGTTAATCATTGGTATCATATTCAATTTTAATGTAATTCTAAGAAATGACTAAATTCTATTAGTCGAATTCCTTATATATATTGATCAAATAAAGTAACATGAAATCATTGCAATGTTGAATAATCGGTGGGACAAACCTCACATAATTCCTGCACATTAATTTCATTCACCTGGTCAGTAAAATGTATTTGAAACCTTGAAACAGGAAAAAAACATTTCACTTTAGTAAGTTTGAATTTATGTCCGTCCGTAAACTTTGTAGTTATAACTGTTTACAATCAAACTACTAGTATTATTAACAAAACTAAAAGTAAACATTAATGAATTAATATCAGTAAACAGTTACTTCTTACCATCTAATGGTAGTGAAATAGAAAAAGTTAAATGTGAAATTATGTCGGTTTGTTTAGTAATTAACTTTTGAAAGGCAAATATTTATCCAAACTGTTTGGTCTTAATATATTCTCTTGATACAAATTTATTAGGTTCGTCACTAAGTATCCTTGAAACTATTACGGGTTCACATTAGTCGACATACTAGAACGCCACAATGAACCAGCGTCCAGGTAGGCTACCCTGATCCGAAACGGCTAAAGAGAAGTCTTGATATAGTGTAGAAAGTATATTCTACTAACACCAAGCAAGCACTATGCAATCAAGAACACAAATCTCGTTTATTTATACATTATAGAAACGTCCTTGGGACAGTCACAAAAATCGCACACTAAAATACACAGCAGCCAATCACAGCCAAGGATTTTTCTGGTAGGAAATGAAATCTCAAGATCAACTGATCAGCTCATGCTCGCAAGCGTGAATTTCAAAATAAGGCATTTATCAAGCGAGTTCTGGGGATCTAATATCCCAAACAAAAGTGATATATCTTCATGATAATAAACAATTATATTTGGTGATACTAGTTGGTAGAACATTTCACTTTCAATGAAGGTTTGAACTCTATTTCATTTACTTTAACTGATCTGTACTGCTAGTCTTAGTCCAATGGAGCATAGGCCGCCGCCCAATATTCTTCAATCTAATTCGTCCTGGGTTTTTCTTTCCAGTTCTGTCCAATTTTCGTTCATTCTTCTCATGTCTGTCTCCATTTCTCGGAGTAGTGTGTTCCTTAGCCTTCCTCTTTTAATTAGACCTAGAGGGTTTAAGTGAGAGCTTATCTTCTGACGCAGTTGGGTGCTTTCCACGATGTGAATCCTATCCACTCTTAGCGCTTCTTCCTGATTTCCTCCTCCACTGGAATCTGTTTGGTTTGTTCTCTCCCACAGTAGGTTGTTGCTGATAGTGTCTGGCCAACGGATCCTAGGCGTTTTACGTAGACAACTGTTAATGAATACTTGTATCTTCTGGGTGATGACTTTAGTAGTTTTCTGAATTTCCGTCCCATTCAATAGAACTTTCTTGGCATTTGTATTGGAAACTCTGATATTGCTAGTCGTTAGACGCAAAATATTGCAGTAATTCAGTGTTGAATATATAAACCTTTGCTAAGTAAATGTGCTATAGTTTCTTTACGCGTGTGTGTGTGTATTCAAACCACTTTCCCCTCACTTATTGCTTTTTCGTCTTTGTTTAATCACTTTTTTTTTAAACTTTTAAACAGACTTTTGTTCAAGAAGTTGAAGAAGAAATACCTAAAGTGAAAGATGAATTGAAAGTGATCAACAGTGTTGCTTTTCCTACTCCCACTGGGTTAACGAATCAATTATTACACGTGGAAGAGATCTTAGCTAAAGCTCATGTAAGTGATCAATACCCATAATTATTTCATTTGTTAGTTGTTTTTTTTTCAAATATCATTTGAATTCCAATAGTTGTTAACATTTTCAACTTAAATGAGTACTTATTAAATATATCTTCATTTCCTAGAAGACCTGAAGAGTTTCCATTCAATCAGTAGATAGACGGCGATAGAGAATTACAAATTAAGATGAAGTCGTTGTAAACTTAGTGCTTGTAGTTAGTGGATGTTTGTGGTGAAAATTCACTTTACGTCTCTACAACGTGTTAAAATATTCAATCTGTTAAATTTTTTTAGGTAAATCTAATGAATGCGGCTTGTATTCAATTTTAAAAACCCTCCTACCCTCATTATATTTCCATATACCCTTTTCCTACCCAATCAAACGTATCATTTTGACTGGTTAACGGTTTTCAAAAATTTTGAATTTTTCTACCCCCATAAGATTAACTTATTTAATTGTCTATGTACACAGATTTTACAATGCAAACTGTTAACCAATAAAGTTATTCATCTTCATATAAAATGCCTTGATAAGTAAATATGTGTGACCAGACTGTTCGAAATGTATAGCGCAAATACATCACATTTTTCAGACCAATTACGTCTTCTCACTGTTCCATCAAAATTTATAAAAGGGACTAATTGTTTTAAATAAAGTTACTGTTATCCTCGTAGAGTTGAAGTTTGGAAAAAGTACATCGGCTCAATGTTCAATATGTACAAAAACAGTGAATGTAAACAACTGCACATGATGATTGTACGATTAGCCTTTTTCACGGATAAACGTAGTACTTACACATTATTAATTCAGTAACTTATTAGTATTTATAAGAAAGCACTGCGATTAATTTTTAATGCTGCATACTTTATGAGTAAATATTTACTGACCAACTGTCCTATGTCTAACACACTGCGTACTATGCTTAGTTAACAGGAGGTCAGATATAATATAATTTAAATTATTTTCGTCTATCATGAACACCTGATTTATAATTTGATCAAACATTTTTCTTCTGAAAAATGTCACACTCTTAGTTCTCTTTTTATTGTCGTGAATAATAATAATAATAATAATAATAAATAGCTTAATTGAGTAGTACATGTTTAGTACAACTAGAATTCTCAATATGGAGTATTTTACCAAGATGTCTCCGATTGTACTCTGCCGAACCTAGTGAAGAGGTAACCCGTATATTTTTATATATGCTTCCGAATCGATACTGCGATTAATCGACATGATTGAAGTATTAAAACAAACAAAATGAGGTAACTTGTTGAAATATTTTGATGTTAGGAAATAGGTAGCCCAGATATTAAAGCAGGCCGCCTAATAGATTAAGAACAAAGAACTGATCGGAGTAAAATGAGTTCATTTTAAAATCAAAATGATCATCATGTTTACATTTTTACGGCAATAAAATTCGATAAATTTACCAAACAAGTTTTTTAAATCACATACCAATCTATATGAGTAAGTACAGGTTTATTTAATCCTCGTGTTGAAAGAATGAATCAGGTTACCCTTTTGTTACAATCATAGAATGACCATTTTAGATGGGCTTTTCATTTATCGATCTTTGAAGAGAACTATAGGGTGTCCTTTTTAATATGACATCTAAGAAATAGAATTATGAATCTACTTTCGGTTTCATTCCAATTATCTTCACCTGAACCTTTTTCACTAACTAATTATTACATAACTTTTTATCATAGAGTTATGGAGATTGTTACATCAGAGTCGTGAATCAGTCGTCGTTAGACCACAATTAGAAGCCTGAACGCATTGGACGATGTTTTCGCTCTAGCACGGGACTCTTCAGCAGTGCGCATCCATGACTCGCACTAGAGGAAATCGATCCCGGGACCTCTGATCTCGAGAGCGGACGCTTAACCTTTAGAAAACTGAGCCGCTATCCAACGATGTTAACGTCTAACTTTGATCATTGTAAGGATCCTGTGCAACCTAACCCATTTCTTCGATAGTTTCTGTCTACACCCGACAGCGTTGAACTCCACTGGTCACGGTTTGTCACTAGAACTCCAAGAATTTCCTCACGAAGCGGGGGAAGTGGATATACACTGTTGATGAAACCCATACTAGGACGAAACAGCCGACCAGTGCTGCCAGGTTTATAATGGTGGTCTAACGATAACTGGTTCACGATTCCAACGTGTTACGTAATTTCTATTCAGTGTATGATTTTAATCACTCAACAGTATTTTATTTCATCATAAACCAATTATCATTACGTTTTTTACTCGTTTTCTTCACTAAAAACTTGCCTGTTAAACTAATTCTATTGCTTTTTTTTGTTAAAAATAATATAAACTAGGAATTTCTACATATAAACAATGAAATTTTAACCAGTTTAAATGTTATGCTTAAATCATGGACGAACTGGCAACAATGGTGGACTGTTGACAGTGAAGCAAATAATATTCTTGTTCATTATGGTGAATTATCGAATTTCATACAGAATTTAAATCCATTCAATCATGATGGTTATTTAGATAAGACAGAATTTATGAATTTACAGATAAAATTAACTGAACTTCATCAATCAGGTGAATCTGAAGGAAAGTTGAAATTGATTGATTTAGCGGAAAATTCAAATAATCTTCAATTATTATATGAAAAACAAAAAAATTCCATGAATTTTATCATTTTCTCATCAAGTCAACAACAACAACACCAACATACACCACATGGACAGTCGTCATCTGCAACAACAACAGCAGTGGCTTCAACAGTTCAACAACGTCAACTACCATTAACTTTAGGCACTGCATTCATACAAAAATTAATACGTTTAGCTAATCGTCAATATTCAATGATATTTGATGATCTACCATTGGTGATTGATCATTTAACTAATAAACTATGTGTGATCAATGAATTTCTTGATGAATTACAACAATTTTCAACGATACTTAATCATAATGAAAGTATAGTTGGGAAATTAGAAACATTTTTTGCAATATGTGATGAGAATCAAATGAATAGTGCTAAATATGATTCTTTTGAGAAATTACGATTATTGAATATTGATTTTAATGAAATAACAAAAAATTATTTAGAATTAAAGTTTGCTGAAATATCAATTAATTTATCAATTCTATGGGATGAGGCAATGTTTAGTGATTTTTTAAATCAACTTTCATTATCTGTTAAATTATTGACGAAGATAACTCAGGTGAGTTAAGAAGAAAAATGTTTATAATAACAGAATGCATGGTTTTGATGAAAGTTATAATGATTTATATCATACCGATTCACTTATCACTTAAGTTCTTTTGAATAAGTGATTCATCAATAACATACTACTGATAAGTATTTTAATCTGGCCCTGATCTTATTTAATATGCCTGTTATCTCTACAGGAGCATAAGCCGCCAACCATTCTGATAAGCGTTTTTTAGCAAGCTGGTTTTCTACAGGACGACGTCACTAACCCCATACCCAACCCTTCTTTCGTCCGGACTTGGGACTGTCAGTAAGCCTAGAAGAGTTCCAAGCAGAGTTTCGTCATAACATACAGCCATAAAATTCTAACATCTCTGGGATTTCATAGGACGTTGGAGATTAGGAAACAATCCACGTGTATAATATTATATATCCATCTGTTATATCCACAGCCATAAATAAATATCATGTGACACTTACAAAAATACCAATCAGAATTATGTCGGCACTAGATGCTAATCTTGGATATACGTATTGCACATTTTAGATCGATTCCGTTCAGTAACAAAATAGTAGCTCATGATATTGGTTGTTATGATTGTATATCATCCCTTAATTTCCTGATTCAATAAAATATAAAACTTAAGTTATACATAAAACTTTTTGTAGCCTCCAGTTCTTTCTCGAATTTTCTATGAATTCACTTTAGTGCTATGAGAATACCCTAATAATTCCTCAGAAAGGTATCAAGAAGTCAGAGTAACGTCATTTTGTTGATCAAGTTTTGCAAACTTCCGAATGAAGAAATTCATTATGCCTCTTTTCGAATGTTATCAAGAGGATTCTAGAATTTGGAGTTTGCACATGTTCCTTCAGATTAACTCATTTCCTATACATTATAATTGTAGAAGTAAAAGCTTCACTTAACCTTTACATTTTTTGTTCAGTAGTCAATAATTGAGAAATTCTCAACTAGAACTAATTAACAGTTCGTAAATTGATCAAATGTCATTTCTTATAATCAGTGAAATCGTAGGTGAGACTGTTAAAACATATATGGACAAAATGTTTAGAGTATGAATTTACGAACGTTACAATGATGATATGGCTATAAATAGGCCAACTGAAACAATTTTGTATGGATTACATTTGCATATCAAGTAATTGCAACTAATCGATAGGTAACTGTGAATCTCTAGATTTCTGACTACAACCTTATGTGACAGAAGCCTAAATGACACAAGTTCATTAGTTAGAACATAATCATTCTATACGCTACTTTATTTGACGAGTACTTACTAAACCTCAATCTCAAATCCTGTGAATTTGTACCGATATCCAGATGGATTATGTTCAGTGTACTTACGTACTTAATTTACTTCCGCCTCTTATCCCCAATGGAGAATAGGCTGCCAACCAGTTTTCCCCAACCAACTCTGCCCTGGGCTTCTCCTTCCAGCTCTGTCCAATTTTTGTTCATTTTCCTGATGTCTTTATTTCTCGGAGTAATGTGTTCTTTGGCCGTCCTCTTTTCCTTTGACCTTGAGGGTTTCAAGAAAGGGCTTGTCTGGTGACGCAGTCGAGTGCTTTCTGCAGTATGTGTCCTATTCACTTTCCACCGCTTCTTCCTGATTTCCTCCACTGGTTTGTTCTCTCCCACAGTAGGTTGTTGTTGATGGTGCCTGGCCAACGAATCCGAAATATTTCGAGTGCACAACTGTTAAGGAATACTTATGTGTTCAGTGTACAATTAAAATCTTCAGATTTTTCTAAAACTTTTAACTAGAAAATTTAAGTAAACTAATATTAAAAAAGAGCAATAACTACCAAATTAACATTATTTCAAATTGTAACTGATAGTATTGCTTATACTTTCAACACTAATTCTGATATTCTTTTATATGTAAATGATTTCTTATTTCCTTGGAAAAAAAGATGGCGTATTTGACAAATCAATGAAATTCTTTACATTTTATATAAATATTTCTATTTCTATCATTTTTCTTATCTTTTTAATACTCTAGTCAAATAGTGAAAAACTTTACTCTTTAGAAAAATTAGCCTGTATGCTTGAAGTTTCAGTGACAAAGAGAAGAAAACACTTGACTTCAACAACAACAACATCATCAACAACCAAAAAGACAATGGCGAAAATCGGTGATAATGATGACGATAATGATGATAATAATAATAATGACGATCAAAGCGGGCAAAATCCAGCTAAATTAATTGAATTAAACAATATCACATCTCGTTATTCCGAATTAGTTAAACGTGTTCAACTAATTGTCAAACAAACAGATACTTGTAGAGATTTATTAAATAAATTGTTGTATAGCATTCATTCAACCGATGACTGGATTAAACAGTTGCAACAGAATATTTCTAATTATACTAATCTGTCTGGTGATAGGCATACATTACAAGTTCGATTGGAATTAGTCAAAGTAAGTAGAACAAATTTCACCTTTGTTTTTTGTCGTTTCTTATGCGTAAATTGTTTGCTACAATAATGTATTATTTCTGTTTAGTTTAATAATGTGCTCACTCTGAATTTATTTATTTGGTTGTTTGTTTGTTTGTTTTTCTTTTATTTCATTTTTAAGAAAAAACTTGTAAGTTGCAGTTAGTTATTTGTTGCTGTATTTTGGGTGTATTGTTCAGTGTTTGTTTGTTGTTGTCATTGTTGTTACATTTTGTTTTATTGAAATGATTTTCATGGTGTAAATCATGAATTGAACTACTAAGCTGGAGCATCATTAGAAAACTGGAGGTACTGGACGACCGTCTCACTCTAGTATGGGACTTACCAGAAGTGTGCATCTACGACTCCCGCACGCGGTAATCGGACTCAGAACTTTCGGTTTCGTGCACGAACGTCTAACCTCCTAACCAATGAGCTGACATTCAGCAGTGTTGATGTCTAACTTCAATCAGTCCATGATGTTGCGTGACCTTCACCCACTGCCTTCGGTGGATAACCGTTCCTAGTCGAAATAGATTGAACTCTATTGGTCATGACTTGACTGAAGTTAGAGATTAACACCATTGAACGCCGGCTCAGTTTTCTAGAGGCTAACTATTCGCACGTGACGCCGAATGTCCTGGGTCTTGACGAGCCCCATACCAGAAAGACACGGTCTTCTAGTGTTTCCAGTTTTTAAATTATGGTCTAACATTGATCAATTCATTATTTCAATGAAACTCAACATTCTCCATAAATCGTCTTCATTATCAAAATTAACTGAATTAAAAGAGAATGTTTTTTTTTAAAAGCTTTGAAATAAAATATAATCTTCTTTGTATGATATACAAACATGTAGGAAATGCCCTTCAGTCTCATAAGTATACTTATGAATATGCTTAAGACGAAAAATTATGTCAAACTTAATTGACTAAATAAATAGATAAAAGCACTAGAATCCAATATCACACTTCATACATTTTAATATAAAAGATTAAGGATTGGTTAGGTACATAGGAGCTACCTGAAGGAGTTGGAAGCACTCATTCCAAACACAGGTTCCACGATCCTGAAAGAACAAATGGAGTTTGAACCGGTTGTTGGTCACCAACTGACATGAAACTTCATCTCCTATCATTACTGCACTTCCTTGTGGATTAGACTTGTAGGTTAAAGGCTCTGAGAGTGGCTACCCTAAGCAAACCATCTACTTTAGTTTTTACACCTAAGTAGCAAGTATCCTGGTCCGTATACAAACTGATCGGATTGTGGGGCACATAAATACTTAGATGCTCCTTTAGAGAGTGCAAGATCAAGATCAATGTCTTGATTTTTTCTTGTCGTTTCTATTGTTGATCAAACGATATTTTGATTGATAAACCGAATACACACGCTTATAATTAATCAATGTTGTTTTGCACAAACATATTTTAAATTTCCCACAAATTTATTGTTGTATCGTAGTCAATTTATTTATTTAAATAATCACTGATTCACATTACTTTACCTGTTCATCGTAAAATTTACTGAAAAAGTTATTTTTCTTTATAAAACTTTTCGTTAAACGCAAAAACAAAACAAAACAATTACAGGATTTAAATTTATTAAACAAAGAAGCTAATCATCGTTTCACTGATATGAACAAGTATGCTATGAATTATTTTCTACACTACGTACCTATTCAATATCAAAATTTAGAATTAATTGGAATGAATGATATTAACAAATCTCAACAACTTTATGAAATGTTGCTAATCATACCAATGTATTGCGTGAAATTACATAAAATATGGTTTGATTGTCATGAAAAAATTGAATTTATCATTAAATCATTGTCTGATTGTATAGAAACATGGCAAATATTTGAAACAGCCTGTGATACATTACAATTCAATTGTCGTCATATTGAAAATTGGTTAAAAGAACAATCGACTTGGCTTGTAAATGAACCGGAACAAATTAATGAAAAATTAGAATTACTTCAATTGGTTTATGATAGATTAGAGGTGACATTTAGCATAAATGCTCCTAAATATATGGAATTATGTAATAACAATTTGTTCAATGGTCGTCAATATGAACAACAACGAATTGTAAAATTGCTCAATGAATCAACAACACAAGTTGACTTACTGAATTGTACTTTAAAACGTTTACCTAATCATTGTCATCAGTTAGCCTCTGAAGATTCAACAAGTGTGGATGAAACTAATTTGAGTAGTATTAATGTAACGACAGCAACAGCAACAAAAGCAACAAGGGAAGAGAAGACAACTGACTCTTATGATTTAGCCTTGAATCGTATCAAAAATCTTATGGTCACATTTAATTATTTGCAGAAAATGACCAGAGAAATTTCAGATCTTTGGAATACTCGTTATAAATTGTTCATAGAATGGAATTCTAAGATACAGAATGCAGAAACTAATTTAACGAAGTTATGTTCACGTATGGAGAAAATTAAAGAACAATTTAGTTCTAGCGATGAGCAATCAGAAAAGTCAGCAACAATTTCAGACGAAAATGATAATGATAAATCTTCGAAAACCATTGAAGACAATTTGACTTTATTAGATGATATTATGAAAGAACGTGAAGTAATCGGTGCTGAATTTGCTGAGTTACGTAGTCGTCTATGTAATTTATCTACTTTTATGAATCGTATTAGTCATAATGATCAACAACAGAGAATGGGAGATCTACAATGTAGTTGGGAAGAATTAGGTAATGATCTGTCGAATTTACAACGAAGTCTTGAACATAAAACTACAGTTTGGACTGATTTAATCTTACAAGTAACAAATATATCCAACTGGCTTAATGAATTTAGTGAGCGTATAAAAGTATGGCATAAATCTTGCCCATGGCTTTCGATGAATACACCTACTGAGCTTACTGACCTTTTATCGTCGAATACTTCTAAAGATTCTTCAAAATCTTCTTCTACATTAATTTTAAGTGAATTTAAGCGTCATTTAGAAGATACTAGTAAATTTACTAAACAATGTCAGTCTAATTTGAATTTAGCTCGTGCACAGCATTCAAAAATGTCATATTTTCAATCAGAATTAAATAGCTCTCAACATCAATGTACCGAAATTCAAACTGATGCCTACAATGAACTACGCAACATGATGAATGAATCTATGGAAATTAGTAATCAAATTGAAAATCAGCTCGACACTACAATATCAATTGGGAATAAATTCAAAATGAAATTAAATCAATTTATTAGTAAATATGAAATTTGTTTATCTTGTATAAATCGTATTAAAACAGATTTTGATCAATCTATAAGTTCTATACCAAAATATGATTTAATCATGAAATCTGAGAGTGAAAATAATGAGATTCAATCTTCAATTGAATCATGTTGTCTTGTTTTAAACAATTTAATTGAACAAATTGGTGATGCTAAACAATTAAACGATTTATTGATCGATACATTAAATGAAAAGATAGAAGATAAGAATAGCCAAGTTTCGGAAGAAAATCATAATTACACATCAATATCAAGAAGAAAATGAGCTAAATCTCATTGAACATTTGAAAGAACTTTTAAAAGAAGCCATTGATCTTGACTCGTTCTACTATTTAGATGATAGTGATAAATTATCATCAAATACCAAACAACACTATACCTATTGTATTACAAGGCACTTAGTTTATGAATCAATACAATTACGCGAAATCTTATCACAAAAGATAATGACAATTAAAAATGAAACAGAAGAACAATTAAAATTAGATTCAATGTTGAATTATTTCGAACAACAATTGGCAAAGTTTCAAAATGATTTAAATCATATCACAGCAAATCAATCAATTTATCAATCAAAATCATTTGATGATAATAATAATAGTGATAATAATACAATTATTTCTTCATTGAAATCTTCCAGTTTAAATGCTGACAATTCGTTCAATTTGTATTGGTCTCATTTAAAACAATCAATGGATAATTGTGAACATCGAATAAATCAGCTGGATCATTGTTTACAATGTATGGTTGATATAGGTAAAGATGATCTATTGAAAATTGAACAAAATTTAAACAATTACAATTATCGAATCGGTAAGACAGACTTGAAATTCTCACATCGTTTTAATGAATTAAAATCGAAATATGAAATTAATTTAAATAAAATGAAAAAAATCAAGAATCAATTCACTAAAGAATTCGATTCATGGCGAGAATTTATGACAAATTTAGAAAAAGCTGAACAATGGTTAACCTTGAATGAATCACTTAGCAAGAAAGTGCATTATGTCACAACTGCAGACGATAATCAGCCACAAGAAACCAATAATCAACAAACAATCCTCAACCAGCATAAACATGATAATGTCATCAATTCAAATATTTCGGAACAAGACATAAAATTCATGAATGACAAAGAATTATTATCAAAACAATTATCCAATCTAGAACAATTAGAAATCAATTTAAAAGAGCATGGAATGAAATTACGCGAACAAGTGGAACAGTCAGCTTATTATTTATTATTTAATCTGATTCCAAATTCAATTGAATTTCTCAAAAATAAACAAAATAAATTCAATAGAAAATCAAATATTATAGATTGTATAAATTGTACAATGGAACACTTATTGAAACGATACAATGAATATAAAGTGAATTTACAAATGATTCACTCAAATCTAAATGAAAAATATTTATGTTGGTCAAAATTGAATAATAATTTTGAACAAGCTAATCATTGGTTAAATACCATTGAATTACAATTGAATACCATGGAAATTGAAACGAATTCATTATCGACCATATTGATGAATGATGTATCACAACAACATAAAACCAATGATTATTTTGCTATACATCAATTGAATGCATGGTCTAATTCAAAATTATGCATTTTAACAAATTTAATTGATGAAATGCAAAAATACAATGAAACTGAATTAGTTCAATTGAAAGAAATTGTACAAGCGCAAAATTCAATTGATCAATTATTTCGAGAATATTCCAAAGATCACGAGAATGCGACTAATTCAACTAATGAAACGATTTCATTAGAACAAAATGCATTGAAACAATTGAATAATATATTTGAAAAATATAATCATTTAAAAAATCGTTTAGACTCATTAATTCAATTGAATCATATTATTCTGAATTTATGCGAAAAATTTGTACATAAACGTTGTGAAATATTCCAATGGTTAATTAATCAACGTCATGAATTGGAGCGTTTATTGAATTCCACAGAACGATATTCCATTCAAACTGATTTGCGTTCATTATCAATTGATTTGTTAAATGATGAAGTGATGAAATTGTGTAAAATGTTTCATCAAACGATCAATGATGTGGAAGCATTTAAAAAATCGATTACCAATAAATATGAAGAAGATTTAGCTGATTTGATTAAATTGATTGAAGAATTAAGTCGAATGACACCGCTGCGAATGGAACCAGCTGAAATGTATATTATGGATTTGAAAAGAGAAGTCAAGGAGTTTTTTAATCAAGTTACCAGTAAATTAGAACATTTTCGTGTTTGGAATGATAAATGGTCAAATTTTTCCCTGGATTGTAATTCTTTAATTCAATGGATAAATGAACAAGAAGCCCTGATCATTTCGACATCGATCGCTCAATCTAGTATTGAATTAAAAGATTCTTCTTTTCAAATTACTAATTCGAATGTAGTTGAAAAAGAATTAAGTCAGCTAACTGATCAAGTTGATCGTAATCGTCAGTTGAGAATCATTTTGATTGGGAATCAACCAGCAATGGAATCGTTGATTGTAAAAGCTCAAAGTTTAATTAAACTTAGAATGTTTTCTACTGGTGTATATTTATATGATGATAACGAATGTAAAGGGCCTGATAAATCTGTCAACACATCATCATCCACTGGTAATTTACCAGTTGGTAATATAGCAATCAATATAGCCACACATATTATGCAACGATATCAAACTTTAATTAGTATCTGTGATCGTCGAGCAGAAACATCACAAACTGCACAGAAAATGATTGAACAATTATTGAATTCATGTAGAAATTATGATCAATGGGCTTGTGAATATCGAATTAAATTGTCCAATGTAGAGTTTACACTAAATTCGTATGATTCACATTCTGTTCCTTTACAAAAATCAAATAACTATTCATCAATTCGGTCATCTATGATCGATCTAGAAACGAAAATCGAATCAGGTGAGAGTTTTGTTCAACTTATTAAAGATTGGACAGATCGTTATTTGACAGAATTATTAGCTCAGGTTAACCAGCGACGTTCAGAATTGGAAACTCTAAACCATTCAGCTAGCATAGATAATGAAAATTCTGATCATAAGAACGAGTTATTGGTTTTTGATGGCAAACTGAAAAGTATTTCAAATTATGCTGAAACAGATTATCAAGTACTTAAAGAGATGGTTCGGTCATTACGTAATCGATTCGATAAAATCACTCAAAATGTTAATCAACGAAGTTTATCAAGAGAAAAACTCACCACATGGATCACTACTACTGAAAATCAATTGGATTTAATTAATACCCATATGAATTTTTCTGGTTTGTCCAAGATTATTTTAGACGCACCTATGGATGATTTTGACAAATTAATAGAAAAAGTTATTAATTATATGCTTACCGCTTCAGAATCAATCACTCAGTTGACTGTGGACAGTCGAAAACAAAATGCAGAGATTAAGAATTCTGATTGTGTTGATGAAAATCTACAAAATCGTTTTGATAAATTAAATAAAAATATTCAATCAACTCATTATGATATTTCGAATTGTTTAAAATTATTTTATCAATTTCAAAATGAAGTACAAACTTTTTCTAATTGGATAACTGATTGTGAGAATAAATTTCTACGTTTATCCGATGATGATTCAAATCAATTGGCAATGTTTCTTCAATCGAACAGTTTAACTATGATCATGAATGGTGATGATGATAATGACGCTGAACAAATCTTACATCAGCTCGATATTTCTTGTCGAAATTCTATATGCCAGCTGACTGAAGCTAAACAAAAACTACTGATCATCAAAGAGATTAGTTCAGCTCTTGAAAATCGCGGTCATCAATTAAATAAACAATTAATTGAATCCGGTGAACAGTTAACTAGTCAATTGAAAATTTTAGAGGAATTTTCTGTGGGAGGAGGAGGAGGAGGAGGAGCTCAAATTAAATCAATCGGAGGTGATGTTGGACGATCACTTAGCGCATTGGAATCATCGGATCGTTTAAGTGTAATCATTCAAAATTATATCGATCAGTTACAATGTCGTTTAATTAGATTGGATAAAATTCAAACTGTGTTTACTATTAATCTGACTGAATTAGTTGATTGTTGGTCTGATTGGAAAAATAGTTTTGACAGATTAATTGATTGGTTAAATGGAATTGCGACAAATTTGAGGCGCCCAATTTTTCATTCACTTGATTCTTTATCAACTAAACAACAATTGGCTAACAGTTTGAATGTAAGTTGCAGTTTCTTTTTTGAGAAATATCACGGAGAAACGTTTGAATTTCAAATTGTTCCTCAAATCTAATTATGGTTGCTATCATCTATTAGAAAACGGATACCTCATTTTTAGGGACGAGTGTAGACCTAAGCAGACGATTTATTTAGAATGAAAGCATTTAACCATACGTTTTTTCGAAGCACTACTTGCTTTTCGTGGGTGACGCTAAGAATAATTGTTCTGTATTGAGTACATGTGGTAAATTAGTTGACAAAGTCGACAGCATTCTTCGATGGACATGTTAAGTATGTTTATTACCGACGAAGAGCTAGTAATTGATCTGAGGTGCAGTGCTTGATGTTACAAAGTGATAGGTTAGGGAGAATATGTCAGTTAATGAAATTATTCACTGTTAACCTAAACTGTTTAGATAATTGTAATTTTCATAGGTGTCGAGGATCTGCACAGCATTCAGGAGATTGTATGGAGGCTCAAAAAGCTGGAAAACGTTTCATACAATTAGTTTTGAATAGAATAGAGAAAAAACAGAACCACGTGCTACGATTCCGATTGGATATTTAGCCATACCACCACCATATTTAATATGGTTCCGTAAACGTCCAAAAGCCCAAGGCCACTAAATACACTTGTCTTTAGATACACGAACCAACGTCGGATAAATGCGTTCTTTTCCTCCCTTGCGCCCTTTCTGTTGCGTTCAAGTTGCCGTATACATTTAGCCCTGCGGTTATTATTAGCGGAAAAGAAGTCAGATCTGGCGTTCATTTAGCAGACTTATCAAGAAGATATTCCTAGATAAAGTTTCAGTGCTTTAGCATTTTAAAATTGTTATTGCCTGTTTATTTAGCCAAAAGTTTTTCTAGCTATAAACATTGTTTATTTTAGATTTTGGATCAACCGAATAAATTGTCTGTCATCATTCTCGCTATCTCATTTAGTTTTATTCCTTTTCTGAATTATTATTCCTTGATTAGGCATTTTATCAAGATTGTGTTGGAAAGAAGGCAGATTTTGATTTATGTTTATTAAAAGCTAATCATGTGAAAAATTTAGCATCAAATTGTAATCTACCTGATCAAAGTGAAAAATTATTTGAACAATATAAAAATACATTGGATACAGCATATGTGAGTTATCTACTTTTATTGTTTCCACTTTGTTATAATGAGAAACTAACTTTTTGATCTATACATTACGCTTCTCGTTGTTGGAAAATGGGAGAATCCCACTAAAAGGCAGGCTTCAACTAGAGAACAACTCTACTCTCTCCACGAATGGTTTCGACAGCTCACAACCAAACCATTCAACTCAGTGAAAGAAACTCCACCACTATGATTTTACTCTATTTAGGTTTAACAGCCACATTTAGACTCAATGGCATCGGAAAATCTATGATTCTCAACCCAAGGTTTGAAGGTTCTGTTTGTCCAACCCCACTGAAGTCTGAGGTTCATACTGTGAATAAAGGCCGTAACTAGAATGAAACTGTTATTATCCTTGAATTTTCTGATATCCACCTTAATCGATCATTCGAAGGAAATTTCACCAATTAGAATTCAGATTATTATTCTCTACCACAAGTATACTTATTTCATTGATAGACTACCAACATATTAAATTTCGACCAACCACTACATTCAATCGACAACAATTAACTAAGAGCATTCAATAAGTATTCTAACCGCTGAAAGTTATCACTTCCCAGAACATTCACAAAAACAGTCATCACTTACTGCCTCTTATTTCAAATGAGTATGTTAGATGACGTTCATTCTGGTTCTGCTACAACTATCTTAAGTTTTTCTTGAAATATGCATTTCACCATTATTGTATACGGAAACTTGAACACACAGGTTGTTTTTCTAAGTCCATATATTGTTTTGTTAGTAAAAAAAAACTTACAGAATTATGTTTCATGTGTTTTGTTTTCTAAAGGCCGCATTGCAACAAATGCAAAATTCCGTGGAAATTCATGAACAATTCGATCAGAATGTATCTCGTACTACTCAATGGCTTGAGAGTTTAGCTTCAAAGTTGAATAGTTTGTCGACAAATGAAAATACTGATCGTGTTGCTTTAGAACAAAATCTACTGATTTGTCAAGTATTTTGTTATTGTTTGTTTTGTTTTCTAACCAAATTATGTGACTTTATTGTTCGTTTTTTAAAACAGTTAATGATTGGTACAAAAGAAGCATCTAATAAATATTTATCAGTCATTCAAATCAATCGATTTGTGTATTGGCTAGGAAAGGGCGAACGTACTCTTACCATTGTCGGATGTACCAGGGTATTTGGGGGTTTGATGTGTGAAAAGTGATGTTAGTGTGTTGCTTCTGTTGTTGTGTCTGTGGCCTTAATGATTAGACTTGACAATACAGAACCACTGTGATCCCCATAACACAAACTGAGAACACAAAGTTCTCTCTATTTTAAACACAAATATTGGTAACATGAAGATTTTTCGACTGCGAAAAAGGATTCAAAAATAATAAATATTTATTAAAAACAATAACCTAATTCACAAGTGCATAATGACCTATTTTTTCATATTTGTCTTTTCACATTTCATGTTAATGATTAGCCATTTTAACTGTAAGTTCAGTTATTGTTATTGTTCATCTGATATCTGCATAGCATTTAAGTTAGAAATGTAAACCATTACATACTAACTGAGTGGCCTAAAAGTTAGGTGCTAGCTTTAAAAACTCTTCAGGTCCTGAGTTCGATGCTTACCTGAGGGGTTATAAATGAGCACTGCTGATGAACTGATCACATCCTAGGACGTAAAATTTGTCTCTTGGTTAACACAGTTAGGGCTACTGAAAACAAGGTTATAGAATGTAAAGTTGGTTAATTGTGCATACACAATAGAAAATTTGATATTTTTTAAACATATCAGTTGATATCATCTTTATGAAGAGTTTACTAACCAAATGGAATTTGTTTAAAGTTAAAAGTTGTAAAGTAGGCTATTTAAATGTTGACGTAGCTTAAAGCGAAAGATAGTCACATCAGTAACATACACATTCATTTTTTGTCAGATATGGTGCCAGTTTTAAGGATTCAACTTTATAAAATATTATTTCTGAACTCTTCAAACATGATAAAGTTTTCAACATTTTAAAATCTATGTCAAATTAAGTAACAGGTTTCACTAGTTTTTAACAATGAGTCTCGTTCTATATCTCTGAAATCACATACAAGATCTGAATATGACCAATTAATTGACCCTCACCTAGCTAATTAATGCGGAGATCCAATTTAATTCATTATTCATTTTTCTGAAGATTCAAATTTAACACCAACTGGAGTACCATTTTAAACTAAGAAGCATTGCAACTTTTCAGTAGTGTCCATTCAAAATTTCTGCAGGGATCGAACCGAAAGCCTTCATATCTTATAGATATTTGATGACCAGATGAAGTTAGTATCTAATGAAAACTTACTTGGAGTATTACATATCCCTAAACGTCTGCCTCCATCTACCCGTGATGTTAGCTGGTAATAAGAAGAAAATAAGGGGTCGCTTAACCAAGACTTATCATTAACCTTTGAAGAAATTTATTGATAAACCAAGCTCTAGTGATAAGTTTTTTGACTAGCTGCTATTAAGTAAGAATCAGCATTATTATCGCAACCAACCAAGAGATGTTGGATGAGACGTGGTTCCGAATCGGTCATAACTAAGAACATTCATTTACTAATTCTATTCTTCTCCATCCTAAACTGATGCTTTTTTGTACCAAATTACATCTTGTTCATGATTTGCTGACCTATCAACTGATAATATTAGAAATTTATTTAAATCACAGAAAGATGATAACCTTTCTTCTCTTCTTGTTTTCTATTTTTTTCGAAAATTCAACTGCTATTTATCTAGAATCTTTCAGAAACGATCACATTGCAATCAGAAACGTATATTACTCAGTTAGTTGAATTGGCAGATCAAGTTTGTCGTACAACTGATTCACTGATCAATAAAGAAATTTTAGATAAAATTGATGTATTTCGTCAATTAATTCGTCAAAATATTCAACAGTTAACTAATATTCAATTGAATATTGAATCAAAATTAAATACAATTAATAATTGGGAAAATTTAAAATCTGTCATAGAAAATAATTTAAATTCAACATCACAAATGATATTGAATATTTTCTTAGAAGCGAAAACCTCCATTGAACAAATTCCATTAATCACATCAACTGTGTTATTGAGTATAAAAGAGGAAAGTTTAAAAAAATTCGAAGTAAGTTGATGAATTTTTTTTATTTTGATTATATTAAATGTAGTTATTAATGATAATTAATTTTAAGTAATGTGTTATCGTATGTAAATTGACATGATTCGTCACTAAGTATGCTTGAAACTATTACGGGTTCACCTTAGACGATAAACGCGAACAAGACAATGAACCAGAGTCCAGGTAGGCTACCGTGATCCACTGACTAACCAAAAGTCTTGATATAGCGTAGAAAATATATCCTACAAACACCCAGCAAGCACAATGCAATCAAGCACACAAATCTCGTTTATTTATACATCATTGAAACGTCCTTGGGACAATCACAAAAACAAAACACTAATGCACAGTAGCCAATCACAGCCAAGGATTTTCCTGGTGGGAAACCAAATCTCAACATCAACTGATCAACCCATGCTCGCAAACATGAAATCCAAAATAAAGGCATTTCTCAAGCGAGTTCCGGGGATCTAATGTCCCCAACAGTGGTCGAGTTTTATTACATGTAAGAATACATTGGTAGATATTGGATATTGCGATTTCGCTTTCGTGAATTGAAGGTCTCCCCACTCTACGTTTAATTAAAATGTGGTATTGTACATTTAAACTACTGTTCTCTTGTAGTTTTTAACTAGTGTTGACAGTTAATTTTGTATTATCGTTTTCTTTTTGCATGGAATTACAATAGTGTGGGTGATAATTTTAATGAAACATACATTCACTTAAAGGAATTTCAATTGGATTGTCTTTTTTTAAAAAAAAATCTGCTCAAAGTGTATTTTCTGATCATTTTCATCTTTTTTTCTATTGTAGAATGTTAAACAAGAACTTGAACAGATTCAATTAAAAATTGATGAATTTAAAAAATGTACAGAGAAATATATGGAATTTGAGCATAAATTAAATATTATGCAACAATTTGATCAACTCACTGAAAAATACACTAAAATACGAAGTGAAATTGAAGTGAGTTAATTGTCGTATTCACTTGGTTATTTGTATACATGTATGTATTGCATGTATACATTTTAAAATTCATGTTTAGATTTGACAAACACTTCATAATCTAGATCTTGTGAAAAGTACCTGTAGGACTTGTTTCAAATATGTTGGTTATTCAGTCAGTTAACTCGATCAACACCATTTTCCTTGGATTTTCGTTAAGAATATGTTAAGCTCGTCACTTGATATGCTTGGAACTAATAATGGTTCACCTTAGTCGATAAACGAGAACGAGACAATGAACAAGTGACACGGTAGGCTACTCTGATGCATGACCGCAAACTAACTGCCGAAAAAGTCTTAATAAAGCGTAGAAAGTGTATTCTACAAACAGTCAGCAAACGCAATAATCTCATGCACACAACTCGCGTTTTTTTATACACCACAAAAACGTCCTTAGGAGAGTCACAAAAATAGCATACTAAAATAACATATCAACCAATCACAGCCAGGGATTTTCCTGGCGGGAAACGTGATCTCAAGGTTAACTGATCAACCCCAAGAATAAAATTCGAAATTAAGGCCTTTATCAAGTGAGTTCTGGGGATCTAATCTCCCCAACACTCCCCCTTTTTAATAGTGTGCGATCCTTGCGTGGATTTGCATGTTGACTGTTGTTCGCCGCTGTCTGAGAGGATACTTTCTGGAACGGAGATCAGCTTGTTGCTGAGTTTCTTCTCGTGGTGGGGCTGCAGGTAGGTTGAAGGTATCAAGCAGGATGTCAAGGGGAAGATTAGCTCCTGTTGATGGGTGATCTGGGGTCAGCCGTTTACGTATCTGATTTCGATGACATGACCACCTTTCGCACCTAACTTCCTCAAATGTCTCTTATTGTCAGCAATACAGAAGCATTGATTATCATCTGTTCGTAGATACTTTTCATTTTTTTGTGACATATTTAGATGGTTGATTGTAGTGCAGTCTCACCGAGTACAGCTTCATGCACCCAGTTTTGGAGTTACACTATATTAAACATATATTCAAATTGTAAATAGATCTTGTAAGATTCCAATCTACCGCCTATGTGGTTGGAAATAGTTGACCAAACAAAAATTTTATGTTTTTTTAACTCTTCTTTGTTTTATTTAACAATTTCAGATACATTTAGTTAAAATTAATCAAGAATTAAAAATTCTTCGTATATTTCACTCGAAAATTGATGAATCCAAAAATTGGTTATTACAAATCTCTTTAAAATTAATCGCTATTCATGCTACCAATCCAGATGGTCCACAAGGTGTAATTCATTTAGGACAAACTGAGAATGAATTACGTAAACAATTGATAACATATCGTGAACAAAATTTAAAAGAATTAAAATTATTCATCACAAATTGTCCATCAGAAAAAGATTTAATCATTGAAATCGATCATGTGATAAAAACATTATTTCAAACAACCAGTGGTGTTTCCATTCAAGTTGCTGAACAAATTATGGAGAAAATGAATCAAATCAATGATTCTAGTCAATTTGGAAAAGATGACAGTAAAGATGAATGCAAAATTGATCATACGAAAACTTGGGCAGAATTATTCTCATTGGAAGTTGTTCAATTAGAGTCAACATGTGAAAATTTAGAAGTTATGTGTAAACGTATCAAAGTGAGTTTTGTTTACGCCTTGATTAGCATTTCATCTCTTCAAACTAAACAATTGAGTTACATGTGAAATCGTGACACCGTAAGATGAACTTTGTATTTACAAAACACAAATTATAAAGTGTTAAAGTGTTATGTACACCACTGAAGCAGAGTTGTAACGATTTCGCTATCTTTCATTTAAGTAAGTAAATGAGAATTAGTCTACCACAATTAAAGATTGTCCAAAAGAAATATAAGCGCTGGACAAATCATAAACTAATAAACTTTATGCTTCAAAACTCTGCACAAAATTTAAAAAGTAGTTTGGTAGAAATTACTCATAGTTTACGAGTGCTTTTTGCTTTCTGAATTCTGGAAATAATTGTACAACTATGACCTCATTATTGATGGATCCTAAGATCGCTAAGTTTTTGCTAAAGGTTTTTATCAGATGACCCCTAAATTACCTACTTCAACTACTGCAGAGGATTGTGCTATAATATTCGATTAACATCAATGTAAAATTTTCATTGTAGGGTTGTGAAGATCGCTGAATTTCATTGAAATTATGAATCGATCATTGTTAGATCGCTATTAGAAACCTGGAAGCACTGGACAACCGTTTCGTCCCATAGTATGCGACTCATCAGTAGTGCGCATCTATGACTTCCACTAACGGGAATCGAACCCAGGATATCAGACTTGTGCACGAATGCCTCACCTCTAGATCACTGAGCCAGCATTCAACGGTGTAGATATCTAACTCCGATCAATCCACGGTCTTTCGAAACCTTAACATAGAATGGGAACCATTCTCAGTATTTTACTTGTCTTCAGCTCTATTCCTCTAGAAAGTCTTAATCAAGTAGTCGATTGTTATCGCTGTTCTGAATAACGCTCATTTGTTTTTCATAAACTGGAGTGGTCATAAATACTAATAATTTTATTACAGAAACGTTCGATGTTTGATTCTGTTGGGGATGTTAGATCCCCAAAACTCGCTTGATAAATATCTTTATTTTGGATTTATTCCATGGACCGATCAGTTGACACTGAGATCACATTTCCCACAAGGAAAATCCTTGGCTGTGATTTGTTACTGTGTCATTTTAGTGTGCTATTTTTGTGACTGTCCTATGGACGTCTCTACAGAGTATAAATAAACGCAATTTGAGTGCTTAGATTCATTGTGTGCTGGCTGGGTGTTTGTAGAATACAATTTCTACACTATATCAAGACCTCTTGCTGTTTCAATTTGGTCAAGGGAATACAGTAGCCTATCTGGACTCTGGTTCATTGTTTTGTTCTCGTTATTCGTCTAAGGTGAACTCGTAATAGTTTTAGGCAAAACTAGAGACGAGCGTAACAGATTTCTAACAAGTTTGAAATTGTTGATTAAACTATCATGCTTAAATTAACTACAAATAATCATCAGTGAGATATTATTTAAATCAATCTAATTTTGTCGGATATTTTTATCTTTCTACATACAGGATAGACTAATGGAACAACAACAACGATGGGCTAAATTTGTTTCAGTACTGATACGAGTCGATAAATTTCTACGTATAGAACTTTCTAAATGGTGGTTGATTAATTCGAAAAAATTTATCAATCATACTGATACTACAACTGCTTTAATTAACAATGTTGACACTGATACCACTCATCATCATCATAATGAGTGTGATTTAGACGATATAGTACTGACCGATGACGATCAATCACTTCAGTCGGAAACTTCAAAAGAAGTAGAATTAGTATTTTGTGAAGAAAATCTATTACTTGGAAAAACTCATCATCATCAACAACAACAGCAAACTAATAAACAATCAACAACTTTACCGTCTATACAAGAATTATTAGCTCAAATAACAAATGCTAAAGCTATTCATGCTAAAATTCAAGTAAATTATTGTTCATTGTGTTGTATTAGTTATTTGATAATTTACTTTTGATTTTTTTTCCTTAGATCCTACAAACTTGTCATGATAAAATTACTGTTTATTCTGTACATAGTCTATCTGATCACGTTAGGCTAAGCAGAATATGAATAACATCAGACTAATTGTGACTGAAATATAGTAATCCCATCCACTAATGAAAATTTCCACACAACTTCCTCCCCACTGCACTATTCAAGCCTGTTGTCCAATAATATTTATATTTTTAGTTAAATCTTTATATAAAAGCTAATAGTCTATGAGAGGACGAGCATTATGATTACAATGAGCTTATTGCTACTGCAAGTTCACGTTCGAACGTGGTTAATTTCACAGGTGAATTATTTCTAAGTATACGCGGTTTCTAGTAGCGTTTCCATCAATAAAAGCGCTTAAGACATTTGGGACGGGCGATTGTTTTCTATTTTTCTATTGGTGATTCGCAGTTCGATCAGGATGATATAGAAACCGTATGTGAAGTTTGTATGATGTAGAAGTGGTTGGAAAGGTGTCGGGAGAAATCCCAATCGTTCTCAAAAAAGGAAGTATGTGTAATAATTTTATGATGTGGTTTTGTCCAGCGCTTTATCAAAATGCAAATTTGGAAGTTACTCAATTAACTCTTGAACAGTTAGTTTACTAATTAATGTTAAAATGTTGTATGCTAATTTGTAATCTAGATATACGCGAGAAGTGAATTTATTCAATTAACTTAGCAGTTATTCGATATGAATTCTACAGGAAATAATGTTTACTTACTAATTTGGTAATAAATGGCCTTATTCTTTCAAACAAAACTAATATTACTCTTGGCGTTAGCAGATACAGTGCCATCGGAATATGAAACAAACTTATCTCTGCTTTGGTTTGAACACCCGGGCAGTATCTCAACCCACTCATAAATCCACTAACTCGTGTGTTACCCCTTTGTACCAATGTTTATATGTTTAAATGCAAATAATAATTTCTATTAAGTGAATATTTCCTAAGCCAATTAGGCCAACTAATAAACATGATTCTAATTTGATCTCTATCAACTTTCTGTTTCAATTTGAAACTTCTACACTTCGTTATTTTCAATTTTACGGTGTACTTAATCATTTGAATCAGGGAACGAAGTTGTTATATTGATTTTTGAATGAAGCTTGAAATGATTACATTGCTATGAATACTGCTCAAACTATATGCTAACTTGAACTTATGGTTTGCCCTATTTATCTATCGATTTAAATTATCATTTCATGTCAATGGTGGAATGATGGTGTATAAGTATTTGAATTCTATGCATGAATCTAACTTGTGAGATGGTTAACATTAAGCACTTGACATTCATTGTAATATGTGATAGTATATTGGTTACTGAATCGAATTCTAAGTGAACGTCCATCATATCACATGATTTACTAAAGTCATATTACTTTGTGAAAAGTAGTCAGACTTATTTTTAAATTTTACATTTTACCCGACAACTTTAATTTGATATTATGAATAAAGTGTTAAACCTTCACATTAGATAAATATACTTTCTTATTGATAACCACTGACAATGATATTGATAAAATAATTATTATTATTACTATTTTTAGCGCGATAACATTAAGGAAAACAATGTTTATGTACACATTGAAATCATCGACCACTGTTAGACCGCCACTAGACACCTGGAAGCACTAGTTGGCCGTTTCATTCTGGTTTCGGACACACGAGCAGTGCGCATCCACGACCCCTGCACCTAGCAGGATTCGAACCCAAAACCTTGCGCACGAACGCCTAACCTATGGACCTCCATGCCGGCGTCGAATAGTGTTAATGTTCAACTCTGATCAATCTAGAGATTGTGTACACTTAAGCACTAAAAAAGATGAGCTGTAGGCCATAATTATTCAAGACTTAGGCTTACTTGCGAAATTTGTTTCATCCATAGCATAGAAATGATGAAGTTGACCTGTCTAATAATTTGTATAAAGTTTCACCTTGATAATCTCATGCTTAATTCCACGACAGTTTGGTATGATTTCCGCTGATAACATATTTTATTGGGCTTGATCAGATTTCAATTGACATTATCTTTTAAAATACAGTTTATTATTATGGTGACCTTGAGGTAACAAAATGATCGTCCACCTTTAAGAGAGTGAAGAATAAATATGATGATTATTTCATGTGCTTTAAACCTGATACTATTAAATACACCGTTTCATACTGCGGAATAAGTCGTACTTTGTCCTTATCACACATTATAATTGACCAGCTGTATGTACAATTCAGACGGTTTCTGAAACTAAAGGAATATTTATTCGAATGATGTTCGATCGACTATCACAATAAAGCAGATTCGTATGTTACAGAATAATGACAAGTTGACATTAATCCATCGATGGAATAGTCTTACTTATTTCCGTGATTTATTCAGCTTTATGAATTACCGATATGAAATGTTAATAAACTTTGAGGTTTTATAAATACAATTCATAAATTGTCGGTTCACTGATTCGGTGAATTGATTGCGGCAGAGGCTCAGATATCGGCAAATTACACTAGCTTTCTCAAAGTTGCTATATAAGCCATTTCACATCTTATACTCTTTATTATTTACGATTTTTACATAATTAATACACTGATAAATATCTAACCTTTTATTACATTTTTTGTAATGTCATATCATTATATTAAAATACTTGGTTAGTATTGAGATATCATGCTAATACTGTGATTATGTGTTGATGTTAAGCAGCTTAGAAAAATAGATTATTCAACATCAGTGGAAGAGATTCCACAAAATTTTTGAATAAATAATTTTCAGACTAATAAAATCGTAAAAATTCCATATCCAATCAAAACTAAATGATCTTCACAAAAATCCAACCAATCAAATCTTACATTAAAGTGTTTTATAACCAATTAAATAATTCTTTTAAATGAAAAAATTGAACTCACAGACAAACTGAGCACATATTTCATTTACATTACATTATATTGTTTCATTAAATTTCATGGTAACACCCACAAAATTTATCTTTAGAAGCACATAAAAACGCATACGGTTCAATGTTAGCCGTTGGTCAAATGACAAGTGAATGTTATTAGCGAAGAGTTGGATTTCTTTTTAGGAAACCAGACGCATGCAACTGATTAGGTTACTTCATATTGTAAAAGATATGTATATATACATATACCCTATCGGGAAGTTTCCTACCGAAGACAGTGGGTGGGGTTACGCAGTACCTTAGATTGACATTTAAACTGTAGGATGTCGGCTGGCTTACTGGTTAGGAGATTGGGCGTTCGCATGCGAGACCGAAGGTCTTGAGTTCAATTCATAAGAGCGGAATCGTAGATGCGCACTGCTAAAGAGCCCCATAATAGTATGAAACAACCTTCTAGTTCTTCTAGGTTTCTGACGGTGGTTTAACAATGATCCATGATTTCAATATCGGTTTAGTTAAGTCAATAAAATGTTTGTATATTACTTTCGATCTTCAAGTACCTCATTTGGGCTCGCATTTATGCAGCTTCTGTATCTGTATTATAATCGAATTCTTACAGAGTTGAGTAAGCTGGTTATTGAAACGCATATGACATAATCCGATTCGGTTATGAGTTAGATGACATAAAATTGCACAGTAGATTATTGTATTGAAATTCTAACCAGTTACTTAATACAACTCGTTAATAGTCGAGTATGCAGTCCACAAATTCGGAGCTTTCGGGTGTATATTTTGCGCAGATGCTGGAGCTGGTATACATGACTGCTATACAAATTGATGCAAATAAAGAGGATGACAGCTTTAATCACATACCCTCCTATATCGTGTTATTTCATCTCCTTTGTTTAATCAAACTTGGCACGTAGTTATCATTTAGGAGTTTTGGAAAATTACTCGACTTTCAATTATTTTTGCATTTTCTGAATTCAATTACGTGACTGGTGAAACTGTTCTAACAATTTTAGTCATATTTTTAAACCGTGAAATAGTAACTGAACTGGACAATTTAATCTATGCCTTTTAACTACTTCTGAGTTTTAAAATCTATGATTTTCGATGAATTCCTCCTATTCATATCTATAACTGATAATCAAAACATGTATTTAACAATTCTCCATCAATGTTTTAATGATCTAAACAAGTTAAACTTTACTTTACATAAATAATATTTTTAGATTTATCTACAAGAGTTATCCGCTGTTAAACATCGTTGTTCAACACCACCTCCTCAACCAATCGTAACTACAAATTTGGTTTCATCAACTCAGTTTTATAATCCATCAGCAATATTAACTGAGTTATTAGATAGTAGTAATAATAAAATCATTGAAAATATCAATTTCACTTCATCTGTTAATGGGCTACCTACTACTGCCACTGCTACTGCTACTGTTACAATAACAACTACTGCTACTGCTACTACTACTACCACTTTATACGAGTCATCCAATATAAAAGCACAAATAACTGAAGAGAAAATGCATGCTTTAAGTGGTTTAGAATTGCGTCGAAGAGCTACCTATTTGAATGATCAACTTGAAATAGAATTAAAACGAGTGAGTTATTGTGCTTTTTTTCGGTATGTACATTATTATTGTTATTATACGTATTTATGGAATTCAGTTGGACGACATTACATTGTGTTTTTGTTGGAGAATGAATTTTATGCATGAAGTTTTTGATCCTTGGTTTCATTGAAGGATTGCTCACTTACAGTCAGATTATCAAGGTTAAGTACGCAGTAGTAAAGTAAATACGACAAACCGGTCTATGTGACAGCAAAATTTTTACCTACTACAGGTTAGTTTGTGCTTTAAAAACTCTGAAAATTAGATTATAAATCAAGAAAGAGATAACATTATGTGTAAGAAGTATTGTATATTCGAATGCATTTTTAATCGTATAACTGACATATGAACATTTTACGATTTGATTTGTTTCAATATTTATAGGCATAATGTCAAAAGAATATTGGACAAGTCCTAAAATCTTTAAAAAAATGTCCAACCAGTTATATTTAAATAAGCATAGGTCATTTGATAGCTAGTAGTCTAAATATTTTGACAAAATGTTGCATGTTCATCAACTAACTTAGTAGACATATATGGTACGCTAGCCCTGACACTTCATGTGAAATGTTGGTTTGAGTGGAAAGAACTAAATGCCAAAAAAACTAAAGGAAGCGTAAGTAAAATGTGATACTACTAGTCAACCAAGTTACATGATAATGCTAATAGACTGAGTCCGCCTGACAATTGTGATCAATGGTTGCACGGCGTAGTTCACAAACTGTCTTAATATGATGAAGACCTGCTCATTGTTTCTTATAAAATACTGATATTTGTATATTTCCCAAATTGATTCTTTTTCAAATCATTATGCCTTAAGTATCTTAAGATATGCAATGTGAATCGATACACATTGTTATATCCGTATAAAGATGAACATAATTGTGACTTGAAGAAACAATTTGTGAATCATTATACATTCATTATGTATAATAATAGTTATTATTCAGTCTTGCCTATTCAAAGTCATATTTCGATATGAGAATGTACAATTGTAATCTTTTTATTTTGTAATTTGACCTGGTCTGTTTGTTTACACAATCTGTATATTGAAGACGGTTTGGTGACTTATGGACCCATGACTAGGGGCAGAGAGTACACTAAGGCCTCATGAATTAATAAAAACCTGACTCTTAACTCAAGGTTATTAGCTGTGAGACGTAATTCAATTGGTGTTTGTGTCACGTGAACTTAGTTGACCATCAAGATTCAAGTCATAATGCACATAATATTTACCAGATTCTACATGCCTTATGACTAACTGACCGAATTAGCTGACTAATCCATTTTATATTCATTTCCTTGCTTTAATTTACAGTTAGATAAATACATTGAAACGTTACATGATTTAAAAATTCGATTAGATCAACAATATTTATGTGAAATTGAATTTCTTAATTGGTTACATAAAAAACAAATTGAATTTAATCAAATTATAAATTTACAACAACAAAATCAATCTCATCATCATCATCATCATCAAGATCATCATAATAATAATTATTATACTCAATTATACAAAGCAATGGATACAGTACATTTAGAAAATTTATTAAAAGAGTTACATTCTAAAAAATCAATAATTGAACAATTGAAAATTCAATCAAAAACATTATTAATTCATCATAAAAATACTGACGATGATCATGCTAAAATATATTATTCACAAAATATTCAACTTATTGAACATGATTATAAAATATTGATAAAAAATATACAAGATCATTTGAATAATCGTCGTTTATTAACCAATCAAGCTTTGGAAGCAACTAAATTAACAGATAAATTACATACTGATCTACATGAAGTTGTAAAACGTTCAATGGGCATTGACAATGTACAATGTTCAATTGATGAAGAATTGAAGAAAATTGGAGTAAGTTATTTCATATTCAATGTTTTATGTAGTAAAGTATTTTTTTTCCCATTTAAATGTTGTATTTTATTGTTAATTGTACTGTTATTGTCGTCGTGTTTTTGCTATTGTTTTCACACTGAATTAAAAGAATTATCTACATGTATATGTATACTTCCGTTGTGACGCCCTACATACATGTTATATATATGGTGTATCATTTTATTATTGTACTTTGATCACTGTTGTTTGAATTGTTGCATGCATCTATGTAAATATATTTTTGAATTTTATTTGTTCATATTTTGATTGTACGTTTTCTTTTTTGTTTCTCTCTTTATTTCTTTACACGTACGTGTTAAAAAAACATATGTAACTACTTTAAAGTGGGAACATTCCAAGGAAAGATTCAATGTTGTCAATAAAATATCTCATCAACATAAGATCTCTAAACAACCATCTTTTGGTGCAAGTAATTCAAATTTATTAGCATCAAGTTCAGAATTAAAACAATTTGATCGAATATCAACACCAATTTCAATATCAAATACACAACCTGTTGTATCATCAACTAGTCAGTTAGATTTTAATGTACATTCAACATTATATAAACCATTGGATAAAAATGTTAAAGGAATAACTGATTGGTTATGGTATTCAGCTTCATCAATTCTACCTGATTCATCTTTACTACCAATGGATACGAATGAAACTTGGGAAATGGATCAAATTCCTACAGTGTCTGATGTGAATGAAGAACAAAATTTAGATAGATCCAGATCATCTTCTCGACTTTCATTAACTATTCAACGACCATGGAGTGCATTTAGAAAATTTAGACGACAACATAAACAAGACAATGATATAGGATTCAATGTAATTAAGGTAAAAGAAATGAAAACTACATTTAAACATAAGCCAAATAAAATATTTGATCATTTAAAACCAGTTACAACACAATCTGCTGAAAGTTCATTATGGAGATCTCAATCAGCAAAAGTATTACCTCTTGAAACTAATTTAGATAAAATATCCAGTCAATCAATTTGGAATATTTCAACTGCTGTAGATCCATTTGATGATTCAAATGTTTTATGCCCTGAAAGACATTCAACACCAAGTCCTATGATTCCAATGCTATTACGACGAAGTATATCTCCTCTGGTTAGTAAAACTCTTGAACACAGGACATATAAGATGAAAAATACAGATTATAATAGGATTCCAATTCGATTTGGCAGTTCAATTAGACAAAGCGGAATTGTTGATCTACGTTCATCATCTGTTCTTGATCAAAATAGAGAAATTTCAAGTTATCCCAATTTGTTTGATCCGCTTACTTCATATCCTTGTATTATGGCTACTACAACAACCACTACTACTACCACTGCCACTGTTGAAAGTTCTTATTTAAATAGAATTAACAGCAGCTTATCCCATTCATTGTTATATCGACCACCAATGACTTTATCACAACAAAGTCTTCATGACCATTCTCATAGACCACTTCATTCAATTCGAGTCTCAGGATTTGTTAGTGGTTACGATTTCTCTTCTCCAAGTATTTCTGAATTTGAAAATGTTTTTTGTACAGGACGTCCACAACCAATGGGAGCTTCAATATCGGATAATTTATTATCACCGAAAGTAAAATCCACTAGTGAATATGGTCTATATGATTTAACTAGACGACGAGCTACGGAACCATATCAATTCCCAGAAACTACTACTACTGCTACAACGACTACTGGGTCATCTATCAATTTGATTCGAAATTTACACAACATCACTTCATCATCTGTTCAACAACAACAACAACAACAACATCAACCGAATACAAATCCAATGGATTCAATTCGTGTAGTACGACCACAAACTATTGCTCAATTAGCAGTTCAACGTTATCGTAATCAACAACAACAACAACAACTACAACGTCAATTCAAATTTAAACGTTAATCACAATCATTCGGTAATTTATGTATATAATGCGATCTTCCGTTGAATAGTCTAGTCTAGTCTAGCTTTATTGCTAATTATTTCTGGAATTCTCTTATAGATTTGTTTTATGTTTTACCAAAAAAGTATTCTAATTTTTTATTTCTGATCAGTGAAATTCTCCTTTTCTATACAATATCTACATATATATTTAGAAAAGTATGACTGTCAATAAATTATATATATATATATATATATATATATATATATATATATATATACATGTACATTATTTTTTTGAAGATTTTTATTCAGTAATCGTTTCGATTGTCTCCTATTCTCTCTGTATTTTTTCCCACTTAAAAACAGTTGTAATTCATACCGAAAGAACTACCGTGAACTATGTAGTATATCTTTTGAGATTTGATTAAATGAACAGAAGATTTTGTCTTGTAACAGAGTGTAATGTATATAATATTTAATTTGTTTGTCACATTGACTGTTTTCTTCAATCGTAGTGATTTTTTTGCTTACTAAACATCCCTTATTCCTCCTCCTCCACTCTCTCTATCTCTTTTATCATCGTAACTGACGTTTTTATAGACAAATACATTTGATCTATCTATCGACGTATCTATCTATCATATTTTACCAGCATAATTCAACAAGTATGTACATATATTGTTATAAATAGTGTGTGGGCGTTTGTACGTGTGAAGTTGTCAGTGGCTATCAGTTTGAGTTGTTCTTTGAACAACCGAAAACATGATTTGTCTCCTCTTTTTATCTAAACGTTTTGCAAACTGATGAATTCTTCCAGACAATCGTGCAGCAAACATTTCGTTTTCTCTTTTCTACTCACTGACCGACTGACTGACTGACTGATTTGTTGTTTCCTTTTCTAGAATAGAAATGATTTCGTATGAGTCTAGAGATGCAGCATTGGATGGTTATGATCATTATTTCTTTTTGTAAAACAATCAACTGTCTTAATAGGCATAATTTCAGCAGTTCTTTGGTTTTCTTTATTTTATTAAGAAAATACATCTATTCATTGATTTTGCTCTTTTTCCTTTTGTTATATTAATTTAGAAAAGTTCACTGTTAGCTACTAATGTTTATAATCAATTTTTATATTATGCATCGGTTAATAATGTAGAAGTAATCAAGAGAAAATAAGTGATGAATGGGAAGAGGTATGAAGTTAATCTCCCTATATTATGTGACTGATGATAGCCGATGTGAGAAGCTGCTCGACTTTATGCACTAGTTGGAAATTGTCAGGAAAGTAGACATATAATCCTCCTGATGGGAATGATTTTCTTTATGGGATTTGAATAGGCATTACCCATTTTCTCAGTTTCAGACGTTACCACTGGGTTCTTCTGTCTGCACTGGATTTTTGTAGGATTGAGATATTTACACCGAGTGATCTGTGAATAGTGACCGATGCCTAGTTCTTACTGTTATTCAAATGCTAATTTAAGTTCGTCAATACATAATCAAGTAATCACACCATCTCTTTCTATGCTACCACTCTTATGAGACACTTCCTTTCGGATTGCCTCAATCCATTCTGTATAGAATCATATGTGCTTCTTTGATTGGATATTTTGAGCTTCAAGTTAAACTATATTCACTTTGCGACCTCGTGGTAGTCGAATAATATTTACTAAATCTGTATTGAGCTTGTAGTGTTATTATTTTTCTCCAAATGCCCTAGTATGGCTGAGAGAGCGGAGAGAGTCCACCGAAGCTACTGACAGGAAAGTCCTACAGACAGCAGAACACAAATGGTATCAAAGCATGTCTTAGGCAGGATTATCTGGGGCAGGCTGACTGGCACATTGTTAACCAATCAGCGCTGGCGGATGGCTGGAGAGATTTCCGGAATATTCTTTGTAAAAATTATAGATATGCTACTGTTCTTACCACTATGAATCGTTCGCATCCAACTTAACTTGTCAGAATATAATACCTTACCTATTCAAGCCGTTTCTTGATTTTGGGGACTAGTTGAGCATTGTCCCAGTGTTAAAGAATATTAAGCAATAACAGCTGGGTCGTACAAGCAAGATAAATAACAGAAATTTTGTTTGAAAAGTATTGATTTTAAGTATTTAACATTCTCCTGTTCATGATTAATAGTTTTGTAGAACGAGAAACAATTTATTAATAACATGAAAATGATAAAATCAATAGTCACCATTAATTTTTCAGAATCGAATCTCTAAGGAATGGGGAGTAGTTGAAATAGTGCTCTGGTGCTTAAACTTTAAAATATGATTGTATGTTCAGTTATATATGATTTTCATAATGACTGAACGAGATCGAAGACCTAAAAAATCTGCGAAGATAATCAATCAATAAACAAGACAACCAGAACGAACTTATTCAGTGTTTTTTATTACATTGAATTCGTTTCTGAACGATAACTATGTGTAATGTGTAATTGTCGGGAAGATCAAACTAAGATTATGTAAGTTCGGCTTATAAAGAGGCTTTTTACTGAATGGATTTTATTCGATTAACATTCATTGACATTAGAGTGGTTTAGTATCAATGACGAGTTCTAAATAGGATGAAATCCACATCCTGGATTCCACTGGTCTTCATACTCCATCTATTCTATATCAGGTTCTATCGAGGTAATCCGAACAGGATGCCCATATACCAACTAAGATTGTTTAAATTCCAGTCGAAAATAACAACAACAAAATATTCTTTACTGCGGAATCAGTGAAATAAGTTGTTTTTTGAAAATTCTTAGGTTTTAGTCCAGAATTGGTTACCATACACTGACAGCACAAATCCACTTTGTGTTTACGTTTTTCTGTTATTCTAATGAGTTGAATTACTGAACTTTGGAATATTGAAACTCTCTGTTATATTTAGAATAAAAATACAACAATTCTCAGTCCTAGAGGATTATGTTTTTTAAGTAAACCTGTGGTTTTTATGATTTAAACACTTAGATTTAACAAGTATGTCACAGGTTTCGACTCCGTTGTACCTTAATCGGAGTCACAATAATATTAACTAGTAGAAGTATTAAAGATGTGTGGATGGTTGGCACCTTTTGATTACTGACAGCATGGTAGGTTACTACCTTATAACCTACCTAACAACCGAAGCTGAATCAATAATGGTCCTATTAATTTGTGATTGTGAATGCTGAACACAAGGAACAACTGTTTGGCGTCGATCATATACGTTTATTTTGTGAGTAATTTCAAGAAATGTTAACCTCACACTTTTTAGAATTTCCCACAGCAGCTGGAATTTATGGGGAAAGTTTCAATGTACTGTTTTCTAGGTTGACATTTTCTGACCCTTCCTTTCGTTGTTAGAGGGCAGCATTAATGTAGATTCTGACTGTCTGACAGAAACAATCTGCTACCGTCTAAACCCTTTTACAGAATAAGTTCGTCCTTGGACCTTAAGTTTCTGCTTTTAGCTTTACTACTCTCCAACCGACCTGGTTGGCACCGTAGTACTTAAAAGAAAGTATGCTTTAAACACTATGGTTCTGTTAGGGTGTCACGAACGACAAACATGATCACTATGTCATGGTAGCAGATACGGTCAAACTCATTAACCATCACGAAAACAAAGTGATTCAAATCCCTCACTACGTCGATCTGATTTTGATAAGCTACAATAGCAAAAATAGGCACGTTTTTACTTGTCTGTAAGTAACATAAATCACTCGACTTTCAGTTATCTCCTAAATTAAATAGTTAAACTTTTTCGCTACTAACACGGTCAAAGAAAAATCCGATTACCAATAAGAAATTAATGTTTATTCAATTTGTGTCAACTTATCTGGAAATTCGTATGAAGTTACGCTTGAAATAGTGGCAACCGATTTCGTCCTTTTTTTTCTAAATAAAACCAAAAGTTCTTAAGTTTATAGTCGAATTGAAATTGCTTCTTTCTTTTTTCTGGTAGACAAAAATATGCTCATAGTGAGATACATGGATATTTGTGTTTTTCACACAAGTCAAAAATAGTCATTCAACTGATTCCGTTATCTTATTTATCACGAGATCGATAAGTCACATGAATCCATATTCCCAGCTAATAACAGCACTCGAAATACCAAATGAGTGATTACAAGTGAATCCTGTGATTTTTTTAAGTCAAATACAAATACTCATCAAGCATATTTATATAGAACTGATTCCTTAATGAGTAGCTACTCCATCTCTCTACTTCTCGTTTCTCATGTTTTCTTCACACTTTACTCTCTTTTCTTCAGTGGTTATTACTGATAGGATCGTCAATAGGGTTTCTCTCATACATTATGAATTGTGTTCTTATTTAAATCATTTTGTTTGTCATAGGGATGACTTTGATCTTGTTCCTAGTATAAAAAATAACACGTGATTACACATACATATAAATATATATACCCCAATAGAGGTTATGATATGGTTCAACGGGCAACAACTACACATTGTTACTATTAATAGTCACTAAGACGACTAATGTATTTAAATAGATTTTTCGTCCTAGATTATGATTTAACACCATAAACTGTATTTCATGTTTGACAACGTGTCTTTCTTATTTGTGATTATTAAAGACATTGAAATACTATACATAACCTGTTGTTGTATTTCTTTAATTCCAAAGATGAATTTACACTCAGAAAAAAATGTGCAGAAGGAAGTAAATTTATGTTTGTGAATGATTCATAAGAGAAAAAAGTTATATGATTGAAATTCTTAATTTTTAACCAACAAAAACATGTATCTTTTATGAATTGATTATTGTTTGACTACCATCAGAAACCTAGAAGCAATGGACGACGGTTTCGTCCTTATATGGAAGTCATCAGTAACTACCGAAGATAGTGGTTAAGGTCGCTCACTGCTGATGAGTCGCATACTAAGTTGAAATGGTCGTCCAGTGCTTCGAGGTTTCCAATGGTTGTCTAATAATGATCGCTTCATAATTTTAATCAAGCTCAATAATCTATATAACTCTACAATTTATCTTCTAGTCTATTGACTACACTTCAATAATAAGCCGCTACATTTCCTATCAGCACACTAAAATATGAAATTACCAAGTTAAATACCATCTAGAACAGTCATGTTAGTAGTTGAAACGATAAGATATATATGATGTGATTCAAGAAAAAAAATGAATTAATCGAATTACATTTTTAAGATAATTTTCAATTCGGAATTAAAAGAAAGTTCAAAATTGAATAGATCTCTATTATTGTAGTCTATTTTGAGCTACACCAACCATTAATTACAACAGTATTACAGATCCAAACCAGTTAAAGTGTATTTATCAGCATGGTCCAACCTAATAATCAATAACTTCATAGACTGATGTCACATTATGCCTCTTTTAGTGTCTTTTTGATCGCTTCCAACTCACACTTAGACCAACTAATATTACGTATCGTGATAGATAGTAGTTTTGTGTACGAAATACATCTTTCAATGTCTTGTCCAACTCATCACGGTTTTCCGCTATTTTTTCGTTTGAAATTGTTAAACTATAGAATTATATTGATCAAGTCAGTCATGTACAAAAGGAATTACAGAATACAGAAAAAGAAGTGAACCAGTGTTTATTGTATGTGGACTTAAGGACACAAGGAGATTTCCAAATGTATATGGAGTGAGTCAATTTCTGTTTTGGTTATGAATATCTAATAATCAAAATCGGCTGGAATTTGAAATTGTACAATTAAATGTTGACTTAACAGTTCTAATAGTTAAAGAGTTTGTTACAAGACTTTAGGGTCTCTTCATATGACAGTTGACCAATACCAGGTGGCAAATCACCAATCAGAACTCTGATTTTAACTTAGTCTCTTCCATATTTGCCATGTACTCTGATATGATCAACTATACGTTTGCCCAGCACTATTAATTGTGATAAAAAATTGGCAACAGATTATAAATGGTAAATCATATAATAATAGTTAATGGGTTAAACGATAGTTTATAATAAAATGGATATAAATAATGAATAAACGTTATCAAATGAAACTATATTCGGTTACAGTGAAATCATGAACCAACCGATATCAGCTAACATATGCTGATCAAAGACATTAGTTCGATACACCTTGCTCATTAAATATAACCTTAAACACCTTTGTTTATTCTAAAATTCACCGTTATACAATAGAACTATTCATTTGTCATGTTTTCTTTTTAAAAATCATAGAAATTTTAAACTCTAACAGATAAAAAATATTAACATTTACATCATTCAAATTTAGATTGAAACATAAAGAATTGGACAATATCTATGATGCACTTCATACAGAATTAGATCATTTCACTATACATTCAATCTATTCTAATCTTTATATCAAACAATTAAATAATATTTTGGAGAGATTATGTAGGATACGCAAAGAAATCATCAAACCTGTAACTATTGATTTGATCAATGAAAATTCAAATAATATTATTTCACTTATTAACATTCATGATGTAAGTTGTTTGATTATTTACTAATTGAATTTTTAACTTAATAAGAGTAAGTGCAAATCAGTTAGTGTTACTTACTTACTTACGTCTGTTGCCCCCAATGGAGCATAGGCCGCCCACCAGTTTTCTCCAACCAACTCTGTTCTGGGCTTCCCTTTCCAGTTCTTTCCAGTTTTGTTCATTCTTCTCATGTGAGTCTCCATTTCTCGGCGTAATGTGTTCCTTGGCCTTCCTCTTTTCCTTTGACCTTGAGGACTCCAATTGAGGGCTTGTCTTGTGACGCAGTTGGGTGCTCTCCGCAGTGTGTGTCCTATCAACTTCCACCGCTTCTTCCTGATTTCCTCCTCCACTGGAATCTGTCTGGTTTGTTCTCTCCCAAAGTAAGTTGTTGCTGATAGTGTCTGGTCAACGAATCCGAAGTATTTTGCTTAAACGACTGTTAATGAATACTTGTATCTTCTGGATGATGGTTTTCGTAGTTCTCCAAGTTTCCTCTCCATACAGTAGAACTGTCTTGACATTTGTATTGAAAATCCTGATTTTGGTGTAAACAGAGGGAAAAAGTAGATTTATCTGTTAGAAACGACTGTTGTTATCTACATCATTTTCAATGTTCACTAAATATGATGTATCCATGATTGTTGGCTGCTATTCTGTTCATTCTGTATCTTTGATGATTGCTACATATTAAAGTGTAGTTTTCAACATAGATTTTATTTGAAACCCAAGTTTGTCTAATGTTTGTATTTTTTTGATGCAATCTATTTGGTTGTGCTACACTAACGTTCTGACAACACACAGTTGTAGAAGACAGTGAATAGTTCAAATGGAACCTTAAATGAAAACTACACTTCAATATATATCAATCAGCCAATAAATGAGCAGTTGAACTCGTTAAGTTGCAATTAAAATTAAAACAGATGAAGTTATTCAGTTTCTTTGTATTTCAAAGTCGAATAGTTTAATCAACTCTACAATCTTCATTGGTCATCATCATATGTACGAATGAAACTGTTCTATTACAGAAAAATCTAGTGTTGAATATTGCTTCTAACCTTTAAGCAATTTTCTTCACCATATTACTGTTTATGAGTATTAGTTGCATGAATGCTCGCTTCATCTTTTTCCCCTGAAGATTATTTGCTTCTACCCTTGTACAAGTATCAGTCATTATATTTCATTATGAAGATTTGACGGTATTCATTACTCTATTGATCGTTACTAATGTTCGAGCATATTTCACTAAATCTTATGTACAGACTACACTCAGTCTTCTATATTTTGTCTGAAAGGTTTATACTAACCTCAAATCATAAACCGCGGGTTAGTGTGTTAGAAAAAGTACAAAGCAAGGTAATTAAGCAACAAATACTCGACTATGTCACTTCCTTTCCTAATAGAGAACCGCCTCATAGTCACTATATTAATGTTTTATATTTGAAAGGCATGTAATTCATTTCAAACATTCTTGAATTATTGTTCAAGATGTTAAGAGGACAGCATTTCGTCAATGTTTTCAACAAAAATGGTAGATATTTGTTCCTAGCCAAAGTATTTATCAAAGTCAATGATTTCCAATGGCCACCAGCTTATTTCATAATCATGGTTAAATTTAATCCAGAAAATCAATAACGAGAAAATAAGAAATCAGAATAACACATATGTTAGAGCAATATTGTTTCCAGTTAGGTCTTTACGAGGCTTCATTCTAAAACACATGAATACTTATATGGAAATATTAAACTAATCAGGGCATAACAAAACATAATAGGTCAAAAGTACAAGTCGATAGTAGGAAGACAGGTGTACTATTAGTGGTGAGAATAAGGAAATACGATAACAAATGTTTGAGCCAACAGTCCAACATTAAGGTTAGTAGGTCAATCTTGAATAGATATTAAAATAACAACCACAAAACATTAATAGGATTACTTAATGAGCAGTATGTAAATAACTAAGTTGTGAAGCGAACAAACGTATTGGTGAAAAATGACAAAAAAATACAGGATGTGAAAATGATAATAAAACTGTCTACTAAGTTAAATACGGTCTAGGAAAAAGCAGGGGTTTCATAAATTTCTTCTAATCATATAAACTGAGGTTATAAGTCCGGATTCATATAGTAGTTTCTGATACATATAGGAGGTAGGTTTGAACCCCATTGGAAAATGATGGAGGTATGTGATAGATCATTCAAAATGGTTCGGTTTTATCTCCAATATGACCACTATCAATCAGATGTGCCAAGACAGAGCTGCGTATTGTCTTAATCTGGCCCTTTCTAAGCCATATTGGGAGATGCTCACCATTCAGTTAGTCAAGTTGTATGGCAGTACACCCAATATAGCTATCTCCACAGGAGTAATTGAAATTTTAAATGCACATTGAAGAAGCAGGTAACTTAGTCTTCGTTTGAGTAGATAATACTAGTATACTAGAAAATTTTAACACAAGATTAGTTGCGTGAAATGTCGTACTAGCTACTTTTGCTAATCAATCATGGAGGAAATTGCCAGCCTCATCGCCGTCGAAATGTAGTTTTAGTAATAGAGGCTACTCAATTTGTCCGACCTTAACAAATATCTAATCAATTACAGATAAAATATTGAAATAGCTTTAATGAAGTAATGTGCTTATTCTTTTTAAAAAATATCAATAAATTGTCTTTTTCAACCTATTTATTTTTTTCGTTATTTTTAATCAGCTAAACATTTCAAAAATATATCAACTTCGAGAAGAAGCTCTACATTTGATGATGACTTTTGCTTCATTGAATTTCAAGTTAAAAGATCTAAAAACTTCAAATTATTATTTCAATTTAATCATTCAAATAAAATGGAAATTTTATGAATTGAATCATTTAGAATTTCACTGTGAAAACATTCAATCGTTCAATAATTCATTGTGGTTATTCAATTCGATTTTAACTGACAATACACTGAATCAACAATCAGATAGTTATGATTTGACAAAAAGTTTAGCTTTTAGACGAAGAGAATTTTTAGTGCAGTACAATGCACAGTGTAAATTATTTTTTGAAAAATTAAAATTTATCAAAATGCAACTTGAAACTATTAAACAAATGTTTACATGTTGTATAAAACAAAATATTCTTCATCACAGTGATTGTTTAATAGATTCAAATTTGAATCAGTCACCATTTATGAATGTCAATAGATCTTTGAATGATATGCTATACTTTTTAAAGTCATATCTTGAACAGTTGAAAGTAAGTATTGTAACTATTAATAAGACTGTTTACCAAGACTTGATCAATGTATTTATTTATTAAAACATTGACTGATTTTTTATTTGCATATTTGGTAGTTATTGACAATCAATATAGACAAACCTTAACACTTTTAACTCTTGACAATTAAAACAAGAAATACAACTCTTGACATTTGAACCCTATATAGTTCAATATTCCAGTTGAACATGTTATTAGTCAGACTTGAAATGTGTGCTAAACTGAAATGTAAACATGCAAATGATAATATTATTGGTACTACATGAAAAACGTACTAGTAATGAACTACTTTTTATCTACCATTAAAATGTATAATTTATGCAGAGAATCATTTGCAAATCGTCGATGTGTGTGCCTTTTATAAATCTGAAAATAACTCCATATTTATAATAGAACAATGATAGTTCAGAAATAGTGGATATACTCCGATTTTATGAATGACAATTAACCATGATAACTTTCTAAGAATACTAGCTGTGTAGATATGCGACAGGTATATTAAAAACCTGTTGTTGTGGTTAAAATTCGAGAGAGAAAAAGACGTAAGTGTACTATGCAAAACAATTTGCCGCGAGATTCAGCATCGATTTTAACAACATGTTATCGTTAATAAAAATAACTACAAATTCAATTAAACTCTGAAAAAGCGTGTGTAATAACAGAAAATTATTTACGACTTCGGTCTAAATTAACCATCTCTAAAGATTTAACGCCGACTTTTAATCTGTTACAGTTCAAGCAGCCGGATAGTAGCGATAAGCCTCACAGAGAAATTGTGTAGCTTAGGATCGTAATCAGTTAACTAGTTAAATATGCTTTGACGTAAGTCAACCTATCAAATTATCATAAATACAAATGTAATATGAGCAAAATTAATGTCATAGAATGTATATTTTGATAAGTAACAATAAAATAAAGTACGAAATGAGATTGAAACTCGAGTTCTTCAGGAAGGTAAACAACAGATGCACTTGCCCGACTTCCACCATTTTTGAGTCATGTCACTAATCACGATTATCGCGTGGATCCCAGTCGCGGGGTATATATCTGTAGAACACAGATCAGAAACTAATATTTTTCATTGATTGATATTACGCTTGTATTGCACACCACTTTTTTCCATTCTAGTCATATGCCAAGTAGCATTGCTTTTCAAAAAAGGGTAATCGATTATTGATTACTTATCCAAATCACATCAAGAAATGAAGATTTTCAACTAATTTATACCATCGTCGTATAGCATACCCTACACTAACTTGATCGTTTCAATTTACGATGAGAAACACTGAGTACAGGAATTCCTAGTTGATTATTGTTTTGAATTTAAATAATAATGTAGATTTATTAACTTTTTATTACCCTCTAAGTTATTAGTTCCATTACTCTTTCATAAATGAAATAAAAATAAATTGTGTATTATGAAATAAAAATCGGTTTTTCTTCTTAGAAAATCGAATTATCCATTAGAAATATAGAATACAATTCAATCTTTTCAATTTCAATGACACTGCAACATATACTTACAAATGAGTCAAAACAATTGGTTAATAATGAATTATGTAGTAAGTTTTTTCTGTATTTCATGTAACCAATATGAATTTAAATATCTTCGGTTAGGAAATAATCATTTTAATGGAAAAATTTTAGGTTATTTATTGATGATTTGATATAATACTGAAAATGATATTCCTTACACACCAGGGAACTATTAATAATCGGGAAAGACTGGAAGTGTCGTTTTGTTCTAGTTTGTATTTACTTACTTAGAAGTTCACAGATACAGTTTTATGCAGGGCTCTAGAATACTGAGTTGAAATTGAATGGCCCATATTGTCAACTCACAATCACTCATGATGTGTTTCGAGGGAAACGTTATACCTTCTTTTAACAGAGGTGGGTAGGTAACCAGAATGTACAGAAATGCTACCTTTCCATTACGAATGGACTAGGACAATCCATTAAAACAGCACACCTCGTATTGTCCCACAGATTTTCTCAGCTGACAGTGAGGTATGAAATGTATAGAGTCACGTGAAACCGACCCTGACAGACTTTCCCATAGGTTTTGTATGTTTATGAGATGCATCTGAAGTAGTATTCGAATAAACTTTGCAAGTCACTAACTCAGTAATCCATCAATGTATATATCTCAGTTCTTCTAAAGCAGGATTGCTACATTACAAACAAATCAATTTCAATAGTTTTAGCTGTGACACAACTGATGATGAAACAATTTCCATTCTCCACAACAGAACCATCGATTCTGTCAAAATCAGTGACGAGTCCTCACTACTGCCAGTGCAAAATGTAGCCCTTAGTAAGGATTGAATTCCTTTCATTTTATCGCATCAAAATATTTTACTACAATAAAGACAATAATGATAGTGTTAATTACTACTTTAAATTACATTTCTTTAGATATTTATAAGATTATCATATCAAATGTGATTTATTGTGAACGGCAAATTAATTGGATTGTATATTTATTGAATCGAGTTGAACATTTACTTCGAGAATATAACCAATGTTATAAGTCTATTATTGATAAGCTGTTGAAAGATTTCTATTCAGTAAAACAAATTCAAGTAAGTAAGATGAAATAATTTACGAAAAATGATTAATAATATAATTGATGATTGGATTAGAATGATTATTTCAGAGTTATTAATGGGATAAAACAAGCGATGTTAATATTGAATTATTTAAAGGGAAGCATGACTGACATAATGTAAGCGTAAAATACGTACACCGATTAATGATGTGCGATGGAGGTCTTCATACTATGTGAGAAGTATCATCTCCTTCACGCACGTATGTATCAGGTTTTACTTTGCTTATAACTGATTGACTGAGTCGGACAAGGTAATGCTAAGAGGATTGATTCACTGGGGAAGCAAACGCTTTGAGATCGATAAAACCTACTGAGTTAGAGATATACAGTTGGCTGAATGAAGGAGGCAGTTTTAACTTTAACCAATATAAACGCAGCTTGAGAAAGTAATCCGGGGTTTAACAAAATGGAAGTGCTTTCTTAGAGACTAGCATACTCTTTTTAAATTTTATAGTTCTTATATTACCTGTATTTTTAATCGGTCAAGTGAAATCCACAAGAAACTAAACATTCTATCGCTAACACAGTTTACATAAAAATGGATAGTGGATGGCAATGGAATCTAGGTTGCACGGTTCGTACTGCTTGTGGCTTGTCAACTGGATGTACCTACACTCCCGAGTTGATGTTCGCGCCGGGATTCGAAGTCAGAGATGGATAAGAAATTCACTCCCTAGCATAAATAACAAAAAGATTAAAAGATTGACAAACAAATAGTCAAACAAACATAGTTACAAGCTTAAGAAATCCATTACTTAACAACAATTAACTGTAAACGCAACTGATCAATCAAATTATTTTTCATCGAATTGTTCTGAACCAATGTATTCATTCAAAAGGGAAAGCAAAATTATTTTATACTCATTTTTTAAGGTTTTATCAGTTGATAAACATATTATCTGCTCAACCATAGCTGTTGCTTAGACTGAGTCACGGAAGCATATTCATTAGAATCGTAACCCTTGATTAAAAGGTTAATTATACTTCGTTATTCTATCTGACAATCAACCAGCCTAATCTTGCTCCTATGGTTTTTGACTTTGAATGAAATTGTGATGAAAACAAATCTTCGTTTATCTAAAATTTATAATCCATAGCTTTATCCGTGATTATTTTGTCAAAAAATTTCATTTATTGCTTCTGCTACCTTTTTTTCTCATTGGAAATTTAATTTTAGGATTATATTAGGAAACTGGATACCTTTCACTGTTGGCTAAATCAAGTGGAAAGTGAATTTCAAACGATTAAAGGAGATGGTGATACTGCATACAGTTCAATAAACATTTATTGTATAAAAGAAATTCAAATTTCTATGAAACCTTTGTGTGAATCTGTTGTGATACATTTGAAACAAGTAAAGGCTGTAATTGTTAGGTTAGTGATCACAATACATTTTAATAATTGGATATTGAGGTGTATTCACTATCTTTAAATCCCAGTAACTTCAGGTTTATTAAGGGATGATTAACCTTTAGACCGGTGAACCGAAATTCAATGGTGTTTGTATATAACCTCAATCAGTTAACGATATTACGCCAACGCCCATTAATTTCCTCACTCCCAATATAGATAAAATTGCTGACTAGTGCTTCCTGGTTTTCCATGCTTATCCAACTTAGGTTGGTCTTAATAATAATCATCAGCCCCGTAAATCTACTCTCTTGGTATTTGTCATTTGCTCATGTGTGATTAAATTGAGAAGGAAATTTCCGGAGGCTTAGTAATAATAAATTATGAACAGCAGAGTACACCTGTGTCGAGTATGTGTCACTTACCCATCAATGACCACAGAAGATAGTTACTCAGTACTGCAAGTTGATTAAAGTTAGATAAGATCACCATTGGATGTTGGTTCATTGGTCTAAAAGCTAAACACTGTCTAGTGATTCCTGGTCTTCAGTAGTCTTCTGTTTAACGTAGGTTGACTTATAACTTCAAAAACACTCTGCAGTTTCCACAGACTCAATCTGACCATCAGCTTTTGTTCACAATGATTTGTGTCTTTTTTTTATCATACAGACATGACTTTTCAATGAATTCATTTACTACTCAATCTCTTTATAGTTTACGTAGTGTTTGTCGATTATAATTAACGATGGATGTTTGTGGGTATGATGAAGCAGTATACAGTTAATCAAAATCTAGATTGTTTAACATCAAAGTCAGTGATGTTGCTTCCCATAAAACTATTTAGATTAGAAATTATTTTTGATAGGATTACTTAAATTACATTTGTCAATACTGGTATTTAATTCGCCATAATTTTCTTCGTGGTGGCACTTACTAATCGGAGCGTTTTTAACTAGACTTGTCATAGATTCATCAAATTATATGACTTGTTGTTTTTTATTTATGATGAAGCTGTTTAAAGTGTTTGACGAAGTATGTCAACATAGTTTAGAGTTCTCTATCGTATATCTGACGTAAGACTTGAAGTTTTAGCAGTCTCAAAAAACATCTCTTTTCAACTCAAACCGAATAATCTTATCATACAAACACCTATCACTCATGTTACTCAACAAATGAGGCAGATTAAGCAGTGGTTTATTAGTTTCGTCGCTTGACTCTTAAGTAGTAGACTGTTATGTGTTGGAAACCACTACTTCCTGTGCAACAGTTTGAAGGGAAATATACAATCCTACTAGCCAAAAAATGTACACCTTATCATAAAATATCACTTCCCAAAATAGTCAGATTCTTCACTCCTTCTTACATATATCATCTGTTCCTCAAAACATCCAGGTTGCGCCATTAATCGGGAGCCCTAACTCCAGGGTGAAACTACTGCACATCCACTGCGTACTACTTATAATTTCCACCGTAAGTAGTACAGACCACATTGTCACTAATTTTCACACAAACAATTTGGTTTCAGACTGAATACATAAACCTGTAGTCAGCAAATAAATTCCATTCTAATATTATATCATAAGGTATCTAGTTGATGGAAAAACTATTCAAAAAAAGATACTCATTTAAGTCATTAAAAAAAAATGATTTGGTACTGACCAATCATTTTATACATAATAGGTTCAGTAATAATGGTACTCCGTATATAATGCAATACTTCAAGATCTTATCCCAAGAAACTGAATATCTTCTACATTGTTATGAAATTCCTAAAAATAGAATACAAAGAAATTGTCCAGCACTCTAATTTATTTTTACTAGTATTTTAATAATTAATAATTTTGCTAAAAAGAATATTGAAATCATACTGAGACAAAACACTTTCTCTTTAAATAAAAAAGATTCAAACGGACGGAATCATAGTTTTACCTTACTGTTAAAGGAGAATAGAAGAATCATAGCACAGTTTGAAAAAGTACGAAAAATAAAAACTTTTTTTCAACAACCAATATTCTCTAAAATAATTTAGTTCCAATAAGAGAAAAAAGATCCCTTTTACATGTACATGGAATCAGGTCTACAAAATAGGTTACTCAAATTGTGTTCCTTTCTATTATGAAGAGTCTTCATAAAAAATCTTAAGTGGCACCAAGCAGTACCTAAGCTATTCAAAAAGACTTTTTAATTATCCTATAAAACTGGAAAAAATATCTGTAAATTAAATCAGCAATAGCAGTACATGGTATTTTTAAAAACTATCAAATCGACACTAAAAATATCGAAGTAATTGAGAAAGACTTTTGAAATTATAAAAAATAAACGACTGGTTGAGACATTTTATTCCTTTACTCTCAATAGAAAGGAATACATGACTATCCGCTTCACTTCAACTATCTATCCAGACAATTTCATTTAATCTTACTGAGTTCTCACACTACTAATAAACATATAAATACTTCAACTTTACTTTTTTACATTACAAATTTCAAGCGTTACATACTAAATAATGTACATACTAGTACATGGACTAATCACTATGATCAAAACTGACATAATATTGACATAATAAAGATTTCCATTATATAGTTGCTATAGGAATTGTTGAGTCTCATTGAAATTACTAATCGATCGTTCTTAAACCACCTTTAGAAACCTGGGAGTACTAGCTGGCCATTTTGTCCTAGTATTAGATTCTTTAGCAGTGCATATCTACGATAACCGCCTGCGGGAATAGAACCCAGGACCTTTGGTCACTGGTCAAGATTTTTGTTTTCTTTGTGTTAACTTACGGTCGGTTATCTATTTACTCTTTGAAGAAACAATTTAAATAGAGGAAAATCTGTTCATTACCGCATGATAAATATATCATTAATATTATTTTTAACATGATCATGTTTATTTTTATTCATCAAAACTTTCTTTTTCATATTTTTAGTCATTTGATTAATTTACACAATCGTTTAACTGGATTAAATCAATTACAAATTCATTCTATTCAATGTTGTCATTATGCATCTCCTATTGATCATGCGCGTATTCAAAGTTTATGCCCTTATACAATTAGTAAGCACTTTCCTGCCAAGAAATCGATTCGAAAAAGAACCAATTCATCATCATCGTCATCACCGAAAACTACAGAGATTAACAGAGATTCTTTAATCAGTCTAGTTTATTTTTATGAGAAGAATAATTTATCAAGTTTTTTTAAGAATGAAAAAAGAATTAAAAGTAATCACAGATTATTGAATGATGTAATTTTAACTTCTATCCAGTCATCATCATCATCAACTTCATCAACTTTATGTTATTCACAAAATGAAGAAAATCATTTAAATTTTAAAGAAATAAATAAACAAATTATCAAAGAAACATCAACGGAAGTTGTTAATTCAACGAATCGTACAGTTGATAAGATTTTAACAGATGTAAGCATGCTGTTTGTGTATTTATTGTTAGTGTAAACAAAGTGTTATGCATGCACGTAAACACGTTAACTGATATGCTTGAACAATTACGAATTTACCTTAGTTGGAAAACGAGTGCAACGATCGAGGATCAGGCTACACGACAGGCTTCTCTAATCCGAGCGTTTCAAATCCCCATTAAGTAAAAGAAGAAGACTTGGTATGAAGTAGAACATGTATTCTACAAGCATCCAGAAAGTACGATGTCCGAGTCCAGAAGAGAATCAGGATCCCGGACTAGGGATCCGGGTCATAAAACTTTACAGACAATGAGTATTTATACAGTTAGGTGGAATAGAAAATAACCTTGAAGTCTCTGACATTGATAGCTAGGACGACCATAATATTGACCAGCAGGAATTGACCAATAGAACTAGACTTACAAAAATAATTCTCTTCGGATATTGGATGAATATTCTAACATAGAGAATCAACAGTTTTGAGATGGAGAAAATTTGTAGCTCAGGTGGATGATTGCGGTGATGTTTCGTTCACTGAGCTGAATGTTTTGGTTGTGGAGATTTCACTGTTCTTTCGAACAACATTATCAGCTCAAACTTCAGATAGAAGTCAAGTACTCTAATTACTCCATGTATGATTCGTAGCTTGTTCTGCTGACCTCGATCATGATTGGTTGCTATTTTCCAAGATCGAGGTTAACAGAACAAGCTACGAATCATACATAGAGTAATTCGAATACTTCACTTCTACCTAAAGTTGATGCTGATGATGTTGTTCAGAAGAACAATGAAAGCTTCACAACCAAAACATCCAGCTCAGTGAACGAAACACCAGCACAACCATCAGTTTACTTACTTACTTACTTACTTACTTACTTTACCCTCGTTACCTCTTGTGGAGCATAGACCATCTACCAACAATATCCAACAATCTGTGTTATAAGCTAAAGAATAAGCAAAATTTTGAAATATTTATTTCATCATGAACAGCTGCAAAATATCTTGACTCGCTACCTCAGTAGATAACATGTTAACATTTGCTATGAATAGTAGGGAATTCAAGTTTCAATCTGAACATTGAATGTGAAATGAGTTTGAAATAGAATAAAAATGCACATTCATATATTTCATTACCAGCCAACTAGCAAACTCAAATAAGAACTTATAACTAAATGATAATGATGAGGTAATTCATTTACGATGTACATATACCAAAGGAGATTGATCATAATTATGATAGTCGATATAGGAAACTGGAATATCTATTACTATCGTAAACTAAATTCATTGCTGTATTGAATTTCTACACATCTAACTTCATTTGCATTCAAGTGGTAATAAATTTCTAAGATTTCAGAAAATGGATTTTAAAACTTCATTTATGTAACATTAATTTCTCACTGAATATTAGCTTTATAGAATACGATCGATTAATTTCAGCTATATCTTAGAAATCAATATCTATCCAAATTTATTTGACTAATTGACGATTTTGGAAATCCTAGAAACCAACCTAATATATTCAATTGTTAATCTACTAAGATCTCAAGAACTGGAAATCGTTACTGATAAATCTGCTAAATAATAGTAAGATGTGATTCCTATCCACTTCTAATAACCACTGACTGAATCTACACTGGAACTTGAACACAGGGGAAAAGGTGAATAGTGCAAGAAGAACGCTTAACTCCAAGGTTAGGTTAACTGTAGTAATAGTGTGGCTAAATATCCAATCACAATCAAGGTACGTGATTCAGCATTTTCCAGATGTTCCAGCGAAGGTCCTGTCCAATGCTGATTGGATGAAATGTTTCCTAACGTTCCCGGGCTTCCAACAGTTACTCACTTTAACATTTCTTCCAGAATATTCTGAAACTTCAACGTCACTGGTAACTCCGTTGTTTTTTGCACCTGAGACACCACTGAAAATTAAAAATCTTCCTTATGGCTTTCACACGAGTTTAAAATATCTAGCACCATAAGAGATTGGGGATAATTGGCTAGGAGATTGATGTTTCAAAAATTCAGTGTATGAATGTTAAATGTGAAGTCGATTTTAGTTACATTGCGACTGGTTTCTTTAAATTTTTCATCATTTCAAATATGATGTTTTAAAACTGTTTAAAGCTATAAGCTGAGTGATTCTAATTTAATAGTGTTGATCTATTAAATTTTCATTTTTTTTTAGCCTATACCACTCTGTTCTGATGAAGATTTCAATCTGACCCATGATTACCATTATGTTGCCAAAGATTGGACGACAAAGAAGAAAAGATTAATAGAGAATTTCTCAAGTTTTATTCAGAAATATGAGTAAGACAATAAAAATGATGATATTTTTTACATTTTACATGATTTTTTGAGAATTTTCAGTTTGACAGATAGTGACTTTAACTCTGTTACATTGAAAACTCAGATGTTTATCATTCAGTATTTCAGTTAAAGACATCTTTGTTTTAAAGTTATTCTGTCAGAGATTAGGCTCACTATAGATTGGGTTTCATATATAATTATTTTGTCAAATAACAACTGCATCTGTATCAAAAATATTTGAGCTGGCTAATATAGTTACAATGCTCGGAGATATAACACCATCATGAACTGTAGAGTAAGACTGTTTATCTTACTGTCAACATACCAGTCAGAGATCTATTGTATCTTATTGTTTGTTTTTGATCAATATTTATTAAGGTTGAAAAATATACATAAAAGTTACAGATAACTGATCATATTCCTCTTTGAAGCAGTACTGGCATTTGATGGAACTGTCAATCTGAATGATGTTGATGTTAGATACAATATCCTAAGCAGGATGAGTCATGTTTGCGCATTGCTGAGGAGCCCAATACTAGGACGAAACGGTTGTCTAGTACTTTGATGCTTTAAATGGTTATCTAATTTAGGCTAGTCTATTGTTTCATTAAAAATCAACAATTCGCACAACCCATATACTGAAGTAGACAATACACTACGTTGAATGAATTAAAACACATTTGTATGCAAACAATCAGAATCATGACTTTTGATATAAATGAATATTTATTTGAAAACAATACACCATTCCGGTCAACTCATGAGTCAATGATCACAATGAAATAGATTAAGTAACTACGTACACTGGGTCAAAATTACAAGCCGATAGTAGGGAAGACAGGTTTACTATTGGTAGTAAGAATAATAAAATACAGTAACAAATGTTTTTCTCAATAGTTCAACATGTAGAGTAAAACCAGATCACGATCTAATTGAAATTAATATTATTTGCCTATATGTGTTGTTCTTATATTCATAACACGGATCTTTAATATTTTGATATCAAGTATTATTATTGTGGTTTCAAAACCTTTTATTGTTTTATTTTGCTATCCATCTTTAGGACCTGCAGTAAAAATATTTCACTTCTTCAAACTGAGAATAAGTTGGAAGATGAAAGCACCACAAAATTCCACTGTCAAGATTACTATTTTGATTCAATTAAAGAAATGTCACACAATATATATTCACACACTTCCATTCTGTCATATTTACCCATGTTCAATGATATTAGAGCTTCATCATCGTTCTCATGTCGTACAGAAAAAAGTGCCAGTTTTAAGTTGAACGGCTGTTCACTGCATACATTGCTCTCAAAATCATTTAATGTAAGTATAAATTTTTTTCCGGGTCTCACCTTCTATAACTGACCATCAGGATATATAGTAAAAGCGATGCAAAGAAGAAATTACATGTTAATGCTGATGATTTAGAGCAAGTGTTTCCAATCACCTTTATGTTTCAAATCTCTAAGGCTTGGTAGTCAGTACAGTGATCCTACTTGACAGCCAACAGTCATAACCATAGTTCAAATTTCAATATTCAGTTTAATAACATAAATTATTATTACATTATCGAAGTGAACGACGTTTATACCCACATGAATACGGTCTGAAATATACGATAAAGTTGTCACTGTATCATAGTTTATCTGAGTTGCTCCATGGGTTTTGGTAACGAGAAAGAATCTTACGACTGAGCTTCATAACAAATAGTGTTTATAATAGAATGTTAGTATTTTCTGATGAATTGTCAAACGGCTGTGAGTACATGAATCATCACGGAGTCAGTATATACAGTTTTATCAATGGATGATACAAATCTTTTTGTTTGACAACATTGAAATAATGGGTAACAGTGATGTCATATGATTTACATTTGTTATTATAAAATCTATTTTATTTGTCTTCGGTATAAACCAAATTTGTAGTTTAATTGACGGATACTTTCAAATGATGTAACTTTCACGAAGCTGAATAATTTATTTGTAAAGATTTCAATTTAGCTTTGGCGAACATCATCTGATTAGTGTTTAAATAATATAGTTTAAAACAAAATATTATTGTACACCATACTTGTTTAATCAGAAATGCAACTTCATGAACTAAATTGTACTGTGGAATATTTTGTAAATTGTCCATCATTAGTAGTTTTCAAGCCTATAATTCAATAACATCACATTACCATTTTTTTATAACTGGTAAATATTGACTTTTCAATCTGACTTACACCGTGTTTCATTTACTTTGATCTGTCAGCCAAAAACATTATGACTTAAAATTAACTACTCAAATCGTTTGCTTAGTAGTTAGGCTACATTGTTACTTTCTGAATGAAACTTGCAATCAAAAAGTTACATCTTGTGAAGATAGTCAGATTTTCGTGAAATCTGTATAGATTTCTTTTTCTCCGTTAGTGTTGCTTTGATTCCGGTAAGATTCATGAATTCACAATCATTCTTATGGTAGTTGGGATACCTATTTCCAAACATCAAAATATTTCAACAAGTTACCTCTTTTTTGTATGTTTCAAAACGTCGATTATGCTTATTGATCGCACTGTCTGTTCAAGTAAGTTTTATAAAAGCTTCGTGAGTTATCTCTTCACAAGGTGTGAAAAAGTACAATCGGATACATCTTTGTGGCTAGCAATCCGCAGAGAAAAGAATGAACGTTAATAAGATGTTAATCTCTGAAGCGAATACTGCCAACTTCAAATAAATAATTGTTTTGTAAAGGAAACTCGTTGAAATATTCTGTGCTAAAAATCCCATATTTGTGCTAAACATATTATAGTGAATTAAGCCATTATTATTATTATTATTATTATTATTATTAGTAGTAGTAGTAGTAGTAGTAGTAGTAGAAGTAGTAGTAGTAGTAGTAAAATTCTCATGGAGTAATTTTCACATTAAACCAATTTATCGATGTTAATTCTGCACTTGATTTTTTTGTCCCCATGTAACATATCACACAACTTTAGAATTTATTAGACATTACCAAGAAATTTCAATTGGATTTAATCAGTTTTAACGAAACTGATCTGACAGCATTAAACACTACCAATTGGAATGATGGTATGAACTTTTATCAAAATATTCATGACAATGATCAATGGTCGGCTATCTTGAATCCATTTCATTCTCCATTGATAAAATATTTAAATTCTATGTTAGAAAAATACAGTGATGATAAAAATGACGTGATCATTGAACAAAATGAATTGACGTTTATAGAATGTAATCTAGTCAATATATGGAAATATTTTAATGAAATTATTTTCAATGTCAAAATGGATTATGAGAAGTTTGATTTAATTGATGATTTCATCAAAATGACAGATGATGTAAGTTTGTTAGGTTTCATATTCCATTGTTCTATTTAATAGTAATAGTAATTTGATAATTTCTAATGATATGCCTAGTGTTGGAACACTTGATGTTTTAATTTTCGATCCACCTCCTCGTTCCCTATAGATCTGTTGTATTTGATTGTGGTGGAGTTTTGTTCTCTGAGCTGGATGTTTTGGTTGTGGAGCTTCCATTGTTCTCCTGAACGATATTATCAGCATAAACTTTAGGTAGAAGTGAAGCACTCGAGTTTCTCTACGTATGACAAGTAGCTTGTTCTGTTGACCTCGACGTTGACCATTTGAGCCCCGAACAAAAGACAAAATGCAAGAAAGTATGAAAGAATTATCAAAGGTACAGAGAACAAGGAGAATTACTAGTCTATGTAAGATTTTTATTCTCTGGAAGCTTCTTTGAAAACATACCCATATTATTAATCAAATCGGCAATCATCCAGTCAAGATATGCAGAACAATTCACTTCATTTTTCTTCAAAAAGTTATGGAATGTATTTTCAACCTTTGCTCAAACTCTTAGGGATTCTTTGAGAGCTCCCAAAAAGTTTGCTTGAATATTTTGTCAGTCAGTTTTTTTCTAACTTCACATTTTCCTATTCTAGGCTTATTTTCGTCGAATAATATTATTATTATATGTGAATTGTATATAATCATGTGCACAATAATAAATGCTGTATTTCTGATGTAAGGATTACAATCGTCGGTATAAAATTGATATTTTGGGGCAGAGTTTTGGAGGTTTGTGTTTTTACACATTTGAAATCATCAATCAATCATTGTTAGGCCACAGTTAGAAACCCGGAAGCACTGGACGACCGTTTCATCCTGTTATGGGACTCATCAGCAGTGCGCATCCATGACTCCTGCACCTCACAGGATTCGAACCCGGGACCTTCGGTATTGTGCGCAAACGCCTAACCATCGGACCACTGGGCTGGCATCCAAAGACACCAAAGAAAAATGGGTGAGGTCGAGCAAAGTCCGTAGATCAATCAGAGTTAGACATTAACACCGTTGGATTTCGGCCCAGTGGTCCGATGGTAAGGCGTTTGCGCACAATACCGAAGGTCCCTGGTTAGAATCCTGCAAGGTGCAGGAGTCATGGATGCGCACTGCTGATGAATCCCATACCAGGATGAAACGGCCGTTCAGTGCTTCCAGGTTTCTAACTATAGTCTAACAATGACAGAATTGATATTGTTTTCCAATTTTAGCAAAGAAAACAAGCAAAATTTACATCCCATATTTGATGGACGAATAGAAACTACTTCTAGCAACTGAACTAATCGAAAACTTTCACACGATTGGAGATGAATAAATGATGTATACTTGTGAAAACATCTGTAAAGTCAAGGATTATGGAACATTGTACTCCAGGGGCTTCGAAATCAGTTAACTTCAGATGACCTGATAAACGTGGGAAACAGAAAACCATGTTCATCGATCGCAAAACACATAAATGAGGTAGAGAATAAAATTGATATTAAGACAGTCTTCAAAACATTGCATAGAAACGTTGAAGGACGAATCTTGAGGTTTATGGAAGCCTTGGCTTTTTGTAAATTAAACCCCCCTTATGTATACCAAAACAATTTTTTATAGCCTTCAATTTACCTTCATTTACAATTATCATCTTAGGTCTATTTTAACTTTTAGTTGACCCTTGAATAATCTTTATATAAATTGCTTTGACAAGTATGTGTGTGACCAGATTGTTCGAAATGTTTAGTGCAAATACATCACATTTTTCAGATCAATTAAATCTCATTGTTCTATCAAAATTTATAAAAGGGACTAATTGTTTTGTAAAATATATGTATGAATAATTATAATTTATAATTTTTTGAGCTGTTACAGAAAAACTGATGATACATTAATGTCTATTTCCACGATATGAATAATAATTTCAAAGATTGTTATCATTTTTGAATTGAGTTCTCATTGCTGACGGATATTAGCCTGCAGGTAAACCGTACAGAAGCAGGAAACACTAAAGACCTATTTGGTTATCTCTTTTTAGATTGAATTAATCTTCATTGGGCACCCAACAAAATAATAATCTTTTACTGAATGTATTGCCGGGTTTTTCGTAAGGATTAATAATTTGTGAAGTTCAATCGTATATATGATTTACTAGTAGAAATGTTACTGACATCAACAATTGTTAGGATATTCATCCAATATCCTAAGAGAATTATAGGTCGATTCCTATCGGTTAATTTCTACTGGTCAATTTTATGGTCGTCCTAGATATCAATGTTACGTGCTCCGATGTTGTTTCATATTGGTTGTCCTACTATCAATGTCACTTCAAATGTTGCTTCCTATTGGTCGTCTTAACTGTCAATGTCACAGAATTCGATGCTGTTTCCTATTCGACTAAAATGTATAAATACGCATTATTTGTAACGTTTTATGACCACGACCAGGACCAGGGCTCGGTAGCGGATCCCTAGTCAAGGATCCTGATTTTCTTCTCGATTCGGACCTCGTACTTTCTGAATGCTTGTAGAATACACGTTCTACTTCATATCAAGTCTTCTTATTTTTACTCAATATGGGGGTTGGGATAATCGGATTTGAGTAGCATGTCTTGTCACCGGATCCTCGCTCTCGTTTTCCGACTAGGTAAACTCGTAATAGTTCAAGCATATCAGAATGACGTGTTTACGTGCAGGCATAACAACAATGATCAAGTGTAAGGTCTTTTACTTCGTTGTTGTAGATATTTCAAGACGTCAATCGATTAGCCTCTGCTAAACAAGTTGGTCGCTATATGGACCCTGAAGCTCAGTAAATAATGTATTCGATGTTTGAAAACTAAGGGTAGTAGGGCTTGTGCCTAAGTGTGAACATTAATGCTTTAATGAAGATGTGTAATGTTAACCTTTAGATGTCAACTAATACCAGTTGAAGGAAAGAGCGGAAAATCCTATGTTCGGTTTCTCGTACCGTTGTGACTGCATATGTCTGAGGAACCCAACAGAAAAATAGTACGCTTGTCCAATGGCCGATTTTTCCAATGGTGTCCTCCAGTTATCATTGATTTATGATGAAAACTTTCGCTTATGAATTATTCTTTTCAGTCTGTCTGGTTAGGACACATTCATTGTTCTTACTTTCTTTTAGTTTGAGGGATTCATGGAGACTCTTGAATTTTCTACTTTACATCACATATTGACCTTGGTTGCACGACAGTTGAAGACCAGAATACATCGGGTAGATGTTTTATCCTGGTATTCCGCACTAAGGAGTCGAACTCAGGAGATTCATGTCTCTTAGGTTATACTGAACGTTTAGATCGCTGAGTTCGTGTACCATGGTTACTGTTCCAACTCCAGTCGATGCACCCAGCACCACTGATGTTCAGTGTTTCCAGGTTTTCTATGATCATTTATTCATTATAGTATTATGAAGATCGTTGATTTTACACAGTGAAATCATGAATGAATTATTGTTAGACCACTGTTAGAAACCTGGAAGCACTGGACGGCCGTTTAATCCTGGTATGAGAGTCATCAGTAGTGCCAATCCACGACAGCTGCTACTTTCAGCATTTGAATCCAGGACCTTCCGTCTTTCGCGCGAACATCTAACCCCTAGGCCACTGAACCAGCCGCCATCCAACGGTGTTAATTTCTAACGCCAATCAACCTGAAATATTGCACAACCTCACCGACTGTCTTCGATAGTTACTATTCGACAGGGTTGAACTCCCATGGTCACGTCTTCTAACTAGAACTCAAAGAATTTCCCCACGAAGCTAGTCACTAGTGAGCACGTTTCAAACATTTAACTAAGATCTTTTCTGTGTTTTGATAAAGCATTTGAATTGTTTTATTTAATTTCTGTTATTGTAGAACATGGTGATTATTGATTTCGAGCATATTTCATCCGATTTATTTGATCAATTCATCATGTTGACTAATGAAATTCATTCATCAATTATAAATTTAAATAAATATTTATCAAAATTGTCCTCTAGTGAGCATAAAATATTGCCATTACCAAATTTATGGTCTACTCTATTTAAAACAAAAGATTTACTATGCACAGAAATGATTTATTCACGAATTTTAATATTTATTTTCTATGCTGTCTACAAATCATTGTTACTTATTTATGATATATTAAGTATGTATAATTTTCATCGAAAGAGCAATACATTTAAATTGTATCCTAGAAATACTCATACTGTATTAAATAAAAATTATCAGGTAAGATTTTTTCACTGGTTAGATTTAAATATTTTTATTGTTTAATTATAATTTTATTGTATTTATTTTCTAAAGAGATTAAACAACAGAAGTGTCAAGTAGTAACCTGCAGAAATAATTTTTGTTTTAGGGGATGTGAAATTTTCCATACTCTTTTACTGTTCTCATCTCCTACAAATCAGAAAATGTAGTTTTTAGCCAACCAATGAGATATCTACTTTCGAATTCATAAAAGAAATTATTCTGGCTTATCAGCCCTAATTGATAATAACTGTTTTCGCTGTATTCTCCTATATCTATTTCAATCGGTCGAGTCCACAACGTTCTAAAAGAGAATTCTATTAGTGTATGATTTCCGATGGAAGTAGAAGTAAAGATACATTTTGGTCGGTTCAATTAACCCTGAACCAACGTAAGCCACTCACTTATTGATTTTCTTATCCCCAAACCTTTCTCTTTTCCAAACTTGAAGTCCGAAGCGATGTTTGTAGTCAAGCTTCTATCTATTTCATATACGCCTTAGCTTATACACACAAATTATTAGATCTCAACTCATCCCATATAAGAAATATTATCTTAACCAGAATCAAATCATAAGTGACGAAGAGCCGCATGCGTACTTCTAATGAGTTATATACTAATGGTGGTCTAAAAATGATTGATTCATGATTCTGAAGTAACCCGAAAATCTCCACAAACCTACAAAGAAAACTTATCTATTTGTACAATAGGAATATAAATAATTATATTAATAATCCGGAAAACAATCTCCAAAGTTCTAAATTTCCTAATATTTATCCTATTATTATAAAATTTGTTATTTACAAGAGAACGCTGTCTTTTAATATGTTTCTAAGATTTTGATTGTTGAGTTTAGTTTGTTTATCATAGTACTTTTTTTGTACACATGATCAATAAGTTCGACAATTATCTTTATAAACATACAAACTTATCAATGTTTATTGATTATAACAGAATTAATTCTGTTTAATTAATCTATTGGAATGTGATAGTGTTCATTTTATCAATAAATTAACTGTACTATTGTTTTCTTATTTTTTTCTTATCAAAAGTTTGTTGTTCATCTTGTCAATCAATAAAATTTATGAAAACATTTTAAAAAACATGACAATACAAATCTTACATCATATTTACCTAATAGTTTAACTTTTTTTTACTTTTCTTTTAATCAATTAGACAATTCTATTGAATGAATTCAATTATTTACAATGTATTTTAAAACAAATTCATCCATTCCATGTGAACAATGCAATAAATCAACAATGTGATGAATTGACGTTACAATACACTACAGTGTATTTACTTGATAAATATAATTCAAGTGAATATTCATTGAATTTATCCAATATACTTATTTCATTAATTGAATATTTTAATAAACCATTTAATTTTTTATCAACTGTAATAACAATACTAGAAAATAATATCAAATTAAATTATCCTCTAAATAATGATCATAAAAAATCAGAAAATCTTATCGATAATAATAATAATAATCAGTATAGTTGTATGAAATCAACATTAACCATAATTCCATGTCAAACTTTACAAATATTTGAATATTTATTAAACATAACTGAGTTGATAATTAAAACACCATTATTAACAATCAAGGAGTTGGAAAATAGATATAACAAGAATTTAGTAAGTCAATAAATTCAATTTTAATGTTTTTTGGAATGAAATTTATGAATAATTAAGCAAATAAGGTGTTGGTTGATAAGTTATGAACTATCGAGTATGTGATAATAGTGAACTTTTACTTTTCATTATTTAAACTCATAATGATCAGTTTAATGAGGCATTAAAATATTTATGAACTATAGGGATCAATAAATTTTTGTGTGAGATGGGATACTGCTCAGGCCCCCAAAATCGAAGTAAGTTGTTTTCTTCTGCGGTCACTCACCGAGCCATTATTCTACTGGTCTTAACTGCAATGCAGTGAGGCATGTTAAGCAATGTCGTCACATGGTAGCCGGTGGTCAAAAGTAAGTTTATACTCCATTTACACCATTGATTTGGAATCAGGGTTATCCAACTCCCCTCTATGTGGATCCTCCGTAGCCATCAGCCCTATCTAAGCCCCAGTTGGTCTTTCGATTTCTGTCGTTTGAATTTCGTAAACAATACCTATGATAGTACAAATACACATGCATGTAGTTGCGCTCTGTTTTAAAAGTCTGTTCAGTTAGAAATTGTAAATTTGGTTTCTTGAGTAAAGTTTCAATTTAGTTAGTTATGTCATTGAAACATTGGGCCCTATTGTATTAAATAGGACTTTGTTTTCATTTTGCATTCATACTCATGATAGTCAATACACAGATCAAGTTTACATTCATATCCGTTATTTTACTATGCCTAACTTGAGGGATTTGTTGAGTAATTTAAAAATTTCTTCGGACTAACAATATCGCTTTATTTTTATAAATGGTGGACAGAACTTTCTAGAAAGTGCTACAATGTATGGGAGACACAAATTTGTCAATGGGAAGTTGTTATTTGAAGTCTTTGACCTCAGTAGGCGTTGAGTAAACTTTGATGATACTGTCCTTGTCTTGCCGATTCGCGCCCTCATATCTGCGCCCGATCCACCTTGCTCATCAACGATGCTGCCCAGATATGTAAAGGTTTCTATTTCGTCCGAAGCTATTTCGTTAAGTGTGATTCGTTGACACATGTTGTGTTGTATCGGAAGATATTGCTTTTTCCATTGTCTATGTTTCTGCGACACTGATCGTCTTCTCTTGCGTTTGTTGTCGAAGGTGGAATAGAATATCTAGATCATCTGCAAAGTCCAGATCGTCCAGCTGTTTAAAATGATGCCACAGCCCAGTTAACTATTTTGTGCCTCATATTATTTAAAACAAGTTTTTCACAATTTTGTTTGATCAAAAAAGAAAATTCTTTTAATGTTTGTTATCTAGTCGGAAAAAAATTCAACCCTGTTATAATTTTTCATGTTTCTTCTGATTTATACTAACTTGACTATGTTTATAAACTGGTGTGTATTCTGTTTTGAATTTGCTGAATTTATTGTTACTGGTGGAAATTTAAACATACTCCATTGTGTAGTTCGAGCCTTGATATCCATATTAAATATTTTTCCTTTAATTTTATAGGCGTTATTTACTGATATCCATTTTCATTGCTATCAAATAAATTTCTTGAACGAATCCATCAAGAACAACAACGTCATAACCGGGGATGACCAACCAATAAAATGTGAAGAATATGAGGCATCTGTTCAACAACAACAACGGATTACAAATCTTATTAATCAAGGCTTAAATTTAAATTATAAATTAATGATATGGTCTGCAAATTCTTATAGCCTGTTAGACCGATGGAAACGATTAAGTGTTCAAGTGGATTGGTTCAATGGTAATGCAGTTCAGCATAAATGTTATTTACTATTCTTTTTTTTGTGTTTTAATGTAAATCTAATTCAAATTTAATAGTTTTGTAATGATATTTATAAATTTGAAATCATCAATCAATCATTGTTAGACCACAATTAGAAACCTGGGAACACTGGACGGCCGTTTCGTCATGCTATGGGATTCATCAGCAGTGCGCATCCACGACTCCTGCACCTCGCAGGATTCTAACCCAGGACCTTCGGTATTGCGCGCGAACGCCTTACCATCGGACTACTGGACCGGCATCCAACGGTGTTAATGTCTAACTCTGATTGATCTACTGATTTTTGCGCGACCTCACCCATTTGTCTTTGGTAGTTACTGCCTACATCCGACAGGGTTGAACTCCATTAGTCACGTCTTCTCAACTAGAACTCCGAGAATTTCCTCACGAATCTAGTCACTAGTGAGCACTATTACTATATTTTCGGGCAGAGTTTTGGAGGTTTTGTGTTTTTACACATTTAAAATCATCAACGTACTAAGAGGTTTTTATCCTATTGATGTTGAAGTACTTTGTAGTACCAATACATTTATGTCATGATGATTGGTTGTACTAGGCAAACTATTGGGATTTTCCTGTGGCTTCATCTCACTAATTATATTTTCTATTTAGACCTCAGATAAATAGTCTACATCTAACAGTCAAGGTCATAATATATGGTATTTCAACTATTTTTTTAAATTTTTCACGTTTTTTAAAATAACCACAGCGTTTTAAAAAAAATGTTTTTCAGCAATAAAAAGAATACTATTTTTTAATTAAAGTCTTCTTTAGCAATCACTTCTAAACAATTGTGACGTATATGCCTCGAATAACCTTGTAAATCATTTGTGGTTAACTGATTTACAGAATTTCATATGTATATAAGATTTGTAAATGATTCATTAAATCTGCTTGCCGGTGATCTTCTTACAATGAATTTAATTTTTGAAAATGTGAATTCAATTGGATTAAGCATATAACTATAAGGGGACAAAAACATAACCTTTGCTCCCTTTTCATCAAAAAAAGTTTTGGTAGTATTGGAGTAATGGATCTTTGCATTATCAAGGATAAAAATGAATTGATTTTTGATTGTATTTTTCAATCAGTTGATCAAAAAAATGAATGAACCAAAAAATGTTTGAGCAAACAGAACTTCATTTTCTATTATTGCGGATATCAAACTTACATTAGTTCCACGTGTTGACGGAACCATAGCACTTGCTGGTTTTCCTCTTGTAGATCTCAAAGTTCTCAAATACAAATTAAAGAACGATTCGTCAACTTTTATAAAGGAGTCTTCGATTTTCATAAAATCTTGCGTATATATCTGTCGTTTAATTTTACTTGATTCTGAGTTGATATTAATCGATGCATAAGGATATTTTAAGGATTATAAAAGATTTTAAAAAACGTTGTGAAAATTTTAAAAAACGAGTTGAAATGCTATAGATTCTTTTATATTATTTCATAAATTTGTTCAATTATTTAATAGTATGTGTTAATTTTTTTAAAAATTCCAATATACTACTCAATAAAGTACATGTACAAAACTTATGGAATCGATTGCCTGAAACACCAGTGCCGAATGCACCTCAATTCAAATTGGATTATTTATTATTGGAGAATAAAAGAAATCAATTCATTTGCAATCTGAAATTTATATCACCAATTCAAGTATCAAATAATATTTTAATTTCTGCAAATTCTCTTGATGCATTATTGTATTATAAAAGTTGGATAGAAAACATTTTTAAATCTTTTAAAAGTTTAATGCCCATATGTGAAGCTATTTTATGTGAAGGACAATCATTGACTAATGAATTACTTCATATAAACACAATTAACATTGATGAAAATGTTGTAGATATGAGTGAAAATGTCCAGATATCATCATCTTTCAATAATAATAATAATAAATTTTGGAATAAAGAGTTTAAACTATTTTGGGATTTGCTGATTGATTGGATATTTAATTTAATGATTGAATTCAATCGACAAACATTTTATATTCAATTGTTGGAAGATTGTGTGAATGATTTAACATTGTGGATTACATCTAAAAAGAGTAAACTTCACCATACCATGAAACAGTTTAACATTCAACTAAAACAATATCCAAATGATTTATATAGAAATATGAAAGCACTCAGTGAAATTGATCTAATCATTAGTGATCTATGTATTAATGAGAAAATAGTTCAGTTAAACAATTTAAACTTGTACATTGATCAATTTAATAAAAATGACTCTCATTGTCAAAGTTATTTATTTTATTTTCGCCTTATTAATTCTGGTCGAGGGATTATTAAAACTTACAACGAGTGTCTTTCAAAGTGTAAACAAATTCTAGATAAATATCAACAAATGATTTTAGGAACTATTTCACAATTCTCAACTAAAACTGATGAATATTCAATAACTTTCACTATCCTCCACTATTTTCATGACTGGTTCAGTTTAATGATTAAAAGATTTTATAATAATGATTTAAAATTCATTAAATCGAATGGAATTTCTGATAATATTCTTTATGCTATAGTTGAAAATATTCACCATCGACTAGAAATTCATTTGCCTATTCTCTTGGAATTATTCAACCTGGAACAACGACAATTATGGATCGACTACAAAGATTGTGATGACAATGTGGCATGTTCATTTTATTCAGAACAAATTGTTCAATGTAAGAAATACATTGAAACTTTAAGAAAAGTTCAAATAACTTTATCTACTGAGCTTTATGAATATCAACAATTAAAGTTGTGTTTCGATCAATTGTTCATTGAAATTGAAGTGTTCAATATTAAATATCCTGATATAACGAAGTATACAAATGTTGAAAATAATTTTTTCACAAAGTACATTTTCACTGAGTTGTCGAATATAAAAAAGGTGAGTAATAAATCAAAGCTGGCTCTGTAGGTTATATTCATGATAAATTAACCTCAGTTGAAGTACCACTGTTTTATTCTTGTAATTAACTCTTCAACTGAGTATATCATATGAACCTATTAAAAACACTTTTCTTCAAAAGAGTTACAAAACTAATCTTCCGGTGATATTGATCATTTTTTGTTCTGTTCACTATGCTATAATTCTTCACAAATTGCCTATTTTAGTTCAATTTACAAATAATTCATTTATAAAACTAATCGATATTACAAGGCTTATGACATATAAAATTCGTTAGACACATATGATCAGGGAATGATATTTGATCTTAATTCCAAATTTATTTGTTCATATATTTAAGACGAAAGGTAATAATTAATTCATTTAGTAAGGATTAATTAAGCTATCCAATTTTTAAAATTACCAGAATTAAAATGAAATTGCAATTTCCAAGACATTAGTTTGAAGTCAAATTGCTTGTAATAAAAACTGTAGGGATAATCTTAGTTTACCATACAAAATAAATCTAATTTAATTGTTCTAATCAAAAGCTCCATGTCTAAGTGACATTGCTTTCATCTACTTAGGGGCAGGTTCAAATCCCTCTCCATCTACTATGGCTTGCATAGCTAAGTTGAATCACTATGCCTTACATTTGGGTCGTAGCTCAAAGTTAGGAACATGTATCTGTTCTTAGTATATGAGTTACTTTACTCTTTCTGCCTGATTGCAGCCCGTGGTGGTCGGGCGTGCCTATCGTGATGACACAACCAAGCTATGTTTGCTGAAACACATATTCCTTTAGCTCTTGCTGTATTAGGCAGGTCAATCGGGGGACACTAAGACTGAGGGAGAGGTGGTACTACTGGCTTTAGAGGAGCGTGACTGCAGTAAGATGTTTCCCTCGAATAACGAACATCTGCAGTTATGTTGCCTTCTTACAACGGAGAGGGAGGGTTAGGAAAGGTCGATTTTAAAAATGTCACACCTCACCTTATCTCATGGATTTCTGTCTCTAGCAGTAAGGCCTTTCGAAGAACGGAACTAGCACTTCAAATCTTTTCATAAAAAGGCCATGCTAAACTGTCCTGAGGTACTTGTTCCTTGAGCTCTGGGGTCATTCTCCCAGGTCACTAAGACTAACTAACCCAGCTTCTTTGTAAATTCCACCAAGAAATATCCTCCTATGTGGTGGGCAACAGCCCTCACATTCCTAACGGAACACAAGATCAACTAACTGATTTTCAATATGGGTGAAGTGCACTAGTCAATGTTCCTGACCACAAATTTTTTGGAAAGATATTCTTCTGGAATTTACTCTTTAGCGAATCATTTAAAAGCTACGTTTGTCGTTCACTCAACCTGTTTACTTCATGGATTCTCAGACATGTTCACCTCAATAAATGTTTTTATTCATATGAACATTTAACTCTAATGTGAATTATTTAATTTCTAAATGTGTTCCTCGTAATTCCCCTTCTTTCTCAGACTGATGAAACTTTACGAAAAAGTCTTATCTCACGTTTAATATCATTGAAAATTAGGACTGAACAATTTATATCCACTTCGAAATTAACACAGATTACTGCATTGAAATCAATATTCAATATTCATCAAATTTCTGAAAATCAAATAAATGAAAGTCTATTCACAAATAAAACAATGAATACAATTTTAGAAAAGTTAAATTATATCAATAGTCAATTTCAAAACAAAATTGAACATAATTATTCCATGGAAAATCATCAATTATTGTTTTCAAATTATAATTGTTTAAAATCAGTGATTATTGAAAATTTAATTAAATTCTATCAAACGCTACATCGATTAGTTCATTTAAATGGACGTGTAAAATTTTTACAACAAATAAGTGAAAAACTTAATTTGATCAACAATTTTGACAATTCTAAATTCTATATGTATCATCATCGTCTCACCTCATCTTTGATGTTGAATTTTAAGAATGAAATTCAAGTATTAAAGGAATATTGGACATATAACAATAGTAGTGATGTTATGATTGACACTGACCAATCATTTGTTAAACAATCAATTTTTCAACAATTTATAAATTATGGTCATAGAATTTTAAATTTAGTTCAGTGTGAAATGAATTGTTCCATTTGTGAATATATTCAGGTAAGTGTTAGACAAATAAATATTTTTAGTGAGTTTTCATTGGTAAAAAAGATTAATGTTATTTATTGTCAAACTCTGTGAATAACAGTCTGTCAGTGAAACACAACATAGAACCAGACATATGTGTACAGTACTATTCAAGTTGCCATACCCCATTAGCACAGTGAGATGAATTTTTTCTAGAGTAGTAAAGGTAGTGACAGTACTAATGGTAATTGAAAAAATTAGGCATCGGTGATGAGATTTATAAAGAAAATACAAATTAGTCAGATTAAAAGAATTTATGGATAAATTAGACACCTTTGAGGAGAATTTTCAGCTATGTTATCCAAAGTTTTTAATCATTGGTTAGGATAATCTTGTGAACCACGGTCAGATAGTATGTATGTACCTACATGACTTAGTCCAACAGTCACCGTCTTCATGAACTGATTCAAATTCTTAGTTCAACCTTCTTCGGGTTCAGGGTGGTCAGGAATGCTCTTACCCCGGGGTGGAGGAGGTTCAGCAGTGCTCTTCGGTGGTTTGAAACTCTCAACGAACCCTAATCGAGTGTTTTAGGGCGTGTGGTTTATGTAGGTAATACATTTCTTAACCATCTCGGTTGGTAAAGTTTAGCTTGCTATACCCATCTAGTACTATGCGTCATAAGTTGACGATAGCCAACTGGGGTTTCTGATTTCGTGAACAGTAGACTCACTTATGGACTGGTGTTGCCTGGGGTGGAACCACTGGACAGAAAGACTCAATGGACAGATATTTCATTTGGATTTCGGTTTCTTCAGCATAACAGAAGAACACAATGAGTACATTTGGGTTATATTACCAGATAGTGTCTTCTCCTTTGTAGTCCAACACAAACTAGGCAACATCTTCTGCACCTCAATAATTATGCTCCGCATAGATCAAGAGATTTATTTATGGAATGGAATACTGCTCAGGTATCCAAACAGAAGCAGGTAATCATACTTAGAAGCCACTCCTCGAGCTTTTGACCTACAGGTCTATCATTTTGGTGAAGAACACCCACATCACGGAGAAGGCAATGAGTGGGACTTCCCTGACAGTCACAATATATGCGTGGCCGTATGGGATATTTGGAACGGAAGAGCGGACACTCCCCACTCTCGATCGTACCAAGGCATTTAGTGGCGTAGGAAAGAATATAGACAAAAGGAGGTGAGGAACGATAAACAATTGTAGGAAGGGTCATGGGTGTCTCGAACTAGGGTTTTAGGTTCGAATCTCTAAAGCTTTTACCATACATAGGAGATAGGACTGAATTCCGATGGGAGACATCAAAGGTATACGACTGATACGAGCATACCATTTGTGCTTTTCTCTGATGTATTATCAGCGCAGCTGAGTAGTACACTTTAGCCTTGTAAGAATTCACAATATATGAAATTAAAACCACACAATAAATTGAAAAATCGTTTTTAATTGCTGAAGTAACCTAATTCCTACAATAATTTATTTTACAGAATATGAAACACTACAACTCAACAAATTCATTAAAATTGTGTCTTACATTTCATAGCATAATCAGTTACTTATTTTCTTTTCTTCAGATATCCACAAAATCATTATTAACCGAATTCACTACAATTCGTCTTACTGTAATACAAGGACTAGAACAACTTTCTTCTAATTTTCATATTCATATTAATCATTTTGAGAAATTACAACCAGTTTTCACCAGTATTCTGCATCAACTCCAACAATCCGAACATGTATGTGAGACAACTATTCAAGAGTTATTGACAACAGATAATCATGGTACATATAGTTTACAATCATCTGATAACATTGATAGTCATAAAATGAACAGTGATAATCTTGATTTCAATTATATACCACCGAATTTATCCCTGATTAATCTAGCTAAATTAGCTTGTCAGCATACATTATTATCAAATCTCAAAGAATTTTCTACCAAATCAATGATCAATGAATCAATATGTTCATGGAATCAACAAAGTTCTAATTTAATCAAATTAACTGATCTGTGTTTATGTCATGCAAAACATCAACGTATCCATTGGATAAATAAAATGGCTTATTTACAATCAACTCAGTTATATTCAACTGGTCTATTCTCATCCAATAACATTGATGATAATAATAAGTTGGAATTTTGTATTACACAAAAGGATGATATTATCAATAATCTCATTAGAAGTATTAAGCATACAATTACAGCCAGTCTGTTAAATAATAATATGAACAATCTATTTAATTTGTCATCATTGAAATCATTATGGTTGAATTTAAAGTTAGAACATTTAAACAACTTCATGGAATATTTAACCGATCACATGAATGTGAACAATCAAGATAGTTATTATATTTGCGTAAATAGTTATCTTTTACAACAGTTCAATATATTAGAACAAAATATTCAATATTCAATTAATAGTTTATTTATAACAATCAATAAACATCAGTTTAAATTTAAATTAGATGATATAATTCAACAGTTTATTAATGTAAATGTAAGTTGATGATTTGTTTTGTAAATGGAAATAAATTTTTTGTTATTTGAAAAATATTATCAAGTTTTAATAATAATAATAATAATTTGACGAGTACATTGTAATTATTTCTTTTGAAATGTTTAATAAACATTTTTCTTTTAGTCCAAGTTATTTTACTTAAAAGCCAAATTTGTTGAATTTGTTCAAGTATTTGAGACTTCAGTTTGTTTTACTGTTGACTGAAGACATTTAAACGTACTTGATCGACATTTTATTTTTTTTTAAATCTTGTTATAACTGTCATTTCATCAAAAGTGATTAGTTTTTTTTTATGTCCATATTTCAAGTTTGATAGAATCTAAGTAAGTGGGATAAGTTTTGAATACACTAACTATTGCTTCAATCTTCACAAGATTATGAACTTGATTTTACCACAATTTAAAATGAACTCACGATATAAAACTAACGATTTCTTTTGACAATCCTTGTGGTGGTGGTGTTCGGTTCTTTGAGCTGGATCTTTTGGTTGTGGACCTTTCATTGTTCTTCTGAACAACATCATCAGCACAAAATTCAGATAGAAGTGAGGCATTTGGATTTCTCTACGTTTAACCTGTAGCTTGTTCTGCTAACCTCGATCTTGATTCGTTTCTGTTGACCTTAAACCTGTCGTTGTTTGCACCTCTGTTTTGATTGTATCATTTCTGTCTGTTAATTTTAAGTTGATATCAGAGATATAAATCCGTTAAATTGTCAATATTTCTTGTAACATTTAAGTTTTTGATTTTGCATTAGTGTATTATGGAGATGGCACTTTAGACTTGAAATCATGAATGAATCATTGTTAGACCACCATTAGAAAGGACTGATCAGAGTTAGACATTGACACTGTCAGATGCCGGCCCAGTAATTCAGAGGTAAAGTGTTAACGAGCAAAATCGAAGGCCCCAGGTTTGAATCCTGCATGTGGCAAGAGT